AGGCGACACTACGGACTGATTGGCCGGCTGAAATCACGCCTACCGCCTCCGATCCGCAAGAAAAATGAGCCAGCGGGTGGGTTTCCCGCATGTGCGATTCATTTTCATGCTGTTGATTAAACTTCTGTCTGTAGCACGGAGCTGCCGATCCGGAGCTGCCATTAAAGGGGTCGTTCTGCCTGCCTCAGAGTCCTTTTCCACCCACATATCAATTTTGAAAAATGCAACATGAAGCAGGCAGAAAAAAAACTTACAGGTAGATCAGTGCCACAAAACAACTTAATAATGTACAGAATAATCTAATAACTTTGTATAGTAGTGTGCATCCTACTTACCGGTGTTAGTCCGTTTCTCCCAATCAATATGTATGTCCTAAAAGCTCTGCACCACTCGCTCGGCCATGGAGAAAATGTGGGTGAGTGCAGCTTGCAACCGGCTGTGCGCTCTGGCGTGAGGAAAAGACGGTATGGTCGCGTGACTCACGCCAGCTATATAACTTTATTAAACATAAATTTAATTAATTATTATTTTTGTTATTATTGAGGGGGCTCAAACAGAAAATTCTTTAAAAATAAATATAAAAAAATCATTAAACCTCAAAAAGGGCACTTTGGCCACATGGGACAAAAGGGGCAGGGTCTCAAGCACCCCCCCCCCCCCTGCACGTGCCTGTTAGTAGTCTTTTCACTCTGAGCAGTCATTAGAAGTGGAGGACTTTTATCACCTTCCTTACCCAGGCAATCAAGAAGAAAGGGACCAAGTCCAGTTGGAGGAGACAAGCTGACCTGAGCCTTATTGTTTTGAGCTTGTGAGTTGCCTGAAACCACTGGAGCTGGCCCAACAGAACCAGCTCTGAATGGTAGGTAGCCGTAACCATAGCATTAGATTAGCTGCAGAGTTCGGTTTCACGGCCCTACAACTGTTATCCAGCAAGTTTTAGAGGTTTATCTGCTTCTACACACCTGCTACAGCTGCTACAGCCAAGCTACTAGAACTAAATCAATATAATACTAATGCTGACTACAGCTGACCTACAGCATAAACACTCACTTGCGGCTAATCCGAGTCCACTGCTACAATGGCTGAGACCGATGCTTTTATAACCTACAGCCAAAGAGGTCTGACAGCTTACATGGGACCTGGTTACGTTGCATGGGACGTTTCACCCATTGGTCCAGACTGATTTCAAACTGTTGTAAATTTGTGTTAAATATTTTTGAGCTGAAGACGGTGCCGGACTGAAGGTTTTGGGCTGAATTTTAAGTTTTTAAAGAAAATGCACCAAAGTGCAAAAATAACAACTACACGTTTCTGCAACACTATAATACACTTATTTATACAAGTTATCAGGAAAAAAAATGTGTGTGCGTATGTGCGTGTGTGCGTGTGTGTGTGTGTGTGTGTGTGTGTGTGTGTGTGTGTGTGTGTGTGTGTGTGTGTGTGTGTGTGTGTGTGTGTGTGTGTGTGTGTGTGTGTGTGTGTGTGGCACAAGATTATGAGGACACACACAGCAAATTAATAAAAAAAAATATGGTTCAGAGTCTCCAAAAGCAACACAGCTCATGTCCGCCATTTGTTTACCGGAGCGGACTTTCCTGCATGCATTAAGCGCTGTTCACACATCACATTTCGAATGAGTGTCAATTCCTTTCCTTTCAATGATCTAACTATCAATTGATATAACTACTCAAAATGATTAGCAACTGTTGCAATACTCTCAGCGCTGTGTGAATAAAAACAATCAAACGATAGGTTAATTTGTGATTTGAGGTCCAGCTCCACCAACATGTTATATTTCAACCCATTTTCTAAAATGCAGCATTATGTTAAATGCACTGGGTCTTACCCTATTACATTTAAATTTCATGGTTAAACATCCATCCATCTTCTGAACCCGCTCTGTCCATGTGGGGTAAGGGGGGGGGGGGTCTGGTGCCTATCTCCAGCAGTCAACAGGCAATCTGCACAGGTTGCCAGTCCATCGCAGGGCAACACAGGAAAAACAATCATGTGCACCCACACACCTAAGGACAATTTTGACAGACCAATCAACCTAACAGTCATGCTTTTGGACTGTGGGAGGAAGCCAGAGCACCTGGAGAGAACCCACGCATGCACAGGGAGAACATGCAAACTCCATGCAGAACGATCCCAGGCCGGGAAGCGAACCCAGGACCTTCTTGCTGCAAGGCAGCAGCTCTAACCACTGCGCCACAGCCATCGACATATATACTTCAGCACAGCCCTGGTTAAACAGTACATGTTAATATCTAAGCTCAACTCGGCAGTGACCTAAAATACATAAATATAATTTTACTTACCGAAAAAAATGAAGTGGAGACTCCTTGGACGCTCTATTAGTGCAATTAATGCCACAGCAAGTCATTTTGTCCAACAATTGCACAAAAAATATCCAAAACAAAATACACAAACGCTACAACTAATGGTCTAAGTTGGGAGACTGAAACTGACGGAACAGTTTTCAGGCGAGGCCGAGGCTCTACTGAGGCCTTTCCACGGAGCTAGCTCTGTGGTCACGTGGGTCTGATGCTCATTAATTATACAGAATTTTAGGCTTTTAATACACTTAAACAGAAGAGTGAGAAAAAAATTCACCCCCCTCAGAGTTGTCATGAGTGTAAACTAGATCATTTAAAACAAAAACATGTTTTGGTACCAGGCTGTAAACATGTTTATTTCTGCTGTGAAATTGGTATTTTTAACATGGGAGTCAATGAGGATTTGCTCGCTTCTGACACCAGCCCCTAGTGGATGAGGGTGGAACTGCCATTTATTTCATTTCCGCATTGCTTCAATTTCTGTCCCGCATGTGGGGGCTTGGGAATGGCAGAGGACAGGCTCCCCTTCTGATAGGTAGTCGAGAACCTGTGGCCAAATCCACAACACAGAGTTGACGATCATATAGAGTAGAGTAATAAAGTATTACAGTACAAGATAGAAAGCTGAGAAACACAGCATTTGATTTTGTTTTTACAACTACTGTAATTACTGTATTCTTGCTTTGATTCAAATAACCTATGTTGCAGTATGATGGCACTGAGGTGTGTTGAATCAACATATTTCAGAATTTGTTTATTGATTCCACTCTCTCTGTAGTATTCTCTCTACTACTGCAGTATTTTCCCAGAGTTTTGTGGACTGTACATGTAGTACCATATGTGATTTTGTTCTGCAAGGTGAGTTGTAAGCTTGTATATTTGTTTAGATCTTTTTGTTTCTACTTTTTTGTTTAGCATCTAGTGTTGGCAGCAAAGTAAGCACTGGCGCCACCGGTCCCTCCCGCCACCACCAGACAGACTGAGCGGGACTTGAACCTGCAACCTTTGTTTTACAGGGCAAGCACTTGACTCCTGTGCCACCGTCGTCCCAATTTAATCAAAATTTAATTCAAAGCTGATCATGATTTAGACCTATTTTTCACAAGTTTTCATTATTCTAGAAGAGAAACAGACCTGCTGCACACAGCTGGTCAAAATGGGGCAGTGTGATCATATGTCACACCCAGGTAAGGTGCGCACATGTATTCTATGTGCTCTGCTTTAATAAGATGGAAAGAGAGGCAGGCAGGCAGATGTATTTTATAGACCCCAGGCTGGGAAATTGCAGCGTAGCGTCAGCATTACACACAGAAAAACAGTTAAAAACAATAGCAATATGAAAAAGGCAGAAAAGTGTAAAACATGAAAAGCATGCTGACTGTAGATTATGAACCAGAGTTTAGTTGTTGCTGTTGTACAATGTGATGGCACATGGTAGGAAAGACTTCCTGTATCTTTCCCTTCGACAGCAGAGCTGTAGCAGCCTGTGCAAGAAGGTGCTCCCGTCTGTCTAATGGAGGGGTTGTTGGTCATCGTCCATGATGGATAAAAGTTTATTCAGTATCCTCGTCTCCACCACGGTCTCCAGGGTGTCCAATCTGAGACCAGGTACAGAGCCAGCCTTCTTGATGATCTTATTAAGTCTGTTAGTGTCGCTGGCTCTGATGCTGCTGCCCCAACACACGACTACAAAGAAGATGGTGCTGGCAAAAGATCTCCCAACATCTTGCTGCACACGATGAAGGATCTCAGCGTCCTCAAGAAATAGAGTCTGAGGAACCTAATCTTAATTGCTTGAGAGTCAAGACTTATAAAGTAAATCCAACAGTGAGATAAATTTAACAATTGTGAGTTCCCATTTTACGTTTTTCTGTTTTTTTAAATAAACACAATACTTTTTTTTTTTTTTTTTGCAAAACTAGGTATTATAACGTTAAGTTCATATTTTCTTAACAAAACTCCCCAAAGCAGCTGTTCTTGTTAGGGGTTAGGAGGACAGTCTGCTCTTTTTATTTATTTATTTATTTGTTTGTTTGTTTATTTATTTAATTATATATTTAATTATATATGTACATATATATATATATTTTTTAGCTTTATTTAACAAAGTGCAAGTACATCAAGAGAACATAAGAAGTATACACACAGATGAATTCATTTAACAGAACATTCAGCCAGGGGGATTAATTACCATACCATACCATAGTTTATTTACGTAGCACGTTTAAAACGCAGCATGGGAGCTGCCCAAAGTGCTGCACAGGCTAAACCAAAACGCGATCATTCTAAGAAACTAAAACAGAAGATAAAAATACCAGTCAAAAGCAGATAAAACATGATGAATACTAAGAACACATTAAAATGATGACACAATAAAACACTAAAAGGAGTCACTGTCTAAAAGACAAATCGTAAAAGTGGGTCTTTAAAGGAATTTATACAAATATATGTAAAAATCTACAAGTGCCAATTGTTTTGAGAACCTTTTTGTTAGCAGACTGAGAAATTAGATTTATATAGTTCTACATCTTTAAGAAAATGCGGAAAATAATGCCTGCCCTTAGCGAGTGAAGACGATTTGCTGCTAAATGAAGTAGCCAATCAGAGTCGAGAAAGGCGGGATCGACGCGCCCAGTGGGCCACAGAAGTGATGTCACGTGGTCTCCATAAACAGGAAGTGAACGCGTTCTGTAGTAGCTGTGCTGTGATGCTGCCCCAGTTGACGTTTGAGTCACAAGGCAGCGAAGCTCGATCAGAGTTCTGGACACATGTACCTAGAAGGTGTTACTATGTAGAGGAGGAAGGATAAGGATGCCACGATGGAGGTAGGGAGCAGTTTTCTGACGTTAGCGTCACGCGCAGATTGAAATTATTGCGGTTTTAACGCATGTATGGGTTTCACTGATCAGTAGAGTTTAAACTTTCTAGTATTTACTTGTTCATGTACTTTGTATTAACTACCAACCTCATTTTACATTTGATCAACATCACCCATTATTTGTTTACAAACTAACACTCAACTTTTCTACAGGTTATGTTTATTGTTTATATCGAGTCTTCATGTCTTTGTATAAAATAACTCGTTTTTTTGTCCTTTCTCTTGTCACTGACCTCTGAAGGACTGGGATGTTCAGTCCTGACAAGTCAGTCTTAACATGTGAAAAGTCTTTTTCTCTTGCCAGCTTCAGATTGTTTGGAAATGACCTTTAACCTTTCCCAGACTCCTGTTTTAACAGAAGCGGTCAAACCGATGCTGATCCGTTAGTCAATACATCTGATCAGCAGCACCTGGGTGATAGTTTCACTCTTAAAGAACGAATCACGTTTACTATGTTGAACTGACAGAGGGCGGAGCTTTTGACCCGCAGCACACAGGAGCAGTTATTACAAAAGTTAAAGTTTAGAGAAATTTCAGACAAATTTGAAAGTGGCTGAGGTGTTTCTGTTTAAATTCTTCTCGTCCTTGTTTATCTTGTATGTTTAGTCATAACTAACTTTACATTAAAAGCAATAACAGCAGTCTGATTGGGCTTTTACTTTTATTATTCTCAACTAATTCTTCCGATTCATGAAAATCTTGAATCAGAAGAGGGCAGAATGCTTTCTCCGGGTCTGGGATGAGGTCCTGCCCCATGTGGAGGAGTTTCTCAGGGGTCTTGTTCATGAATGAGGGAAGGGTGGTGCATGAGATCAATCAGCAGATTGGTGCTGCGTCTGCAGTGATGTGGGCGTTGTACCGGTCTGTCGTGGTGAAGAGAGAGCTGAGTCAGAAGGCGAAGCTCTCGATTTACCGGTGGATCTACGTTCCTACCCTCAACTATGGTCATGAGCTTTGGGTAGTGATCGAAAGAACGAGATCTCGGATACAAGCGGCCGAAAAGAGTTTTCTCAGCAGAGTGGCTGGGCTCTCCCTTAGTGATAGGGTGAGAAGCTCGGTCATCCAGGAGGGGCTCGGAGTAGACCCGCTGCTCCTCCACATCGAGAGGAGCCAGTTGAGGTGGCTCAGACATCTGATCCGGATGCCTCCTGGTCGCCTCCCTGGTGAGGTTTTCCGGACTCGTCCAACCTGGAGGACACCTAAAGGAAGACTCAGGACATGCTAGAGGGACTTTTTCTCTCGGCTGGTTAGGGAACACCTTGGGATTCCCCCGGAGGAGCTTTCCCAAGTGGCTGGGGAGGGCGAAGTCTGGGCCTCTCTGCTTGGGCTGCAGCCTCCGCAAACCGACTCCGGAAAAGTGGCTACAAATGGATGGACGGACAACTAATCCTGATCTTACTAAGTGACCATACCACACTTTACCATGAATTTGACTTTTCTGTCGCTGCGTCATGTCACTTTGTTGCTTAAGCATTCTGAAAACATTCTTTACCCCTTACTGCCCTGTTGAATGCTGGTGAGAATTATTACAGCAGCTGAAGTTAAATAACTGAAATTCCTTCAGTCACGGGAGGCGGTCACATGTCTTCTGTCTTTATTTACCCTCGCAGAGAATGATTAGCTGTGTTGCCCTTACAATGAGCTCATCAGATCCAGAGGAAAACAGGGGCCAGCAGTAGTAAAGAGTCCTGTTTTATGTGCCCGTGTAGTCTTACGTGGACATGGGAATCAGGTCTTTTCTGTGTCCCGGTCCTATTTGAGTGCTATGAATCCCAACACGTCCTCGGCTTGCTGTGAAGTCCAGTCTGTTGCCGATGACCACGCGGATGACTGGCTCTTCCTTTGCCCTGACCTGGCTGAACCTCTGAACTCAGAGTCAGAGTCCAGGGAGGACCAGGAAGCAGGGGAGCAAAGCAAACTAAAATCCAAGTTGGTGTCGGCGTGGAACAGCATCAAATATGGTCAGTTCAATTCACGTTGCATTCAAACCTCATTAAATGTGTCATGTGCGTTTGCTTTCTGATGTTTTTGTGGGGCTGTTATTTTCCTGAAGGCTGGTCTTTGAAGAAGAAAGCTAAATTCAAGAAAAGCTCTCCGGTGAATCTTCTTGGAAAGTCCTACAACATCAAGAATGAAGGTAGGTCGTCGGCGTGTTGGTTAATGTCTCACAGGGCACGCAAACGTTTGGCTCTGAGGTGACGTTAGGCTGTGCTGTTGAACTTTTTCAGAAGACCGAGAGAGTTTCCGTCGCTGTTTTGTGTCTCTGCTGTGGCTGACCTACAGACGGGGCTTCCCTCAGCTGCCCGGCTCGTCTCTGACCACCGACAGTGGATGGGGTTGCGTCCTACGGACGGGGCAGATGCTGCTGGCGCGAGGCCTGATCCTACACCTGATGCCACCAGGTGACAACACGTTTGGGTTGGGCGCTAAATCAGAAATGTTCCGTTTTTCTGACTCTTAACTACATCGTTTTTCTCATGTCAGTAAATGCGGTAATATCTGTGATATTGATTTTAGGCCACATTGGCCAGCTCTACAGCAGATAATGCAGCAAGACCAGGAAAACATTCAGTTTCAGAGTATTTCTGCAGAAACTCACAGAGCTGAGTAAAAACTGACATTTAATCTCGGTGCCTGATAAATGCTGTATCAGCGTTTCTGGCTCCAGTCGGCCTGTTTACCTCGCTGGTGTGCACGATCACATCTATAAATGACTTTGTCTTCTTTTGTCATCTCCTCTCTTTTTTCCACATCATCAGACTCTGGCTGTGTCGGAGCCACTCTAACAAGGTCCGACCTTAACAAACACAGACAAGTTTATGTTTATGTATTCAGCAGACGCTTTAGTCCAAAGCCACTTACAAGTGATAATCGGCATGTTGCCCTTGAGGCTAACAACAACAACAATAACAACAATGAATTGGCTGCATGGTGGTGCAGTGGTTAGCACTGTTGCCTCGCATATAGGTTAACCTATAGGGCACGTTGTGATGTGTGGGGGAAACCGGAGCACCCGGAGGAAACCCACGCATGCACGGGGAGAACACGCAACTCCTCGCAGAAAGGCCGCAGCCGAGTTTCGAACCTGCAACCTTCGTGCTGCGAGGCAACAGTGCTAACCACTGCACCAGGATAATGGCACATTTTGCTAGGTGTCGATGGAGCAGCGTCTGGGTCGAGTTTGTTTGCTCTGTGGACACGCACAGGTAGACACGTATGTCTTTACCCCGGAGGGGCTGAGACACAAGGGCTGACGCTTCAGTTATGCCACCAAACTTATGCTGTGCTACTAGTTGGAAACAGGTGTTCGTGCAGCAGCTGATTGCAATGGTTGAGACCTAGATCACCTGATGAGTGTTTTCAGGGAGGGGAGAAACAGCTCGTTCACAGCCCCTAACTGCACTTATTGTTTTCAGTTGACCCAAACCAGAGCTACTAGACAACAGGATAACCCACAGATGAGTTTCCTTCTCTTTCCCAATGGAAGATAGTGCAAAGCAAAAGTTTAAGAAGACAAAAACGAGCACTAACAGACACTCAACAAGGCCCTTCGGTGCAGATGTGCTACAACACAGTTTTGTAGCAGCTGAGGGTCATTCATCACAAATACCCCGAGTGTTAACAGCGTTTCAAATTGAAACTGCCACATCAGCTCAGATGCGCCTGTTTCCTGATATTCTGACCTATCCTCACCTCGGATTTGCTAACAGCAACGACTCTGTTTGCTCTGCGGCGTTGATGTTTTATCTCCACAAATAACACAGGCCTGGAGGAGTTCTGCTGTGTGGTGGAGTTGCTAATGCTAACAGTTAGCTTCTAGCAGCAAAGACATTCTCTGCTGTCTCCTGGACGCTAAACCAACAACAGTCTTCCCCGTCGTGAGTCAGATGGGTGAGTCCATGAATGTTAGTGACAGTGTGACGTAGATCTGTCAGGATTCTCTAATCCTAGAGTTTCACCGTCTGTTTTCTATCAGAAGCTAAAGCAGGAGATGGGTGTAGGAGACTATTTTCATGTTCAGCCTGCATGAAAAATGTGGAGTGGTCCATTAGAATCAGAATTTTAAAAATCATTGAAAAAGTCAGGAGTCTTCTGGCCAGACCGGTAGCAGCTCAGCATTAAAACTGTTCTATTGTAAACAAACTATTGTTTACTGAAAATCTAAATGAATTTAAGAAGCAAACACAGTGATGTTTAAATTTGGTTATTCAACCTTTTTAAAGACGTTGTATGTCAGAATCTGACCAGATTAAAATTGTAAAACTGGAATTCAGGGGATAGATTGTTCTTTACATGGTTTCGGAACGGGTTGATTGTCAAAGGAATTTAAAATGTTTTTGAACATCCAACAGAGCGACTTCAGCTGAGCTGCATTTATGGGGTTGTTTCATCAACAAAACAAGTGCAAACTCTTGATGAATTGTACCTTTTCTGTAGCTGTATCCAACCGTTAGTGTTATGAACACATTGGCTATTTCTTTAATTGTCCAAAATTAAGTGAGGTTTTTGTCCTTAAGATATTTTAGTTTTTAAAGAATATCAACAAACTGAATTTGAGACCAGATCTGACCAAATGTATGTAAGAACATCAAAGATTACCAACGATAGGATGTTGGTAATAGTGGTCTGTGGTATTAGCACTAGCTAGAAAACTAATTATTCTAATATGGTTGAATTTTGTGTTGATGATATACTTTTCTATGAAATAATTCCTCTTCTGTCATCAAGATAACTAAATACACGATTGGAGCCAAGACGTTTATGCAATATAAGAAAAAATCCCCCTATTCAATTCAAGTTTATTCATCAAGCGCCAAATCACGACCAGAATCGTCTCAAGGCACTTCACACGGTAAACATTCCAATACAGGTCAGTTCATTAAGCCAATCAGTAAAAGGTTTCCTATATAAGGAACCCAGCAAATTATATAGGAAACTGACTGCAGTACTCATTGAAGCCCCGCCCCTTCAAGTGAACAAGTGAGACATTTTCATCATTTAAAGTGACAATGTGTATTTTCCCTGGCGACAAGGGGCAGTTCATACCTAAATCATTGCAAGCAAGCGTTTATTTTTGTGTGTGTTGGAGTAAGACCTGACGAACGGATGGTCATTAGGGTCAGAAATCCCTGGGAGAGCAATTTTTGAACAAGTTCTTCAGATTGTTCAACCTCCAGCAAAATGACGTCCGACTCCCTTTCAGCTCTGTCAGCGAGCGAAGAGGTAATTGTGTAAAACAACATTTATGAATGGTGAAAGTTTTGTAAAGGTTTGTTACAAATCAGTAAATGCATTTGGCCCTCACGGGCTCTCGTAGAGGGAAGTTTGGCGTCGCCCACAGACTTAGACCTGCTCCCATGGATTTTAGACCCAATTTTCATGGTTCTATGTTACGAAGCCAATAACTCAACATCATTTCATTCATTTTCAGCAACATTTTAATGGATATTTCCAGAGATTAACATAAAAACTACACATTGTCACTTTAAAAAAACACTCCACAGACCACTTAAATTATTTGTTCCTACCTTGCTGCTTTATGCTCATTTTCTAGAACATCTTCATATCTTTTTAGGTTGGACCTGGTCTGCTCAGTACAGCCTAGTCAAAGATGACCTAGACCTGCTTCAGTCTGCGGACAACACAGAGCCGGGCTGGGCTGTAGACGGAAAACAAAGGGGTCGAAAACTGAGCCTGGGATCCCTCTTGGACAGGCCCATGGAGGCGACGCACAGAAGGGTGGTGTCCTGGTTTTTAGACCACCCCAGCACCCCGTTTGGGATACACCGACTGGTGGAGTTGGGTAAAAGCTCGGGGAAGAAGGCCGGAGACTGGTACGGTCCGTCCATCGTGTCGCACATCCTCCGGTGAGAAGAGAAGTGGCTGTCTGGTTAGTCTAAAATGCTTTTGTTTTACTCTGGAGGTGTAAGTGGAGTTGTCTGTTTTTCAGGAAAGCTGTGGCGGCTTCGGTGGACCTTCCCAATCTAGTTGTGTATGTGGCACAAGACTGCACCAGTGAGTGATTTCTTTGTTACAGCTTTTCTTCTTTTTCAGGGGTCGTGTTTAAACTTCTGCATACCGTTTTTGTCCAAAAGCTCAAAGAAAGACACAAGTTTTGGTTTCACAAAGTTTGTTGCTTTGGCGGTTTTAGTTTTTCTGGTCGGTCTTCAGAGTTGATGCAAACCGCTTCATAAAATCGGAGGCAGCAAACCTTTTGACAGTTCAATATTTGTGTCACTTGCTAAACGTTTGGCTGTCGGTTGATGTTGTCAGTAATATTTTTGAGCTTTTTCAGTCTACCTGCAGGACGTGAGGAGGTTGTGTGAACGACCTCACCCTCACTTCTGGAAGTCCGTCATCATCCTGGTTCCTGTGCGACTTGGAGGACAAGACCTCAATCCATCCTACATCACCTACGTCAAAGTATTGAACGTTTATGTGTGTGTGGTGGTTTGTGGATAAAACACCCGAGTGTTTTTTACTGTGGGATTAATTTCTTTTGATTAAAAACATTGTTTTGATCGTGGAAACATGGATATTTAACAGCAGTAGAGAAAAGGAAACCGTTCCCTGTTCGCTGTTGTTTTTCTGCAGAAGCTGCTGAGGTTGGAGTGCTGTATTGGAATCATTGGTGGCAAACCAAAGCACTCGTTGTTCTTTGTTGGCTTCCAGGGTACGTTTGCTGAAAAAACCCCTAACACCCAAAATAACACCCAGATATTGGATCTTTTCTCAGTATCTTTTGTTCTTTTTTGTGGCTTGCTCTACACAAGATGACCATCTGCTGTACTTAGATCCTCACTACTGTCAACCCACAGTGAACATAAAAAAGGAGAACTTTCCTTTAGAGGTATGGGCTTCCAGTTCCACTCTCTTCTTTGTTTTGGTTCCTCCTCTGAGGCTTGTTCAGCTGACCTACATGAAAACATTTCAAGTTCCCAACTAAGCCATTCGATCTGAGTCATTTGATATAAAATATTTGCTAATGCATAGTCTCAGTGTGATACTTGTATTATTTTTGCCTTTTTTTCAGCGTACTTGCAGACTTAGCTCTGTTAAGACAATAAAGTTAAAGAGCAAGTCACCCCCAAATGAACTTTTTTCCTGATAAACTATATAAATGCGCGTGTAATCGTGTTGCAGACACGTGAAGTCAATAGTTTTGCACTTTAGTGCATTTTAGTTAAAATAAAAATATTCTGCCTAAAACTGTCAGTGTTGTGCCGTTGTCAGGTAAAAACTCTGCACTGCATTTGAATTTAAATCTGCCATCGCTATTGGCTAAGAGGTACCCTGGAACGTTAGCTGGTACCATATGATGTCACAATGTTGTTGTGAGCCTGTGTGTGTGTGTTTGTTAGCGGCTCCGCCCTCTCGGTCTGCTAGGCAACAGCATTTGTTGCATTTTTCAATCAGGAAGTGGGAGAGGAGTAATACTCTGGTAGGGGGTGACTTGCTCTTTAAATAAATGCCAGAGTTTCTGTAGAGGAGGGAGACAGCGTATTTGCTCAGTTCCGTTTTTACTCCAAACAGATGCTTCACCCGTTTAACTTCAAATTTTTTTCTCTACAAATTAAATGCGTGCATTTCACACCACATTCAAACATATAATACACATGTTTTCATGTCCATTTCTTCTGCGTTAGTTTAGTGAAAATGCAGGTTTTAAACTGTCACCTGCAGGAAACCATAAAATCTAAAAAAAAAAAAATTCTACCGTGTCCTGTCTGGCTGTGAAGCAAGCAGAATTGATGTCTGAATGCTGGTAACAAGCCTTACAGATTTACTCTCAGGTGGAGCATCAAAGCGTCTGCTTTTAATGTCACGCCTGATACTTAAAACTTTGTTATTGTTTTTGAATGCTTTGTAATTTTGACCAGACCACTTTATTTGTCGAGTGCATTTCAATGCAGCATGAGAGCCGACCAAAGCACCTTACATACAGTACAGAAAGAAGTACTACAAATTTTATAGATTAAAGGCCAATGATTGGTTTCAGAGTGGGTCTCATAATAACAAATTGATTTTAATGAAACTTTCAGAAAGTAACCAGTTCATGAAACCTCTGCAATTGATTCACCTTTTGGAGTTTATCTAAATCAAGATCAATCTTGGCAAGTTAACTATAACTCAGCACAGACTTTGAGCTGTAGTCTGATGTCACAACCCATCTACTTCCGGACCACGGCTCCCCGGAAGAACGAAAAAATGAAAGAAAATCAACGGGGCTAAAAATGCTATTTTTTAATCCCGCTTATTATTTTTCACATATGATGTCCGTGAATTTTAAATACACATTTTGATACCAAGAAAGCGCTTATTTTTGAACAGGGGGAGAAGCGTTATTTTAGGTTTTGTGTGAAAATAAGTCCAGGACTACAAAGTGACGTCATCAAACCAGACACGGAGACAAATGGAGGTAAAAGGGCTGTAAGTTCAGCAAACTTCAAATCCTTCTCTCAGGAGGAAAGAACCACCATAAATCTGGCCATGTGGTGAGTAGCAGCTACGCTGCGGGGAGGAGATTTGCTGGTGACGTCATATATGTGACGTGCTGACGTCTGATTTGTAGTCATAATAATTACAAACTTTAACAAGCTGATAAATCTCAAAGTACGTGACTGGCGAGGTCGGAGCATCCATCATTATTTTTCATTTGGATTGAAGTACAACATATGTGCGATCCAGGGCGTAAGGGAAAGCGGGTTAGAAAATAGCGTTTTTAGCCCCGTTGACTTGCATTCATGTCTTTGTTCTTGGGGGGACCCGTGAGCCGACCGGAAAGGGAGGAGACTTAGGCTGCCTGTAGCTTAGAATGAATCACAAACCATACTCTGAACACATTGTGTTACAAATACCAAGTTTACTGAGAAACAGTTTTACTTACTTTTGAAATACGATCTGTCTCTGAACGTAAAAATAGTTTTCTACCCCTATTTCCTGCATTAGCCGCTTATATAAAATAGACGGGAAAACTCTCAGACTAGAGCCGCCACTCGGATCTATGTCACACTTTAAAGTAATATTCATGGACTCGCTCATCGTGGCTCTTGACAGAGAACGCTGTTGTTGGTTTAGCGTCCAGGAGAGAGCAGAGCACGCCTTGGCTAGTAGAAGCTAACCGTTAGCATTAGCAACTCCACAGCATGGCAGAGCTCCTTCAGGCGTGTGTTATTTGTGGAGATGAAACATCCGCGTTAGAAAGCGAACAAAGGCAGCGGTCGAGTCGCAGTGTTGTTAGCCAATCAGAGGAGAGATGACCAAATATTAGGATCATCACTTTTTTATATAGCACTTTCCAGCTCTCTGAGAAAGTGCTGCACACTAAAACAGGTTAAAAACAGGAGCAACAATTAAAAAAAACAAGAACAATAAACATGAATCCACTAAAACCAATAAAAGTGACATCACTAGGAACAACGTTAAAATACCATCCGTCATTGTAGGGCTGCACGATATTAGGAAAACCTGCGATATGCGATAACAGCGATTAATATTGCGATGAAGATATTACTTGCGATAAATATAAACTTAATTCAGGAACAAAAATAACCAAAAGCAAAAAAAATAAAAAAAAGTGACAAAAATATCATAAAAATGAGAAAAGCAAAAGATGTGAGGAAAGGGAAAAAGGAAATGAACAAGAAAAGGCGATCAGTGGATCGCGGGAAAAGCAGAATCAGCAGAAAGAGCAGAACAAAGCTAACTCAGATGTTTGCTAACCATCAAAATTAAGTGTCGGGGGCGGGCATCTAACTTATGAGAACCCACTCAATTGGCCAAATGGGTGAAGAGCTCTATTTGATTTGTTAAAAAAACATCATGCTTCCGTCTGATTGACAGAACGCGTTATGTGTAGAAAACATTTAAGCTGAACATTCATTGCGATATTTATCTGTTCTTTGTGATATGCATATTGTACATACTGATATCGCGATAACGATATATTTGCGATATATTGTGCAGCCCTACGTCATTGTGTCACAGTTCCAAAAGCCAAAGAATAGAAATGAGTCTTTGATTCTCTTGAGTCCACATCAGACCCTTTACTGGATTTGTTCGTGACATCTCTTTGTGATCTGGTTTCTCTTTGCAGTCGTTTCACTGTAAACATCCCAGGAAGATGTCTTTCTCTCGCATGGACCCCAGCTGCACCATAGGGTTCTACGCAAAAGGGCAAAAAGAGTTTGAATCGTTCTGTGCAGCTGTTAATAAGGTACGGTGTTGGGTTTTCTCTCGGTTTGATGAGGCTGTGATGTCTGGAGGTTTCAGACCATGGCTTAGAAATCTGTCAGACTTTGTGTTTACAGATCTGCTTCCTAACCCTCCTGTCCTTTGTAGGCGGTCGCCACATCTTCAGAGACATACCCCATGTTCATATTTGCAGAGGGTAAAAGTCGGGAGGTGGAGGAGGGCATCAGCGAGAGCACTAACTGCATCACCTACATACAGAGAGAGAACGAGCTGAAAAGTGATGACACCAACAGCATGGACGAATTTGTTCTGCTGTGAACAGACAAACAGGATCAGATCGGCATCGTTTCCGTGACAACTGCTGATCATCAGAGCAAACCCATTTGCATCTAAACGCTCCATGCTACAAAGAGGTCCTGTTAAATAAACTAGATGGGTTTCAGATTCATTTTGCTGTAATTTTATATCTTTGTTGCACCTATTTGTAAACATATTTATTGCATCAGCCAGAAAACAGTCTCATTAAATCGGCTCAAACCGAAAACATTCAGAACTAAAGGTTCTGACTCTGGTCCGTTCAGAGAAAATGATTGATTGTGTCATTTTAAGATGGGCTGTAATATCTGTTTTCATGTCACGTGTCAGGATGGGCTGCAGTTTAAACCAACTGTAAAAAAGGATTCCTGCATTCTGATGAGGGAATCTGTTGAAGTTAAATCAAATGTAAGGTAATAAACATATTCTTTAAATAAAAACTACACCTGGTAGAAATATTTGTACTTGAAGGACTGTTTATTTTTTTGTTTGTATTTATTTGGGGAGGGGGATCAGCCTCTGCCCTGGTCTGCTACCAGATCCATGTTACGCCTGCCCCATTTTGCAGGTGGTGGGTCCACAGGTGGATCAGTTCATGCTGGGCCTGGCCTCCAGGGGCATGCACATGGGCCCCAAGCCTCAGCAACCCTCTGGGCCTGGTACTCTGGCAGTCATTTGACTCCCCCTTCACCTCGGATCCATTTGCCTTTCAGAGACCCTAAGGGGGGCAAGATGCCCCCTGGTAAATGACTCAGAATCAGAATATTTTGTTGCCATGTTTGCAAGAGATCACAACATTAGGAAATTGCTGCTCTACTTGCTGCCAAAAGAAAGATAAAAATAAGAGATAATCCACTATAGGAATTAATGATAAAATAATATTTTAAAGTGGCAATAATTAGAGAAGCATCTACCACACACACAGTGTAGGTACTGATCAGAGCGGTCAGTTCAGGTGCAAACACAACACGGAGAGCGACTGGAGTGGGCAGACCCCTGCTCTCAAACGCCATTTCTGGAAGGTGTTGATTCAAGAAAAAGCATTAGGATTTGTTTTTATTTTGCCTGTAACTCAAAAGAATCAAACTGAAAAGTAATTTCAAACTGCCAAAACAGTTTTGTGGCCCTGCTCTTTGTTTTAGATGGTAAAAAGCCTGCCCCTGCCCCAATTTGATCACATATCCACCGCAAATATCCATTCAGCTGATTTAAACTATGGTCAAATAGCGTTTGCACCAACTGCTGAGATTTCTGAAAGCTACCAATGAAAGATAAAACATTTACTGTCCGTTATTCTTTCACAGAAATGCTAAACATCCGTACTGTCGCTTTAAGACGGGAGCCGAAGCGAAGCAGGCAGTTTTCCATGGTGAACATATCTGGACACAACACTAGACGTGTCTCTTTTGCGTTTCTCGCGTCCTGCATTTAGTGTTTTTGAGACTAATAAACGTAAATAACTGAGTGTCGAGCCCGAGCTCCCATCCCCCACACCGGTGTCGCGGGCCTGTGGCGGAGGGGGGCGCTGTAGAGGCGGCTCATCACGGAGGTGGTTGAAGGAAAAAACCCGACAGCGTAGGTCGCTCTTTGTTTCTGACTGGAAACAAAACCAAGAGACACTGCGACCCGTCAGAGTCCAAATATCAACTTTCACCTCTTCTGTAAGTCGTCTACACTTCTTATGACTGACGAGGACACTTTATTGTCTTTTATGGATCACTTTTCTACATGAAACGAGCTTCGGCTGGATTTTTTCCTGAGATAAAACGAGCCATGTAACAGTAGCGCTGGTGCGGCGCGGCAGAGTGCAATGAATGGAAATTGTTTTTGGACAGCGGAGCGGCGAGCCAAGGGTACGGGAGGCGCGTTGGATCAATCAGCTCCCACGATGAGTGATGCTGTCTCATGTAGCTCGCGTCGCACCGAATTTTCCTCAAAAATTCACAATTTTCCTGTCTTAACTGGCCTGGCACGGCATGGCAGGCTAGGCTAGCCGAACTGGCTTTGTTAGCATGCTAACAACTAACAAACGTTTCCCGAGGATTTAACGGAGAAGCCCCAATCTGAGACGGCGCTATTATTTTATCCATATCGTTATGGCTGAAGTAAAGGTCCAGTAAATAGCAGCGAGGTGATTTAGCTCCCAGTGCGTGTGGGACTCAAGATATCGGCTTTAATCATCTCAATGGAACCTTATCTGTAAAAGCCGGCTAGGCCTGCTAATGCTAACAGATCTGAAAATGCTAAAGCAGCTACTTTCTGACATTTAAAAATTGTAAACCTTGTGCGTCATAACTCTTCTGTGGCTTTTCTCAAAGAAGGGGATATTTGATCATATTTCCATAAACATTTGAATTGTTTTTAATTCAACCTTTGTGTCGTTAAGTCTGTGATCATTAACATAATCAGTTTGACGTCTAGAAACTGGCATCAATGACACAATCTCAGCCACTGCCTGGATTTGAGTTCATATTTCAACCTCACGCAATCAACCGACTAAAATTCCCCTTTATGTTCACTTGAAATTTTCACTTGAATGCTTATATTCTAATTTGAAGTTTGTATATTTAAACTTTGAGGGAAATAAATTATTGAATTGAAATGTTATTTATATAGCACCAAATCCCAACAAGAGTCATCAACTTATCGGACACTTAACCGTGTCACAATTAGCATAGTTTCACTGTAAGTTACACCAAGGTGATCTGAAGTCAGACAAAGCGTAAAGTAAATGAAAATGTTCCTGTTTAATGTAACTGATGTAAAAGCTAAGCAGATCAGAAGCTACGTAAGAAGTTGTCCAGTTTTCTGGTTTGTTCAGCGTTTATTTTACAATGAAGCGTTTAGAATCACGAGTCTTTGCGTTTCTGTTTTCCTTTTGTGGGTCAAGAACTGAGAAGTTTGGCATCTACTAATTTATAGCTGAGGTCTTCACCCGCAGAGCCAAGGACTAGTACCAGATATCAGATTACAGTAAAATATATATTTATATTCTTCCATGTACATGGTTTTAATATGCATTGGTCCGTGGGGGTGTAGTTTTACTCAAACTACTGTATTTATAGTACAACATGGCTATAATAGTAACTAGAGATTGACCCATATGTAGGGGTCATGGTCCTTCGTTGATGGGTGTGATTGTTGTTTTTGCTGATTTTCATGGCTGATATCTAGAAGTTTCCCACCTTATCTACAAGGTAAAGTCATTAATAACAACAGCTGACGCACAACATTTCTGATCCTGAATCAGTTTTTGAACTCCAAATTTAACCAGCTGTTGAATCTTCAGTTTGTGCACTGCTGAGTATTAAAATCAACATTTAACTGAAGATAATGGAACAAACCAATAAACGGACCAAGTAGGGATGTAAGAAAATATCGATATGGCAACATATCGTTATATATGTTTCCAACAATATTATATCGATATTCAAAAGCCGTGTATCGGAAATATTGTTATGGCAATATATCGTGATATTTTTTCCTGCGAGTATTACATCGATATTCAAAAGCCGTGTATCTAATTCTTGAAAGAATTTACATGCATACTTTTGTTTATTTTCTTTTCGTTTTGTGCAATTCAATCGCCACCCGCTAGTTGGCAGCAGTGTGCAACGGGTTTTGTTTCCACCATTGAAATGTAAATCCCTCCATCATGGTTCAGATACCTCATGTTAAACATGTTACATATCAGTTTGGACTGTTTATTGAACATTCTTACAATATATTCAGTAAAAAAAATTGCTTGTAACGTCTGACTGAATGTATCGCAACATATTGCGATATATCGTATCGTCTCCCCTGTATCGTGATATGTATCGTATCGCCAGAATTTCAAAAATACACATCCCTGGGACCAAGTGTTAAAAGTAAAACGAGTAAATAAACCATCTTTTAACATTCATGTTTCTATTGAGCAGATTTCTTAGGAACACAAATACAACTTTACATTATAAATAAGAAAATAACAAATATCAAAAATAAATTGTATAAAAACTAAAACAGGAAAACACAAAAGCAACCTGCTAACACAAATAAGCAAAATCTAAAGTGCATTTATTTAGCGATTCACTAATCATTTCTAACATCTCGTAAATAAAACCTTTTAGTATTTGACTCAGCAGCAGCGTCATAGCAACAAACCCCTCATCTCTGAGACTTCCTGTATGGAGGTCTGTAGATGTGCCTGACTTTAAATCAGCTCTGCTGAAGAAGATTACAATAAATGATATTTAAAAAAATGGTAAATGTTAAATGATGAATGGACTGTGTATAGCGGCTTCTGGGGGTTCTACAACCCCCCAAGGTGCTTCACAACACAGTCATTCACCCATTCACACACTGGTGGGGATGAGCTACGATGTAGCCACAGCTGCCCTGGGGCGGACTGACAGAGGCGAGGCCTACCGAGAACAGGCGCCACCGGTCCCTCCGACCACCACCAGCAGGCGACGCGGGTTAAGTGTCTTGCCCAAGGACACAACATTAGCCAGGTGGAGGCCTCCATGCACTTTATTATCCACTAGTTTGACAGAAACGAGAGCGGGGTATCCGCGGGTCCTTAAAAAGTCTTCAATTAGCTTTTCCAAATTTAAGGCCCTACAAATCCTTAAAAATGACAAATAATCCTTAAATACAGTTTACAAAGGTCTTAAATTACCAAAGACCCAATAAACAAGATTCTTTTATTTCTATAAAATTTTCGTGAATTTCTAGTTTGTGTTCAGCGTTTTTTGTGTACGATGTTGGCGTAAGCGGAACCGTACACATTCAGTTGGTTGTGAAAGGGGGCTATTTTTAGATGAGCACATTAGCTGGTTAAGCTAGTGGGAGCTTGCGCCATGGGGAAGTGCAAGTTTAATGGTAACTGGATGGCTAATCCCACGTTCGCGCCGCGGCGTGGTTAGCACCGGTTCCGGGCAATAGCCGGAAATTATAGCTTACATTTAATTTTTAAAAGTTGCTTAAATTTGGTCAAAGTGGCCTTAAAAAAGGTCTGAAAAAGTCTTAAATGTGGCTCCCTTAAACCTGCAGATACCCTGAAGAGGGTGAAGGGGCGGGCTTTTCTGTATTTTTAGATGTTGTACAGGGATGCTTTAAAAGTTGGCGAAGTCCACACAATTATTATTAAAATTAGAGTTTGTCCTAAACTTTCCCTGAGCATCATGATGACATTGTTCTATTTAAAATGAGCAGACTTATCACATATTCTTATATTCACCTGGTGGATTATTTGTGTGATATCTGACCCGAGTCACTGTCTTCCATCTTGTTTTTAAGCATACCTGCAGCTGCTGCTGCTACACTTTCCCATTTCCTCCTGAGAGATGTCCACCCCTGACCCCCCGATGGGAGGGACGCCTCGGCCCGGTCCCTCCCCAGGCCCAGGGCCGTCTCCAGGAGGCATGATGGGCCCGAGCCCTGGCCCCTCGCCTGGCTCGGCCCACAGCATGATGGGGCCCAGTCCAGGACCTCCAGGATCTGGACACCCCCATCCTCCACAGGGACCCTCAGGATATCCTCAGGACAACATGCATCAGATGCACAAGGTACTAGGATGTTTTATATATCTATGTATGTATGTATGTATGTATATGTATGTATATATATATGTATATATATATACATACATATACATATATATATATATATATATATATATATATATATACATATATATATATATATATATATATATATATATGTATATGTGTGTATATATATATATAAATATATATATATGTATATATGTGTGTGTGTGTGTGTGTGTGTGTGTGTGTGTGTGTGTGTAATTTATCCTTTTCTCTAATATAATATTTGTTTAAATTGACTTTAATCTTGTCAATCGGTGCATTATTGATGAACTCTGTGTGACCGCTGGACAGCCCATGGACTCCATGCATGATAAAGGTATGCCAGACGACCCTCGCTATGGTCAGATGAAGGGTATGGGCATGAGACCAGGGGGGCACAGTGGGATGGGACCCCCTCCAAGCCCGATGGATCAACATTCCCAAGGTATGGCATCTCCCAGTATTAGTTTGGATGTGCTTTGTTTCCTAACGCCCCTTTAGAATGGGTGAGTGATGAGTCTGCTGATGTAAAACCACACGTTCCTAATACGAATCCTAATGCAGCTTGAGAGTTTGGAACGAATCCTCTTTTTATTCGTGATTTAAGTTTAAGGCCCTTTAGTCATCACCCACTGCAACTATCTGGTGGTTTACCCCCCCAGTCCAACACCTTAAAGCTGAGTGCCAAGCAGGGAGGCGCTGGGTCCCGTCGTCAAAGTCCCGGACGCTCTACCACTAGGCCACTGCGAAGGTATCTCCTGTAAGCATGAGAGACTCTTTGTGTGCATGTGCACGAGGAGCTGTGCGAACCCACTCGGCCGGCTTTTCCTCTCGTGAGTCGTGATGGCCTTATGGCAGCGAGAGCAGACGCAGGTCCACAGGAAGGGGGCGGAGTGTCAGACATCAAGAGCAGCTGCATCTTAAATCCCGAACGTGTAATTAACTGAAACTAACGTTTTGGGAGGGAGAAACTGGAGGATACGTGTCGTGGCGGCGTTGTTTTATCGTCACAGATTTAATCCTGCTTTAATGTTTCAGAATATTAAAACTTCTAAACATGTCCTTTTAAACATCTAAAAGTTTACATCAGAGTGCCTGAAATGATTTTTTTCTGGGATCTGACATCATCTTTGTGTATTGTTGCTAGGTTACCCGTCTCCATTGGGAGGATCAGAGCATGCGCCTAGTCCTGTCCCTGCTAACGGCCCTCCCTCTGGCCCCGGGTCAGGCCCTCTGGAGGGAAGTGGGGACCTCGGTCAGGGTATGGGCCAACCTAACCGTGGCGGTCCTCAGGCTCCAGGTGGACCACCAGGTCCAGGGGCTGGACCGGGCGGAGCTGGTGGACCCACACCTTTCAACCAGAGCCAGCTGCACCAACTCCGGGCTCAGATCATGGCCTACAAGATGCTGGCGCGCAGTCAGCCGCTTCCAGAGCACCTGCAGATGGCCGTGCAGGGGAAGAGGCCCATGCCCAATATGCCCCCCTCTACGGGGCCTGGAGGTGGCCCGGGAGCTGGACCCGGACCAGCTCAGACCAGTTACAACAGACCACACGGTGAGGATGTCTTCTTCAGGGAAAAATGTGTTCTACATTAGAAAAAGAAGTTTGCTCAGTAGATTATGTTATGTCCTTATTAGCTGTTACCTGAAAATGAATTACATAGGTGATTCTGTTGCTCCAGGTATGGTGGGTCCCAATATGGCCCCTCCTGTACCTGCAGGAGGTCCTCCTGCAATGCAAGGACAGCATGCTAACGGGCCTCCCAAGCCATGGCCTGAAGGTAAACGTGGTCATGGCAGCAACACCAGAAACACGATTTTAGCTTAACGAGAAGAAAACCTTTTCTGAAAACCTCGTCTCTCACTCGATTGTCCTCTAGGACCAGTTGTGAACGCTGCTGCCCCTTCCAACCCTCCTCAGAAGCTGATTCCTCCCCAGCCTACTGGCAGGCCCTCTCCGGCTCCACCTTCGGTGCCTCCAGCGGCCTCCCCAGTAATGCCTCCTCAGACTCAGTCTCCGGGGCAGCCTGCACAGCTCCCTCCCATGATGCTGCACCAGAAGCAGAACCGCATCACACCTGTCCAAAAACCCCGCGGGCTGGACCCAGTGGAGATCCTGCAGGAGCGGGAGTACAGGTGAGAGCCTGGGGGCACAAAGGCATCCCTGTAAAGGCCCTGGTGGCTGGGGGGTGTGCAGTTATGTGGTTCAGATGAATCGGTGAATTGAATCATTTTACCTCCAGCACTTTAGGTGATTGAGTTATTGGAGTAAACCCCCGTCGGGGCAGGAGGTTGCACTGGGTGTCCGGACCCGTTTATATCTGGTTGCTAGGTGGACCAGTAGGGAGTTTCTGGTTTTCCAGCTTGTCTGGGGCATGTATGCGACAAATACTGGCATAACGAGAAGAGGAAGGAAGAGCTGCAGCCGTGTGCGTTCATCATAACCTCAGTTCAAACTTTTTAAGCAGCAGCTTCTGGACAAAGACTGCCTCGTCCCACTGAAGCCAACAAAACTCAAACCTTTCCTTTTCATTTCTTTAAACATTCACATTAGAGCTGCAGCTATCGAATATTTTTGTAATCGAGTACTCTAATAAATGACCCTTTTGTGTTTGTAAACCATTATATTCTTTCCTGGCACTTGCAGAGTACAGATGCTTCTCTTTTTGCTCCCTTATCTTTTTTTCCCAAGGCTCTTTGTCCTGTCTGCCCACGGAGCACTTCTCTGCATTTCTTCTGAAAAACCCTATTTTTAACCATGGATTTGATAAACTGGTCATTCAACACGATCGATAAGATTTTTTCAACAATGAGAACGGAGCAGGGGGCTCCCACATGTCCACAGGGGACACACCCGGTGGGATATATGCTGGATTCCTGGAAGGAGTAGAAGATCATATGCCTCAGCCAGCTGTCCATTGAGGACGTCAAAGACGTGTGGATGTTCGGCCTGGTGATCACTGGATTTCTCCTGATTGGAGTGGGAGGATATCTGGTTTTCTGGAAATTTGGGAAGACGGGAGCGATTGGAGGGCGACCCGCACCCACGGAAATTACCGTCCGTGTGGAGACTTCTCAGACCGGGACGTTACTCGAGGTGAATCGTAAGCTGGACAATGTTCTAGCTGTGATACCGGTATTAGTGCGCAAAATGGATGTCATCTCGGAGAGAGTCACCGGACGGTATGGACAGGTTTAAAAACCCAAAATTGGCTTCACGGAAGGACTGGAATGATCAGTTTGAAGACTGAAGGCAGAGAGGAAAATGATCTCAGCCTGACCCAAACAAATTCTTGTTATCTGAATCTGACGCCCTGGTAGCCTTGAGAAGGCTTGCAACAAACCCCCACGAAGGAATGCAGACAGATGCTGTGAAAAAAACCGACGTGTCGTGTAAAAACTGCTATTTTTAGCACATTTTGGGTCCGTGTTCTACCAGACGACAGCGTGAGCTGAAAATGAGCGCTACAAACGAAAAAGTCGCTCAGCGTCCGCAGAATATACAGCGGACCTCCGAGTCCGCCTGCAGAAGTGACATTTACATGTGGATGTTTCCTGGTCAGGTGCTGCAGCATGGAGGATGTGGTGGTGTGGTAGGCTAGATCCACTTTACAGTATTTACACTGGACTACGTTTTCCACCTTGCGATGTGAAAAATGCTCCCACACCTTTGACATTTTCTGTCTTTTTCGCACTCCACTGGGCTCCACGTGGTCCGCCATGGCTTAAGAGAAAGTTAAGTTACAGTCGCTACTCGCGTGTGCATTCAGTGCAGTGTGTGCGTCACTTATTTCGGTCCGGGTGAAACACGACCCCGGGCGATTGCAAAGCCGTGAATTAATTAAACATGAATTAAACGAAGCCTCGAGGCAGAGAATTTGACTCGAGGATTTTTTTGTACTCGAATTATTCGAGGTACTCGAGGAATCGTTTCAGCCCTAATTCACACAATAAAATATTTTCCGGGGCTTGATTAACGTCCTTTGTTGTATTTTGTCAATAAAACAACCATATCTGTTGTGTGTTTTCCAGGCTCCAGGCTCGTATAGTGCACCGTATCCAGGAGCTGGAACACCTGCCTGGCTCACTCGCAGGTGATCTTCGCACCAAGGCCTCCATCGAGCTTAAAGCCCTCCGACTGCTTAACTTTCAGAGACAGGTATGGGTTGAGGGGGGTCTCCTTAGTGGGACCAATTCCAGTTTAACGGTTTTGTTGTTCCAGCTGCGTCAGGAGGTGGTGGCGTGCATGCGTCGAGACACTGCACTGGAGACCGCCCTAAACGCTAAAGCCTACAAACGCAGCAAGCGTCAGTCTCTGCGGGAGGCCCGCATCACCGAGAAGCTCGAGAAGCAGCAGAAGATTGAACAAGAGCGTAAACGTAGACAGAAACACCAGGTACGGAGTCACGAGTGCTGAGGTGCTCATGCTGGGCCCTGCTTGTTGCTCAGTCACACATCAACCAAATGTCAGCAGACACTTGAAGAGTTTGTGTCTGTGTAGGAATACCTCAACAGCATCCTGCAGCATGCCAAGGACTTTAAGGAGTACCACCGCTCCATCACGGCGAAGATCCAAAAGGCCACCAAAGCCGTGGCGACCTACCACGCAAACACCGAGCGCGAGCAGAAGAAGGAGAACGAGCGTATAGAAAAGGAGCGAATGCGGAGGCTGATGGTGAGACTTTTACTAAAATCTGTTCTGGAGACCACTCAAAACATCAGGAGCCACCAGAAAACGAGTTTGTCTCGGCACATTTGAACTGACGTGAACCTCCTTCCAGGCTGAAGACGAGGAAGGCTACCGTAAACTTATCGACCAGAAGAAGGACAAGCGTCTGGCCTACCTGCTGCAGCAGACGGACGAATACGTCGCCAACCTCACGGAGCTGGTGCGCGCCCACAAAGCTGCTCAAGCGCTCAAAGAGAAGAAGAAGAAGAAGAAGAAAAAGAAGGTGAATATTTAAGTAACCACTCATTTTCTGGAATGAACCTGCGTGTTTTTAACTCCACGTGTTTTACTTCATCAAATCAGAAATATCAGGGCAAGTTTTCCACCCCCATCTACTTCCTACCCCCCAGCCAACCCCCTGTCTGTCTTTACTCCTGTAGATTTCCAGGACATTTGCCTCATTCAGACACATGAAACCAACCTCATGCCCTGCTGATTTCATTCCTACTACCTTGTTCATCAGGATGTTTGACCAAACTGGCCCATGCGTTGTAGATTTATTCATTTATGCCTACAATCTGGCTCTGTACCGTCTGTTTTCAAACATGCAGTCATTGAACCCATCCTTAAAAAACCCAGTTTGGACTCATCTCAGCCTAAAAATTACAGACCCATCTCTAAATGACCCTTCATCTCTAACATATTGGAAAAGGTTATAGCAGATCAGCTGATGACTTTTCTGGAACTACACAACAGTTTAGATAAATTCCAGTCTGGTTTTGGTAAAAAGCGTTCAACAGAAACAGCTTTGCTTAAAGTTTCCAGTGACATCATGATGGCTGCAGACAACGGGGAGTTCACAGTGTTAGTATTGTTAGACCTTTCTGCAGCTTTTGACACTGTTGATCACAACACCTTAATTAACAGACTTGGTGACTCGGTGGGATCTCTGAAACTGTTCTAGACTGGTTTAGATCGTACCTTTCTAACAGAAGTTACAGTGTCTGTAGAAACCAGATCATGTCAGATTCTACCTATCTGTTCTGTGGGGTACCCCAAGGCTCTGTTTTGGGTCCACTGTTGTTTCTGCTGTACATGCACCCTCTTGGACAGATACTTTATTCTTTTCATGATGTCTCTTATCACCTATATGCAGATGACATTCAGCTGTACTGCTCCTTTAAGGATTCTGAGTTCTACAAGCTGTCTGAATTACTAGAGTGTCTATCAGCGATCACCAGCTGGCTAGAAGATACTGTAACTTCCTCCAGTTAAACTCTGAAAAGACTGATTGTCTGATCATTGCCCCTGAGAGCATGGTTCCCCTGATTAGTCTAAAACTTGGTCATTTATCCTCTGCCGTCAAGACAAACTTAAGAAATTTGGGTGTTTTTGACCAATCAATGTCTCTTGAAGGTCACTCAAAAACATTGATCTAAAACAGTTTTTAATCACTTAAGAAATATCTCCAAACTGAGAAGGTTGTTGTCAAAACATGAACTTGAAATGGTTCTCCATGACTTTATCTCCTCCCGTTACTGTAACACACTCTTCACATGTTTTAACAAGAAAGCCCTTGACCTCCTTCAGTTGGTCCAGAACTCTTCAGCGAGGCTCCTAACTGGAGCAAACAGAAGAGCACACATCACTCCTATTCTGATGTCTCTGCACTGGTTACCCGTTTCCTTTAGAGTTCATTTTAGAGTCCTGACTAGAACTTTCAGGGCTCTACATGGTCAAGCTCCTCCCTACATTATTGAACTGTTAAAGCCTTATGCTCCAACCCGAGCCCTCACATCCACACTCCAGAACCCTCTACTCCCCCACTTGTCCAGATTTAGGGTAACATCAGATTTTAACCATAGGCCCTATCAAATAAAAATGTTTTAAGCCTATTCTTAAAAGTAGACAAGGTGTCTGCCTCATAGACTAAAGCTGGGAGCTGGTTCCACAGGAGAGGAGCCTGATAACTAAAAGATCTGCCTCCCATCCTAATTTTAGATATTCTGGGAACCACCAGTAGACCTGCAGTCTGAGAGCGAAGTGCTCGGTTAGGAACGTATGGAACAATCAGATCACTGATGTATGATGGAGCTTATTAAGAGCTTTATATGTGAGAAGGATCTTATATGACTTTATATTGTTTTGATCTACGTGAAGCTCTTTGTGATGCTATGTCTGTTATAAGTACTTTATAAACAAAATGTACTTATTAACTTCAGAAGCCCGAAATCGCAGAGGGAGCTGCTCCTGCTATGGGACCAGATGGGGAGGTGAGATTCTAGAAGAACATCATTCTAAGCATCACCTTTGACGATTCGTCCTAACAGCTGGTTGTCATTTCTTCTTCTGCTCTACCAGCCTTTAGACGAAACCAGTCAAATGAGTGACCTTCCAGTGAAAGTCATCCATGTGGACAGTGGGAAGATCCTGACGGGTGGGGATGCACCGAAGGCCGGTCAGCTGGATGCCTGGCTTGAAATGAACCCGGGGTGTGTATCGCAGCTCCTCGGCTAAAGCCAGATCAGTGATGGACAGGAAGGTTTTACTAAAACCAGTTTCCTTCAGGTACGAGGTGGCGCCGCGCTCAGACAGCGAGGACAGCGGTTCAGATGACGAAGAGGAGGAGGAGGTAAATGATGTCTTGGTGTTGAACCGTGGCCGGTTGGAGTTGCCAGGCCTAAGTTTTGGTTTGTTTTCTGGAGGATGAGGACGAGCAGCATCAGCCCTCTTCAGCTTCAGCCGACGAGAAGAAGAAGATTCCAGACCCGGACAGCGAGGACGTTTCAGAAGTGGATGTCAGACACATCATAGAGTGAGCTCGTGGACTTGTGTTGTTACTGAGCATCCACACGCCCTCGTGACTGTTTGGTTCCATTGTTTAATGATGAAGGACCTGTTCTTTCTTTTGTAATCTGCGTTTTTCACTGGCTGTTCCACAAACATCTCACTGTGTGCGTCTGTCTCTTTCATCAGGCACGCCAAGCAGGATGTGGACGACGAGTACGGCAGCGCAAGCTTCAACCGAGGCCTGCAGTCCTACTACGCCGTCGCTCACGCCGTCACTGAGAAGGTGGATAAACAGTCCTCCCTGATGGTCAACGGTCAGCTCAAGCAGTACCAGGTAACCCGGCACCGCTGAAACAAAGGAAACCAAAGGCTGACCAGAGCTAATTCCCCCGTTTGCTGCTCAGATTAAAGGCCTGGAGTGGCTTGTGTCGCTCTACAACAACAACCTGAACGGCATCCTCGCTGATGAGATGGGTTTGGGGAAAACCATCCAGACCATCGCCCTCATCACTTACCTCATGGAGTTCAAGCGCATCAACGGGCCCTTCCTCATCATCGTGCCCCTCTCGTAAGTCGCTTACATCCCGATTAAAAAGAATCCTACAATCAGGGTTTTTCCTGCACTCAAATTTGCGTGGCGGCCGCCTCCAGCTAATTTTGTGCCGCCCCAGCCTGATTTCACTCTGCCCCCACAGGGTATCCGCGGGTCCTTAAAAAGTCTTAAAAAGTCTTAAATTTGCTTTTCAAAATTTAAGGCCTTAAAAATCCTTAAAAATTACAAATAATCCTTAAATACAGTTTCCAAAGGTCTTAAATTACCAAAGGCCCACTAAACAAGATTCTTTTATTTCTATAAAATTTTCGTGAATTTCTAGTTAGCGTTCAGCGTTTCTTGTGTGTGATAGTGGTGTAAGCAAAACCGTACACATTCAGTTGGTTGTGAAAGGGGGCTATTTTTAGATGAGCACATTAGCTGGTTAAGCTAGTGAGAGCTGGCGCTACACGGGGAATTGCATGTTTAATGGTAACTGGATGGCTAATCCCACGTTCGCGATGTGGTTAGCACCTGTTAAGCTTAAATTTAACTTAAAAAAAAGCTTAAATTTGGTCAAAGTGGCCTTGAAAAAGGTCTTAAAAAGTCTTAAATTTGGCTCCCTTAAACCTGCAGATACCCTGCCCCAGCTATATGGATGTTATTTTAACTGCAGTTGCAGCGTTGCGCCACTACAGGGCGCTATATCAGCAGCGGTGCACCGAAAAGCACTAAAACCGCTGCAGACAAAGATCAAAAATAGCTTTTCTCGCTAGTGGGTACATACCTATGGTTGGTGCTATTAACGTCCTGATTTTGCCCCAGGCTCTTCCATGTCAGAGCAAGGCTGTAAATGTCTGTGTGTGTGTCCGTCTATTTTTAAACGTAGCTCGGGTGCAACATCTTTGAATTACTATTTTCCCCAGAGCACTATGATTGGCCCACCACTATTGACCAATCACAGCTCTTTATGTGTTTGAAACCCCTCTAGAGAGCTGTGATTGGCCAGCCAGAATGCTGTTGGGGCTGCGGAGGTTCCAGTGGAGCGTTCCTAGACCAAACTTCGCAAAGCAAGAATTTGGCCTAGTTCACTCGGCTATATTATTGAGCCTTTCAAAATAAGAGTCTGTTATTTCAGCCTATTAATTTTGTTGTTTTATTTCATATTTTTTAGCAGCAAACCAGTTTTGTTTCACTTGAGACGTTGTCAAATGGAATATTCTATTAATCGCCAGAAGCTTAGATTAGAACACTTAACGAAAACATATTTGGCCTTTAAAAAAGTGAGGCAGTTGAATGCACAGAGTACGCATGTGCTGGCGCACGGTCAGGATGGTACCACCTCTGCCTCAGTCTGAGCCAGGAACAACCCTGATATAATTATATCTAAAGGTAGAAAACCTCCAACTGGATGTGAGGTTTTCCTTTTTGTTTTCAGGACTTTATCAAACTGGGTGTACGAGTTTGATAAATGGGCGCCGTCTGTTGTGAAGGTCTCCTATAAGGTGAGCGGGACCTTCCTGATGTTCTGCTTGGTTCTGTTTCTCATCGTGGTCTAAGAAGCGATCTGGTTTCATTTCAGGGGTCCCCCATTGCTCGTCGTTCCTTTCTGCCAATCCTCCGAAGTGGTAAATTCAACGTGCTGCTCACCACATACGAGTACATCATTAAAGATAAGCAAGTGTTGGCCAAGGTAACCGCGGCCTCCTCTAACGCCAACTCCAGGTCACAAACGCGCTCCTTACCTGAAACGTGTCTGTCCCAAAGATCCGTTGGAAGTATATGATCGTGGACGAGGGTCACCGCATGAAGAACCACCACTGTAAGCTGACGCAGGTGTTGAACACGCACTACCTGGCCCCGCGGCGTGTGCTGCTCACAGGAACGCCGCTGCAGAACAAGCTGCCGGAGCTCTGGGCGCTGCTCAACTTCCTGCTGCCCACCATCTTCAAGAGCTGCAGCACCTTTGAGCAGTGGTTCAACGCCCCCTTCGCTATGACCGGAGAAAAGGTGAGTCCGAGGCTTACTTCCTCAGGTTTCTTTCCCCACGCCGCATACTTACGGGTTTATTGTTTGACGTGAAGGTTGACCTGAACGAAGAAGAGACCATCCTGATCATCAGACGTTTACACAAAGTGCTTCGACCGTTCCTGCTGCGCCGACTCAAGAAGGAGGTGGAGGCTCAGCTGCCGGAGAAGGTGAAGATCATTTCTTTATGCATTTATTTTAATTAGCATAAATAGGTCAGAGACGAGAGCGCTTTATGGAGAACAAGTCAGCAGTGACCCGTCCTGTTCCTGCTAACAACCATCACGATTTTTACTGTATGCTTTCATCCAGGCAAACTTTGTGTTTCACACAACTTCTACGTCTAGATAAGTTTGACTCGGTTCAGAAAAGGATTATTTTCAGCTGTTAGAATATTAATAATGTTTAATAGTAGTACTGAGATCCACCACAAGGGGGAGGCAGAGAACATTCATGTTTTTAAGATCAGGCTCAAGACCCGCCTTTTTAGTTTAGCTTTTAACTGATTACCATTTATTTCATAGCATGTTTATTTATTTATTTATTTATTTTTAATTACTGTTGTGTTACACATTTGTGTTATTTTATTGTGTTGTTTTTGTATAATCACATTTTATTGGGTATTTTACATCATACATTTTACATATTTTCCATATTAGCTCGTTATTTTACATGTCACGTATTTTAAACCTTCCAGTGTTTGCTCTGTGGAGCCCTCTGCCTCGAAACCGGTGGTCGGTGGCGGCGGCTGGGGCGCTCCTAGAGTAGTGCCCAGGTAGTGGTGGGGGTTGCCACCCTCCCTCCCAGGGCACCCAGGATTGGTGTCTTGGCTGCTGCCGTCGATCTGCTGCTGTCGAGGCAGATGGCTCCCATGATGGCGTGTCTTTCATTGCCTGTCCAATCTGAGCTCAGCCTAGTGTTTACTGTGGTCTTTTAATGTGCTCTGTGTGTGTGTGTGTGTGTGTGTGTGTGTGTGTGTGTGTGTGTGTGTCTGGGAATGGTTTGTGGATTGGGGGTGAATCTCACAGTTGTTTTGCGTGTGGGAAAGGGAGGGAATGTGGGTTATATGGGTCATTTTAATCTGTTAAGCACTTTGTGTTGCTTCCTGTGCATGAAAAGTGCTTTATCAATAAAGTTTGATTTGATTTGACGAAAGCGTTTGATCAGCCACCGTTTGAGGAAAGTAAAACATCCAATAATTTTTTTTCAGGCAGCACAAATTAATTTTGTTTGAGTGAAAAGAGCTGCTGGTGACGTGGCAGCGGCTGAATAACTCATCATGTTTAATAATTTTCTGTTTTTGTGTATTTCTGCAGCCCTCTGCTGCATTTAGCCTTTAGGTCTAGTTCCACGTGGTCTAGGTTTGGTTGTTTCCAGGTGTGATAGAAGACCAGGTGTGTGTTGCTGCTAATCGCGTCCCTTCCTGTCGTCTGCAGGTGGAGTATGTGATCAAGTGCGACATGTCGGCGCTGCAGAGGGTGCTGTACCGGCACATGCAGGCTAAAGGAGTGCTGCTGACCGACGGGTCCGAGAAAGACAAGAAGGTAGCACGGGGGTGCTGCTTTTGAAATTAGAGTTGTGATCGACATTAATGTTCTTGCGTTGTAATTTCAGGGTAAAGGAGGAACGAAGACCTTGATGAACACGATCATGCAGCTGAGGAAGATCTGCAACCACCCCTACATGTTCCAGCACATTGAAGTATGAAACATCACGCCGCTGACGGCTCATTTCAGAGTGAATTCCTGACGTTAGCGTTAGCGTCGCCGACGTTTCTATTTCTGTTCTGCTTTGCAGGAGTCCTTCTCCGAGCATCTTGGTTATTCTGGTGGAATCGTGACGGGGTAAGCTGCACCTTCAGCTCGCTCCTCTTAAAGATGGGCGTGTCGTCATTTTCTCACCCTCTTCTGCTCAGACAAGACTTGTATCGTGCATCTGGAAAGTTCGAGCTCCTGGATCGTATCCTGCCTAAGCTGAGAGCCACCAACCACAAAGTGCTGCTCTTCTGTCAGATGACCTCGCTCATGACCATTATGGAGGACTACTTCGCCTACCGCAACTTCAAGTACCTGCGTCTGGATGGTGAGACGCCTTTTCTTCAACCTCCTGATTGTTTCAGAGTGGATTTGAGAAGTTACGAGTGTTTGGGACGTTTTTCTCCAACAGGAACCACCAAAGCCGAGGACCGCGGGATGTTGCTGAAGACGTTCAACGACCCGGCCTCTGAATACTTTGTGTTCTTGCTCAGCACCAGAGCAGGAGGTCTGGGCCTGAACCTGCAGTCTGCAGACACCGTCATCATCTTCGACAGCGACTGGAACCCTCACCAGGTGAGACGGGTCTCTGTTGCAGCTCGGGACTTTTTTGTTCTGAAAACTGAAAATCCGTTTTTAAGATTGCCAACCAACCGTCACTTCTGGAGTCCAGCAGCCTGGCAAGCCCTCCGAACAAGCTGCTGCCATGTTAGCTTTGCTCAGTCGCAGTAACATCCCAGCCACCAAACCGATAAAGCCCTGTGGTTGGCCAGCCAGCAGACTGGCCCGGCCAGCGGGGGTTCCAGTGGAGCGTCGCTGGACCGACTAATCTCCTTTTCTCCTTCACACAGGACCTGCAGGCCCAAGACCGAGCCCACCGCATCGGCCAGCAGAACGAGGTGCGCGTTCTCCGCCTCTGCACCGTCAACAGCGTGGAGGAGAAGATCCTGGCGGCTGCTAAGTACAAGCTGAACGTGGACCAGAAGGTCATCCAGGCCGGCATGTTCGACCAGAAATCTTCGGGCTGCGAGCGCCGGGCCTTCCTACAGGCCATTCTGGAGCACGAGGAGCAGGATGAGGTGGGGCGCCGAGGCAGCTGGTGAGCTGTGAGGGGGGGGTGGGGGCGAGATCTGAGCTCACCCCCCGCTGTGGTTTTGTCTGCAGGAGGAGGACGAGGTGCCTGACGATGAGACGGTCAATCAGATGATCGCCCGAAGTGAAGAAGAGTTTGAGCTGTTCATGGTTGGTCCCGCCCCCATACGAGTTCTCCTGATGTTCCTAAACCTTACAACCTGACTCTTAACGGGTTTTGTCCCAGCGCATGGACCTGGACCGTCGCCGCGAGGAAGCCCGCAACCCGAAGAGGAAACCTCGTCTGATGGAGGAGGACGACCTGCCGGGCTGGATTTTGAAGGATGACGCCGAGGTCGAGAGGCTCACCTGCGAGGAAGAGGAGGAGAAGATGTTTGGCCGGGGATCTCGTCAGAGGAAGGAGGTGGACTACAGCGACTCTCTGACTGAGAAGCAGTGGCTTAAGGTGGGAGGAGTCCCGGTCCCGTCATCAGAACATAACGCTCTTTTCCCAGGCTAGGAGGACTCACGTGTCTCGTCCCTACAGGCCATAGAAGAAGGTAACCTGGAGGACATAGAGGAGGAAGTGCGTCACAAAAAGACTACCAGAAAACGGAAGCGAGACCGCGATCACGACGGCCCGGCCACGCCCAGCTCCAGCGGCGGCCGGGGGCGGGACAAGGACGACGACGGCAGGAAGGCGAAGAAACGCGGTCGCCCCCCGGCTGAGAAGCTCTCTCCTAACCCGCCGTCCCTCACCAAGAAGATGAAGAAGATCGTTGATGCTGTCGTCAAATATAAGGACGGGTGAGATGAACAGACCGCGTCGATGGGTTATGACATCACGCGCGTTCTGAACTGCCCTGACGTGTTGGCGCCTGAAGGCCGAATCGTTGGGTTCACCCGTCATAATGTTTTGGCATATTTGGCACATAAGTGATGGAATAGGTAATGAAGATGATGACTAGAACCACTCCTGTTTTGGTTTCCGTAGGAACGGCCGACAGCTGAGTGAGGTCTTCATCCAGTTGCCTTCTCGCAAAGAGCTGCCAGAGTACTACGAGCTGATCCGCAAGCCGGTGGACTTCAGGAAGATCAAAGTAGAGACCGAGACCTGCTCTTCCTGTTTTCATGTCTGACGTTTGTTCTGCAGGACTAATGAGCGACTTCCTGTTTCAGGAGAGGATCCGCAGCCACAAGTACCGCAACCTGAATGACCTGGAGAAGGACGTGATGCTGCTGTGTCAGAACGCCCAGACGTTTAATCTGGAGGGATCTCTGGTGAGAAGGATGGATCGTGCATCCAGTCCACTTAATACTGAGCGTTGTGCGCGGTCGACATCACCTCTGTCTGCTTAACCCTAAACCTCCAGATTTCTAATCGTTAAAGCCTGAGTCGTGCTTCTCCGTCAGCTCCAACAGGGAGAGACACGCACGCACGGACGGAGATGTTTTGCCCTCATACTTCTCCTTCTCCTGGAGAGTGTTGCAAAGCAATTCCCCGGCAGGACAGCAGAGGGCGTAGCGCTGTTCTGTGGTGTCATGTATCGGTCCAAGATAGTGTGTTTATATTGTGTTTTTTTGTATATAAGAGACTTTTTAACACAGACATATTTGTCTCTCATCCTCCTCCACCTCCTCATGCGCTCCCCACCTCTAAACCCACGTTTCCTGTCATTTCTGTCCACAAATAAAACGCTTGCTGCACATCTTTTCACTCCTCCAGTCACGGGGAACTAAACGTTCATGTTTTTAGAGTTTTTTCGCAAAGTATTCTTCAAGCTTCTCAGTGTCGGCCGTTAGTTATCCTCGGCTCTCTTTATGTTTTTGAGGGCGCAATGGAGGCGGTGTAGACGACAGCGGCGTCCTGACCAATCACAAGCTTGCGTTGTCCGTCTCAACGGACGGATGTTTAGAAAAGAGAGCTCGGCTCTGTCCGTCCATGCGGGGCTCTCCAGCAGGGACGGATAATGGCGTTGCGTGTCTCCGCTCTGACGCAGACGCAGAAGCACGACTCGGACTTAAGAGTTTAGCTTCTAAATGTTAGTAAACAGTTAGAATGGTAATCTTGAAACGACGTGTTTTAGCTCTGTTGGCCGCGTTCACGGACGGTAGGGACGAAGCTTCTAGTCGTAATCATGGAATTAGCCAAAGGGGCTTGAGGTGCGATACCGTTTGATGCCTCTAGGTGGTGCCCTCTGAGGAGAAAGCTCCAGGTTTCTGCTTTAATTGATGGGGCGATACCGCACGACTTGGCTTTTGCAGCACTTCTTTAAGCCGGGGACTCCAAAGCGCTTTACACTAGTCATTCACCCATTCACATGCTGGTGATGAGGTGCAATGTAGCCGCAGAACGAGTTACCACTAACTTGGACTACATCAACCCTTTAAAGTATATCCTGATGTTAGTTTCAGACCCGGCCCGGTTGGGACCAGATCCCAAATGAAAGTAAAAGCACTCATTCTTCTGTTTCGCGTGAACCTTCCAGATCTACGAGGATTCCATCGTGCTCCAGTCGGTTTTCACCAGCGTGAGACAGAAGATCGAGAGGGATGACGAGAGCGAGGGAGAGGAAAGCGAGGAGGAAGAGGAGGAGATTGATGAAGGCTCAGAGTTTGAATGTGAGCATCAGAACTCAGCCCAAACTCGTGGCGGTCACGGCAGCTGTTAACGCTCTGGCCTCACGCTCTCTGGTTTCAGCTCGCTCCGTGAAGGTGAAGATCAAGCTGAGCCGGAAGGAGAAGGGGGATCGAGGGAATAAAGGTCAGCGGCGGAGGGGCCGCGGCTCCCGAGCCAAACCGGTGGTTAGCGACGACGACAGCGAGGACGAACAGGAAGAGGTGAGATCGGCTCGCTGATGTCGGTAACGGCCGTCTTTAGTTGGACGTGACCGGTAAACCTGTTGTCGTGGTTTCTGTTGCAGGAGCGTTCAGCCAGTGGCAGTGAGGAGGACTGAAGACCGGACCAACGGAGCTTTTGACTTGATTTTATATCGTTTTACGTAGATTCAGCAGGGAGGCGGGCCTAGTTTGACCTAGATGAGCTGGTTTTTAGCGGGAAAGTTGTCACTGAAACACCATTAATTAAAACTATGGAAGCCTTCGTGTCGTTTTAACCACGTCCTGTTTGTGCATCTTCCTCCTCCAAGTGGAATATTGACGGAGTCGGGTTTTTACGGACTGATCGTGGACCATCAAAACTTTTTTTTAACCATAATTCTGCCGTCTCATAAATTTGAGAAGTGTCCCTCTTGAATGCATGTCTGGATGTGTCTTCACTATTATCTGTGTTTAATTTAACGACTCACAAGTGGGATCGCTGTACGTCCCACCCTGCAGCCCCTCCCTCTCAGGTCACTTATGCAAAGGGGGGTGGGGGGGATAGGACCTTTTCTCCTGTCGGTGTCACTGGATTCCATAACGTACAATAAAGACATCTCGTGATTCATTTGTTGTCTTTTCTGGGTTTTTGAGTCTGGATTGAAGCCTAATTAGGTGAAAACTCGCTTGACGTGATAATTTGTTTTGTGTCCTGATCCTGTCCTTCCTCTGGGCATGCCCACCCACGTTTCTTCTCTGGCGTCTGGTTCCTCTACCCGTTTCTGACCTTGTCTCATTGGTCCCAGTGCCAAATAGGCTCTTTTTATGTCTGTCCACGGATTTCCATCTATGTCCATCCTGTCCTGCATAACTAAAGGGATGAGTCAGGTTAACCCAGAATGTCCTCGGTCCAAGCTAGTAGTAGCATAACTCGAGGTAATACTAGAGTAACTCCCCATAAGACCTGTTCTTAAGAGGATTAAGATGGCTGTAGTTTAAGGTGCCACCCTGACTCTCAGAGCCCCCCAAGGTACTTTACAACAATCATTGAAACAGAAGCAAGGTTGCCATTCGCTGGTGCCACCGGTCCATCCAACCGGCACCAGCAGGTGAGGAGGGTGAGGTGTCTTGCTCAAGGACATGACTGCAACAGATTGACCGGGGCTCAAACCTGCAACCCCGATTATAAGGCGGGCACTCCGCTCCTCTGCCGCTGTCGCCCAGTTAAGATCTTTTCTATGGGACAGTTTTAAGCCATCTTACCTGTTTCAGATGGTTTGTTGAACAACCTCAGCTTGATGATGTAGAGTTGATCTGACCGGACTGACGAGCTAACGGCTAGAAGAGCCGTCACTAATCTCGAATTTAATCTTTAAGGTTGTTAAGTAAACATTTATATTGCTGTGATTTATATCTTTGACAAATATTTACTCATAAGTTTGGTTATTTGCAGTAAAAGTTAGCCATGTCTGCAGCAGAACCTGCTAGCGGAGGCATGTGCCACCTCAGGCGGAGCTGTTGGGTTTTTGGACGATCGGGTCATGATTCTCGCTGGGAAGTCCAGTTCTGGGAACCAACCTCAATGTTTTCATGAGGAAAAAAAAGCTGATAATAAAGACCTGTTTTTATATTTTTGTTCCTTCTCTTTCTGCAGATGTAGCATCTGATTCCTTGTATTCCCTTCCGTCCGTCCTTCCTTCCTTTTCTGTTGTGATGGAAATAAATCCAAAGCAATTGAAATAAACAAAACTTGCATATTTTTACAGTACATACATATAAATATCAGTTGGAGCGTTCTATCGGCAGCTGTGACCAGACAGGAAAACTTTATTCACATTTCTGCTAGCCTAGAAATCTGGACCGTCTGGTGCCAAAGCAGAAGGATTTTGCTCACATAGGATGGCTCGCTTTTAAGCCACATTTCTGCTTCATGACTGTCGAGGGAGGGTGACTTACCCAGATCCCACTTTCCTTTGATCCCTGTTGGCTCCGCCCACATTTAGAAGAGCGAGTGGAAACGTGACCTTCATCAGATCTTCAGTCAGGAGTAACAGCTACTAGCCCCTGAACAGCAGCATGAATCTGCTGCAGCACGCCTCACTCATCCTTCTCCTTTTTGCCCAACATCAGACAAGTAAGTTCAATATTTTACATGAGATTGTTTATTTTCTGTCTTTTCCTAAATTACAAAGTGCTGCGACTCATATTCAGTAAACTTCGAGCAAAGTACTCATTTGTAATTTTGTTAACATGCATGGACAAGACAAGATTACAGAATAAGATGTTGGTTTCATTAAAAAGAAAAGCACCGGCTGAGCTGTGCTACACCTCTCTGGGTATTTAACGTTGTACGTTTACTGTTGTTTAATATTGTACTTTGACTTTTCCCCTTGTGCAAATATGTTTACTGGCTTTGCATTTGTTTGCTGAAGCAAAACCTCTTGCAAAAGTTAGAATAAACACAAATATCTGTGTTGCACAAGTTTACTGGAATCAGTACAGAAACAGTAGGCGTGTTGGTAAGCAGCTCTTGGTTTTGCAAAGAGGCGATTATAACTCAAACAAATCAGAAAGGGTGGTGGTGAGTGGTGAATGTGGGCTTTGGAAGCAGCTAGAATGGAGTGTCATCTTCAAAGATGTGAACATTACTATTGATTTTAGGAAAAATATGTCAGATTGGAAGCAAATCTTTGATGAAAAGACGTGACCCGAGAACAGAGTCCTGAGGAACACCTGTGGAGTTTGGCTTTGTGCAGCCATAGAAGTGAGTTTTGAACCAGTTAAAATGTGTCTCCGAAGTGCCAATAGAAGTTCATCTGCCTTGTATAATGGTTTGGGAGAGGTTATCATCAAGGGTGCCCCCAAGGGGTGGCCATGGCCACCCCTAAAAAACAGCTGCCCCCCCCCCCCCAGGAAAAGCCAGTGTCAATAAATCATATTACTGTTCAGTCAAACTATATAATGATCTTGTTTATTCAAGACATAATTGTAAAACAAATAAAAATAATACAATTAACGAGTAAAGAAATATGTTTCTGCTGATCACCATTTTAAAAAAAAGTTTTTATCTTCATAGTTTTTTTTGTGAACAAAGCAACAGGTGAATTAACCAGAAAAAATACATTTTTAATTCACTTTGAAATAACATTTTAAATAACTAAAATTTCTTTTTCTGATATGTTTGGGTTTGTAAAATTTAAGTGAAACGTTTTGGATACGTACTGTTTTTTTTGTCTGTTTGTTTGTTTGTTTTTTTAAACAAAAACTAATAAAGGAGCAATGCAGTACATCGCCACAGGCTAAACTCTCCCAGACGTACTACAAGGACCAATTTGGTGTGTCACCCAAAAATAATTTTTTGGCCTCATCTGGCCACCCCTATCAAAATTTTCTGGAGGCGCCCCTGGTTGTCATGTACTTGACTTGTAATTTGCGATACAATCAGACAAGTAATTAATACTTTCAGAAAGCAACAATCGTAGTTAAATTAGCTCCAAACGTTTTGGCCCCGTAGCAGATTTAAACAACAGCATCAACCCACTCAGCTGAATGATTCTGTCCATCAGGGGCTTTGAAGTGTTCACCTCTGGAGTTCAGGTGTTGCAACAGCAAATGCATCCCATCGACCCTGAAGTGTAACGGTGTGGATGACTGTGGCAACGACACGGATGAAGACTCTCATTTAATGAGGAACTTTTGTAATTTTTCTGTAATCCTGGAGGTTCCCTAATCCCTCTTTGGTTTTCACTTCTAGCAAAATTAACATGCAGACCACCAATGTTCAGCTGTGGCAACCACCAGTGCATAATGTCCTCATGGGTCTGTGATGGAGACATGGACTGCAAAAACGGAGCTGATGAGAAGGATTGTGGTAAATAAATGTTGGCACTTACTTTGATGATCTTCATGCTTCTCCTTGAAATCACAGCCAAGTTCTAAACTCTGCCTTTTGACATCATAAAAGACTTGAGTGGTTAAAAGTCAAACAGCTCTGAGTTCCTCAAATCACGATTTCCTGGGTGTGTTTTCCTTCTAGGTGTCAGAGCCTGTGGACATGATCAGTTCAGCTGTGGAAACCAAACAGGTTTATGTGTAGCAATCACCTGGAGGTGTGATGGAGATGAAGATTGTCCAAATGGAGCTGATGAGCAGAATTGTGATCGTACGTACATAACTATTATCTGTCTTTGAAGATATCTTTCTACACTTCAGTGCCACTTTCATAGCAGTTCAGGTGAATGTGTTTCTGTCAGCTTTGTTTCCAATGATGCACTGAAAACATGGAAAAACCCATGCCGGAAAAGTCTCCAGGTGTTCCTTGGGAGTCTGGGAGGAGCTGGAGAGTCTCTGGGGAGAGGGATCTTGGATTTAGGCCAGATTTCTGCAACCATAATGGTCCAATCAGCTGCTTCCCCCCTCAGCCCTCAGCCGAACTGGTGACAGGACCTTTTGAAAAGAGAACGTTTATGTGTTTCATAAATATCTATGGAAGAGGATAACGGCTAATGAAAAAAATAGCTTCTCTTTTTCTCAACGTTCTGAGAAGATTGTGAGAAATCTGAGAAAAAAGTCCGAACTCCGACTTTAAAGTCAGAAATCTTTTTTCCTCTCCCATCAATAGGCTGTGGGAGATCTGCAGGCACTTTTCAAAACATTTGGTTTCAATTATCAAGTTTTAAAACTGAAAAAAGAAATGGCAAAAAAACTTGGAAATTTTTATTTTACATTGATTTTTGTGTAAATTGATGTAAAAACATGAACTGATCTAAGAATTTTACTTTTACTTAATTATTTTTTTGCAAAAATTTCAACTAAATCCTTCCATGGAAAAATCTAGAAAATACTTAAAACTGCATGTTTTCATCATGTATATTTTAAACCCCAGGTTTTTTCTTGTATTTATTTATTTATTTATTTATTTATTTATTTATATCCTTTCTAACCAAAGAGCCTTTGTGGCTCCAGAGCTGCAGACTCCTGGACCAGAATGCTTGCGTCCCTCTTTTCTCCTGCCTGTTGAAAAGGCCAGGCACGTTTCTGTGAATGTCTCTTCCAGAGCCCAAGGAATGTAAACCAGAAGAGTTCAGCTGTGGAAACTCGACAGGTCAATGTATTCCAAAGGCCTGGAGATGTGATGGACGTGAAGACTGTGTACTAGGAGCTGACGAGAAGGACTGTAGATACAGTTAAGCCCACACATCTGCATTTACTTTTTACACCAACAATGATAAAATATACAATTTAAGGAAGTAAATTAGTTATAATTAAAATAAGACTGCTCTAACTTACAGAAATTACAGTTAGTTATCATCACACACTGGTGAAACTAATCTCTGCATGTGACCCATCCCCACGGTGAGCTGCAGCAGTGGCTGCGCTCGGGAACCATTTGGTGCTTTAACCCCCAGTCCAACCCCTTAACCCTCTGGAGGCAGGCGTTGCAGATTAGCAGCGTTAAAACCTACCTACCTGGTTACTCCACGTACATATTTCATGAGCATTTCTCCGACCAGAGAATGCTGCTGTTGTGTCCTTGGACAAGACACCCAGCCCGCCGTGCCTGCTGGTGGTGGTCGGAGAGACCAGAGAGCTCAGCAGGCCTCGCCTCTGGCTGTGGTCACACCGTAGATCATCCCCACCAGTGTGTGAATGTTGTTGAAGAAGCCTGAGAGCGCATTATGAAAAAAGGCCATTTACCATAAACCTGGACCGTGGTTGTGCTTCAAAAACAATTTTCTGTACTTTTCACTTGTAGACTAAAGAACCTGCACACAGTCAGAGTTCAGCTGTGGAAACGAAACAGGTGCGTGCATACTAAGCAGGTGGAGATGTGATGGAGACAAAGACTGCCCAAATGGAGCCGACGAGAAGGATTGTGGTACGTATTTTAGATCTACAGCGGGCTTTTTGTTTCTGCGCCGGTCGTCTAAGAGGGAGCGATCTCTGCTTGTAGCCTTTCATGCAGTTTAGTGTGATCTGTCAGCTTTCAGCTACCTCGTGGTGTTCTGGATGAAAATCTTTACAGCAGGCGATGATGAGCCCTGCTGGACCATGATCCCTTATCGACCTACGTTTACATTGTACCTGGAGTTTAGGCCACTTTAACTTGCATTGTCTGTGGTGCATTTTTCATCTCTTCTAGAGGCAAAAACATGTGGGCCAAAAAGGTTCAGCTGTGGAGACCCAAAAGGTCAGTGCATATCAACCCGGTGGGTCTGTGATGGAGATAAAGACTGTCCAAATGACGCTGATGAGAACAATTGTGGTGAGTTAGTTTCTGCATATTTACTCCCTTCAAAGTCTTCCACTAGAACGTTTTCAGCTGGTTTAGTCCTTTTCGTGGCCTGCCTTCCACTTAAGGCGTGTGGTTACTGTGTTTTTCGGGAGGTCTGTAGGCGTTTGGACTGACCTCCAGTGTGAAGCTCCACATCTGAAACAAAAACCGTCCATTATCAGTGAGAGCTCTAAGTGTATGATGAGGTTGACTCCCCGCTAATACGATACCAAAATGTAGCCCAGCGTCTGGAAAACGAACAGAGCTGTAGACTGTTAGTCGGCTACGTCAGCCATCTTGAATGGGTCTAAAATTGGCTGTTTCTGTTTCTGCCATGTTTGTTACCTTTGGACAGGACGTCCCTACTGAGCACCTAGAACATGATTGTTTGTCTCTCAGATTTGGACAGATAATCCATTTGGGTGACCTTGAAAACAATCGATGGCGTGTTTATCCATCACTGTTAGCCTTGTGCGGACAGTCCATCCAGTTTGTCCTTCAGGCTCTGAACATTTAGTCCAATAAGTAAAGCAGAACATGAGCCCAGACTGGTTTCCACCCTGGTTGCTGGGATCAGTGGTTATTCATTTCTATTTTCTAGCTGATCACACATGCAGATCGACTGAGTTTAATTGTGGAAGCCAGTGTATTCCGCTCATTTGGCGCTGTGATGGAGAAGAAGATTGTTTGAATGGAAATGATGAGGGGGGTTGCTGTGAGTATACTTTAGATTTGCTTTTCTCCTACATGTGTAATATGTCCCTGAGTGTCCTGGGCCTTCTCCTCTCCTCCAGTCCACCAGCAGTGTACAGACCATCAGTTCCGCTGCAGCAATGGTAAATGCATCCCTGTGTACTCAGTCTGTAACAATAAACCAGACTGTGACGACGGCAGCGACGAAGTTTACTGCCCACTCGCCTCCTGCAACTCTGCATCCTTCCGGTGCAACAACAGTGATTGCATACCTGGCTTTTGGTCCTGCGACGGCGACGAAGACTGCTCCGACGGCTCAGATGAGTGGCCCCAAAACTGTGTCTCAAATGAACAACCCTCCTCTGATTCTCACAACTGCACATCCCATCAGTTTCACTGTGGCAACAGACTATGCATTTCTAAAAGTTGGAAGTGCGATGGAGACGATGACTGCCCCGATAAATCAGACGAAGCCGACTGCGGTACGAATTCAGTTAAAACCTTCCTACCAGCAGCTTTTTTCCTCCGCTGGATCCAAATGTCTCTCTTTCCCTCTGCAGATTTCAATGAGTGTCTGCACAACAATGGTGGCTGCTCTCACATTTGCAAAGACCTGAAGATTGGCTATAAGTGCTTGTGCCCAGAAGGGTATACACTATTAGGCCGTAAGCTCTGCCAACGTACGTGACTCTAAACTACGGCCAAATATTTATCTGCTTTCAAAACTCTGATTGTATTTATCTTAAAGAGCAAGTTCACTGAGAATACATTTTTTTAAGTAGGATCGGTGACTCTGAGTTTTTCATGCAGGCTGAACATGAAAATAGTCTCCTACACCTATCTCCTGCACTGGCCGCAGTTAGAAAATAGACGAAGACAGGCTTGGATTAGAAAAGGCTGACAGATCTACGTCACGGTAAAAATGAACATTGATGGACTCCATCTTGACTTACGACAGGGAAGGCTGTTGGTGGTTTAGTGTCCAGAAAACGGCAGAGGACGCCTCGGGTGTAGAAGCTAACCGTTAGCATTAGTGTTGTGGCTAAGGAACGGCAGGTTCTCCACTTAATGTCAAGAAAGGTGCAGACATGGGTACCAAAGTCATTGTTGCCCATGGTTATGGTCGGCTGTTGTATCAGAAAGTAGCACGAGTGGAATTACTTTTCCAAGCTTTATTTGAGCCTGTGTCACATGTAGGAGAATCAGGGATCTCCCTTAAGCCTCTCACTTCTTCTCCTTCTCTCCTACCTATGATCTCTTATCCTCTACTGACCCCTAGAGATACACAACAATTAGCAACTCCACCACACAGCCGAACTCCTCCAAGCTAGCTAAACATCAACGATGCAGAACAGAGTCAGTGGTAGAGCTGTGTTGCTGTTAGCCAGTCATAGGAGAGACATCCAGATATCAGGAAATAAGTCTCCTAAACCTGCTGTGGTCTGCTCCGCTCTCCTCCGGCTAACTTCTGCTTCCTGAAGCAACTCACAAGGCGTTCGTTATTGCTAGAGACCACTGCAGATTTACTGAAACAATGAGTGAACTTGGGGTGTTTCTTAATGTCAAGGCGCCTTGCTTACGAGGACACTGTCCTTCCTTGGTCAAAGAAAACGGTTAAATGGAACAGACTTGCATCACGTGACCGCTGCTTCCACGGCGGTCACGTAATGTCACGTGACACGGTAGATAACATTATATTTTATACGTATTAGTTTCAATATAAATATATAACGAGACTTTTACTTTTTAAATTGTGTTTATGTTTATTAAATTAAAAATATTAGTGAGTTACTGCCCGCTAGCCACCGAAGCTGCACCTACTAAGCAACTAACCAACCATGGATAACTTCTTTGGATCTAAAAAAAAAATTTAAGTTAGTTGACTTGCTTTTAAACTTGAAATTTGTCCCTGAAGTAGCTGCTGGCTTCTGATTCGCCATCCTTTTGAAAATACCGCGGTGTATTCTGGATAATTTTTGACCAAGGCTAGGCTACAAGACTCCTTCCGTGTATCCTCGCTCAGCTAGCTTAACGGCTAACAAACGGAGAACACACGCCTCGGTAGAACATGAACGTCGGAACACGTCTTTAAGAGCATGCTAGCACTGATGCATGTATCATTGTTTCTGCTTTTAGGTAATGGACTGATTTCAACAAGAGGAATAAGAAAAAAGATTAAATTCCTCAATGCTGCTTTGATGATGCAGACAAAAGGAAACAAAATGAAAGCAAAAACGCATATTTTTGATTTCATCGCCTCCTGGTACAGGAGTCCCGTTCAGCTTGCATCCCGCCTCCGGTCCAGTGACCCCTGGTGATCAACTCCAGCTTCCTGTGATCCTGCTCGAGATCAAGCGGGTGTAGAACACACATGGATGGATTTGTTTGAAAGTCTGTAATGAACAAAAACAAAAACAAGCATTTCTGCTGCTTATCTTAGAAAGACACAAATATATAAATAAAGGTTTTTCCCACACTCATTGGTTTTAGTGTCAGTTTTGCCTCCAGAAGCATCTTCATGCCAGACTCAACAGGTGTTGGAAACCTTCCTCAGAGGTTCTGGTCCATACTGACGTCAGTGACATGACATCATCAGACAGCTCCATCCATGATGAGACTCTCCTGGTCCACCACATCCCAAAGCCACACTCACTGGCCCACTCGCCCTGCACCCTTCTGTGAAGTGCACTTAGAGGGAGGTGCCCTGTAAGGCTTCGAGTGCGTAGTACAGAACCGCAGGATGGAGATGGGAAGCAAAGCGCCATCGACCGTAACGCATGCCGGTCGTGTTTTGTGCTACTGTAAAAAAAATCTTTATCAACAACTTTCAAACTAATAATTGTAGGACAACAATAACATCCATCGCTGTTCACATTAAAACTTAGTCTAAAGCATTCAGAGCATGGAAAAATATCATTAATTGTCCTAAATTTAACTTCTTTCTTTTGAAAACACATATTTTCAGAAAAGGCCCTTGAACCGTGGCTCCGCCTTCTTCTCAAAATTGCCAAGCAGAATTGTGGGTAATACCCTTTAGCAAAGTGCGAATCAAGGGTGCAAAAGGGGCGTGGTCTACTTGCGCTCTTGGGGATTGGGACACTCTATGCACTTGCACCGAGTAAGTAGATACATGTCTACTGTTCTCTCTCTCTATATATATATCACTGATATACTGATAGTAATGTTTCTGTCTAATATATTTAAAGGGGCATTATGGAAGTTTGACAGCCAAAACATGTATAGAAATAATAAATGTCTTCTTCATACATTCTCCTGCAATGCCCTGGTCCTGTAGAATGAGCCCTGGCATTTTTACTGTGATTGCCTGTTTTTCTGTAAAATCACAGAAAAAGAGAGATGCTCGGGTCGAGCAGGCTGCTTCATGCGCGTTCACGCTCAGGCATCGCCCGTAGCATTTGCTATCAGTAGCTTTAGCAGCAGAGAGAGAGGCAGTGCCACTTTGTCGCTGTTCCTAACGCCTAGTGATGAACCTAGCTACATTTTAGGTGTGCTCTTGCTGTGTGTTATTTCTAATTCCATGTTGTTGTTCTTTTTTAAAACACAGAAACTGTTTTGTTACCTGTTATTGACACTACGTTTCGCCGACGGCTGCCGGCTTCTTCAGGCTGACGTCAAAACCTAGAGAGCCTGGAGGGGGTTGGGGACACACAGGGACGTTGAAACCTGGGGGAGCACCTAAGGGGAAAAAACCTGGAGTGGCCTTGGGAACACAAGGAGGCACGTGAGGAGGGATGCAGACAAGGAGAAACATAAGGGAAACCTAGAGAGGGATGGAGAACACAAGGAGACACATGAGGGTGACGCAGGACGCAGACCATGACAATTACTCGGTTAATAGATACATTTGCAGGGCTCTCTATTTCTCTGACCTATACTTGGCCTGCGTCACAGCTGAGCTTCAGACGGCGGGTTTTGGAGTCTTATTTCCTGATATTTGGACATCTCATCCCGGACTGGATAACAGCAATGTGACTCTACCACTGACTTTGCAACGTCGATGTTTTATATCCACAAATAACACAAGCCTGGAGGAGTTCTGCTGTGTGGTGGTGGTGCTGATGTTAATGGTTAGCTTTTACTAGCCGAGACGTTTTCTGCTGCTTCCTGGACGTTGAAACAACAGCCCTCCCCGTCATGACCCAAGACTGGTGAGTCCATGAATGCTAACTCAGTGTGACATCGATCTGTGAAGATTTTCAAATCCTAGATTTTCACCGTCTCTTTATCTCTCTCTATATCTTGTCTCCTCAATCAGAAGCTAATGCAGGAGATAGGTGTAGGAGACTATTTTCATGTGCAGCAGGAGCTCAGGTGGTAGAGCGGGTTGCCTCATGATCGGAGGGTCACGGGTTCGATTCCAGCTCCTGCCAGGGGTATTCTGCTGTTGAGTCCTTGGGCAAGGCACTTCACCCAACTTGCCTGTGTGGTGATCAGAGGGGCCGACGGCGCCAAATGGCAGCCTCGCCTCTGTCAGACCGCCCCAGGGCGGCTGTGGTTACAAAGTAGCTTACCATCACTGGCAGTGTGTGAATGTGAGAGTGCGTGAGTGTCCTAAACAAGCGCTATATAAGTTTGATGTATTATTATTATTATTATTTTCAGCTTGCATGAAACACTCAGAGTGACCCGGTATAATCAGTGTTCCACACCTTTGAACATTTTGTTGTCTGCATTTGGTTTTTAATACTGTGTAGTTTCGTTATTATAGAGTGCATGACCTGAAGGACTTGTTAGAGGGTTGTCGTGACTACACATGATGGGTGACACATGGGTGTCCTCTAGAGGACAAACAACATATAGGACTGATTTGCATGCTGCATTGGGACAAAATTCAAAGAACTGCTGCATAATAGATGACATGGGCTGAATGGAGCAAACACGATGAATCTGTGATGGAATGGTGTTGTCTGAAATGCCCCTTTGATTGGTTCATTGGAGTATAAACGAGGTGATCGGGAAAACCACAGGGACGACCCGATGTCATTTAGGAAAGAAAGAGTTTTGCTGCTTTTAGATCCCAACAGGGGCGCCTCCAGAAATTTTTGATAGGGGTGGCCAGACGGGGCCAAAGAAATTTTTTGGGTGGCACACCAAATTGGTCCTCCCTCTGGGAGGGTGTAGCATGTGGCGATGTGTTGCATTGCTCTTTTATTTGTTTTTAACAAAAAAAAAAAAACAAAAACAAAAAAACTGTATGGATCCTAAACATTTTTTAAATTTTACAAACACAAACATTTCAGAAAGATACATTTCAGTTATTTAAAATATTACTTACATTTTTATTTTAAAATGTATTTTTTTGTTCAATTCACCTGTTGCTGTGTTCACCAAAAACTTGGTGAAAAAAACTTTTTTAAAAGGGTGAGCAGCAGAAACGTGTATTTTTTTATCCTGATTATTTCTTTACTCATTAATTTTATTATTTTTTTATTTTGTTTCACAATTTTGTCTTGAATAAATAAAATCAATTTATGGTTTGAGTGAACATTAATATGTTTTATTGCAACACATTCTCACTCCCAGCACGTCAAAAACAAACGCTTGGTCAGCCACCCTCCACGTCACACCCCTGATGCCAAAAGTGTGCTTTTTCGTCACTTTTGTACAAAAAGGGTTTTTTCCCTTTTCTGACTGCAGATCCCAATGCAGCGTAAAACTAACGCGATGGGATGTCTGTAGCCGGGCACCAAACAAGCTCATTGTACCTCACCCCTATCCCACCCTTAACCATCCTGCTAGCTAATGCGTTACCCTTACAGTGACCAAGCGTTTGTTTCCCACATAAATGGGTTTGGACCGAGCCAACGCGAGGGGGAGGTTTCAACTACCAAGGTGCAGGTTAGAAGTAGAGGGCATTTGTAACCTCCCCCTCGCCAGATGGTATGTTCTAACGTTCCCCTAGCCTGGGCGGCAAATCCGAAAGTTCAGTCAGACTGCATGGGAAACAAACGCTTGGTCACTGTGATAGTAACGTTTTAGGTAACAAGAGGGTTAAGGTTAGCATGAGGGCAAGAGGAAGGTTATAAATAGCAAAACATTAAGGTTTAGGTGTGGTTAAATGAGCCGGTTTGGTGCCGCAGCAGCGGGCATGCCATCGCGTCAGTTTTACGCTGCATTAGGATCTGCAGTCAGAAAGGAGAAAACCCTCTTTTCGTACATAAGTGATGGAAAAAGGGCACTTTTGGCATCAGGAGTTTGACACGGAGGGTGGCTGACCAAGCGTTTGTTTTTGACGTGCTGGGAGTGGGAATGTGTTCATTAACACTGGCTTTTACTGGGGTGGGGGATCAGTCATTTTCTAGGGGTGGCCATGACCACCCCTGGCCACCCCTTGGGGGCGTCATTGGGTCACAGAGTGGCAAAAAAAACAGCAGTTTAATCTGGATAATAAACAACTCTTCCAACTGCTCATGAAGTTTTTGTTCTAACTCAGTTTAGAGCACAGTGATACGTACAATCGTGGAACAGAACCAAGCCCCCACAATGCGGGTGAAAAACTGAAGCAATCCCAGAAGTGAAATAAATTGCAGTTCCACCCTCATCCACTAGGGGCTGGTGTCAGAAGCAAGCAAATCCTCATTGACTCCCATGTTAAAAATACCAATTTCACAGCAGAAATAAACATGTTTACAGCCTGGTACCAAAACATGTTTTTGGTTTAAATGATCTAGTTTACACTCATGACAACTCTGAGGGGGGTGAATTTTTTCTCACTCTTCTGTTTAAGTGTATTAAAAGCCTAAAATTCTGTATAATTAATGAGCATCCGACCCACGTGACCACAGAGCTAGCTCCGTGGAAAGGCCTCAGTAGAGCCTCGGCCTCGCCTGAAAACTGTTCCGTCATTTTCAGTCTCTCAACTTACAACATTAGTTGTAGCATTTGTGCGTTCTTTTTTGGATATTATTTGTGCAATTGTTGGACAAAATGACTTGCTGTGGCATTAATTGCACTAAAAGAGCGTCCAAGGAGACTCCACTTCATTTTTTTCAGTAAGTAAAATGATATTTATGTATTTTAGGTCACTGCCGAGCTGAGCTTAGATTTTAACATGTACTGATTAACCATGAAATGTAAATGTAATAGGGTAAAACCCAGTGCATTTAACATAATGCTGCACTTTAAAAAATGGGTTGAAATATAACATGTTGGTGGAGCTGGGTTCCCACTATCGGCTTGTGGAGCTCTCGGGAGACCGATGTTTTCCACCCGGTTTTACCCAGCGGTCAGCCCGGCGTATCTCTGACTCAGAAGCTCTGGTGTTGTGCAAAGTTAACTCCGGTTGTAGCTAGGTTGCTACCTCCGTTAGCTTAGCTCCCACCTCCGCATTAGCTTTGGGTTAGCTTCAGGTTAGCTTGTAGCTAGTTCGACCGGGTGTCGTCAGTTGATCCCAGCCTTACAGCCCCACCCTCAGCTCCACCTCTCTTCCCTTTTGTGGAATTGTCTGGGCTTGACGGAACCTGTGACACGGTCAAAATGGTGGTGGTGGCCACCTCCCATTTATCTTCCAAAACGTGTTATTGGAGTCTATGGAAACCCATTGTCCATTATTTATATGTCGATGTACAGAACATGGGGAACAAAGCAGAATTTACCTGTAGAGTGCCTTTTGTAGGTAAGGATGTCAGTTTTTACCTCAGTGAGATTCTCACCTTTTTCTATAGTAATAAAGGGTATTCTGTAGATCTTTTATTGACTCGGTTTTAACCTTCTGCTCGATTGCCTGGTTTGGCATTTTGTCAGTGAAAAATAGGTCCCGCCTGGCAGGGATAGTTAACAAATCCAGTAAAATAACTATAGCAGAAACGACGAGTTAGTCCTCCTCCCTCCAGGGAGAAGGTTTAGGCTGCCTCCTATTAGAAGTTACAAACGAATGTTGTACGTTTGGCTCTAAAAGCTATAACTCTGCAGTATGACATGGTCTATCTTTTGTCCTGCTGTTATCGGATTGAACTGTTTTTATGTTGCATGTTGTTTTTATTTTTGTGGAATCCTTTATTTTGGGTAGATGGATGTCACAAAGGGCATTATGGGGTCGATGTAGATTGTGCAGACTGATGTTGCGCTCCAAATTTCCTCAAGAGAGATAATAAACTAACTGAAAGTCGTCTTTTCTATGGAGTCACTGTCTCTGCTTATAGAAGCTGACCTGAAGACGTTTGCAAGATTTCTTTGTCTCATGCTTGATAAATCTGTATTTTATTTTAGTAAAGGACCGAAAAATACCCACAATGCCTTTTATTTCAACAATGTTTTCGACTCATCACAACCCAAACCCTTTCTTGCAGCCACTGTTGCACAGTACTCCATAATAAATGTACCACAGGCAGCTACTTTGTTTGAAGTGATTGACCAAACAAATGCATGTTGTTGAAAAGCAGACAAGAAGTCCCACTTTATCTACTGATTATGCCATTTAGACAAAACATCCCTGTGATAAGATGAAACATGCTTAACGAAATCCAGATGAACCGGATCGGAAAAAAAACTGTTACAACAAACAAGAGCCTCGTTTGTTAAGCCACCAGCGCGGCGGCGGGTGCCTCCTGAATACTGGAAGAACCAGAAACCGCTCAGAGGCTGTGATGAAAACAGTTGGACTTTGCAGGATGATTCAAAAACCCGCGAGGGCGTGTCCACCTGTGACAGCACTCCCAACACTCCTAACTGTCCATCTGCTCTCTGTCCACGTTTCAGGAATTAAATACTTACATGAGCCATTTGAAAATCTCCCATTTTGTGACATCACAAAAAGGAAAATTAGCCTAGACACCCCCTCCCCCCTTCAGAGAGGGTTCAGCTTGAACGTTAGTGATTTGATGAGCTAAAGTGAAATGGGGCTGGGCATTTTACACCAGGTTTACCCCAGATTTCCTCTGTAGGCAGGAAATCTGGAGACAAACTGAGATTCAAGTTTATGCTCCAGTTTTGGAAGTAGACGGTTAGGAGGTGGAACGGTTTTATGGTGAGCTGATTGGCTCTGACCATCAGCTCCTAATCTAAAGGGAACAGACTGAAGACTCGTGAGCTCAACAACATGTTAAGGTGAAGAATGGAATTCAAAGAGTAGATCTGGTAGAGTACCTGATGAAGAAGTACCTACATGGTCCCATTGTTTGGGTGCTACACAACTTTGTCCAGTCAAAGATGCATCTAGTCAGGAAAAGTCAAAGTCTGGTCAAGACTGTGTCAAGCCAAGTCAAGTCACCATCCATCCATTCTTCTCCACTCATCTGGGGCCGGGTTGCGGGGGCAGCAGCCTAAGCTGCTCTCCAGCCACTTAAGCCAGCTCTTCCAGGGGAATCCCAAGGCGTTCCCTGGTCAGGTGAGAGACATAGTCCCTCCAGCGTGTCCTGGGTCTCCCTTTAGTTCTCCTCCCAGTTGGACGTGCCTGGAAAATCATGTCAATCATTTCCTCAGTACCGCTCTCTCAGTCCTCCAGGCGACGTCTTTTTTCCAGGTGTTTTTCTAACAGGAAGTCTGGTTGAAATCAGCCGTGGTGTTACTCCCACTTTGAACCTCATCCCTGACCTGGAGAGGTCATTTTTTAATGAATCCTGTTTTTTCACCCTGTTATAAATAAATCGCTATTACTTGCACCAATCTGTGTTAACTAAATAGTTGGGTCCAAGTCATTCAATTGTGACAAGCCTCTCTACAAGAACCTCTTGAAGACTCTGCTCTTCAGAGGGCATCTCCTACCAGTAGTGCTTACCCCTTCTCCTCCTATGCTTGCAGTTTATTTCCACGCCGTCACCTCTGAGCTTAAACACGAGCTGAGACAGAAACTGGGTCGCTGTGATGATCTGAGTGGATTCAAAAATGCAGTTTGATCCTGAAATGAGTTTTATTTGTCAAGCGTATTTATTCTGATTTTGTCAGCTCAGTGTTTTTGTTCTACTCTGTATCGTGGTTTACAACCCCCCCCACCCCCACCCCCCACCCCACCCTGATGTAAACCTCCTGACTGTATGAGTTTATAGCTAAAGAGGTGACCGTAAAAGAGTTTTACGAGAGCTGAAAAACCTCCACTCAGAGAGCGGTAATTACTGTGCAGCGTTGGTGTTTATTAGACCATTTTACCGCCTGTTGATGTTTTCACTGGAGAATAAAACCACGAGAGAACATTGACCACAAAGCACACGCCCGCTTGAGTTTGGATGACTTTTGTAACACATCTTATAAACTCTGGTGGCAGGTTTGACATTTTAAAGGATTTTCCGACTTTTACAATGAAGAGGTGCCAGTTATAACTACATGTATGATTTTGAGCCATGTTTTCAGGGTTCTGCAGGGCAGCTCTACTCTAGATGGCTGAACTGCTGCTGCGGCGTGTCCCTGCTCGTGCCCTTCGCTCTGCTGAGCAGGAGCTGCTGGAGGAGGTTCTCCACTCTAAACTGAGATCGGGGGGGTAAGGGCCTTCACAGTGATGGAAGCTGTGGAGCGAGCTCCCAGTGACAGTGAAGCAAGCGCCGTCTCTTCATGATTTTAAATCACGCCGTAAAACCCACTTTTATTGGCTAGCTTTCCCCAACATTGACACTGGCTTTTACATATTTATCATTTGCATTGCACAGTTTTGAATTTCTTTTATTTGTCTATTTTAGATTTTACAGATTTTTATTCAACATGTTTTTGTTATTAATCAAATCAAATCAAACTTTATTTATGTAGCACTTAATCATATAATGCATGTAACTCAAAGGGCTTAACAAATTAAAAAGGCCTCGCATTCCCCCCCCCATCCCCAGAATTTTAAAAACAGTCTGAGAATAAAAACCTCTTCACAACACTCATCCTCCAGCACACACACACACACACACACACACACACACACACACACACACACACACACACACGCACATGCACACATCCCACCCCCCACCCCTACCCCTACCCCCCTCCCCCTGGAAAAAACACAATGGACTGAGTTTAGATGAGCCAGACCAGCTAAGATAAGGAAATGCCATCAGGGGAGCCATCCGCCTCGACTGCAGCAGATCCACGGCAGCAGCCGAGGCACCGACACAGGGCACCCAGGGCAGGGAGGGCGGAGACCCCCACCTGCACCCAGGCACACCTGGAAAGCACCCAGCCTCCACAGCTGACCACTGCCCCCGGGGCAGAGGGCTCCCACAGAGGAAACACTGGAAAAAGGCTAGATTAAGGTTAAAATATGAAAAAATAAGAGCCAAAATGAAAATTGTAATATAAAAAGTTATATAGATATTAAAATTATGTTGTTCATAAATCTATGGTTAAAAAAATTATTACAATCCTATTATCCTATTATTACTCAGGTTTTTATGTCCTGTTCAGCACCTTGGGCCTCCGCTAAGGTGGTAGAAGCTGCTTCATAAATGAATAATGAAAAACCATCACTCTAAGTCTTTTTTAATCTTAATTTATTTTTCTCCCATCTTTTAATATTTTTGTTCCTGTGATGCACATCGTGACTGTTATCTTGAGAAGCGCCATATGAAAAAAATCCTTTCTTAAACATGACATTTAGCTTTGCTTAATAAAACAAACATCTAAAGTTGAATAAAACAAATGTAAAATGAAATCTGAATGTGAATTTTAATGCTTCAAATGTAAGTAAACATGTCCTGTGGTTTGGACTGTGATGAGTTTAAAAATGTGGGCGGTGATCCTGATTGTAGTTTTCACCCCTGGCTCCGAAGCCCCACCCTCTGATTCCAAGAACAGGAAGCGCGTGTCCATTTTTGTCTCTTCTGGAAAGGGTTACACTCCTAGTAAAGTCCATCTGGACATAGCTCCGCCTCACGGTTTTTGGGTTGAGGGTGTGTACCTCAGGAATCACACCATCCTCAGACCCCGCCCCCACGAACCCGGGCCCCCCTCGGCCCCGCCCCACCACCCCCCTGGACCACATAGAAATGAGTCTGATGTTGTCAAACTATTAACAGAGGGAAGCTCCTCCACCAGAGCATCTTCCGGTGCGCGAGAGCGGCAGCACGCGCCTGTTGTTGATAATATTCTAGGAGCTGCCTGGTGGCGCCGAGCTCCATCACTCACGTCAGACCTGCGGGGGCTTCACGCATCTCCTCAGAAACATGAGCCAGCTGTTGGGTTCCTCCTCCCTGCTGCTCCTCATCTGCAGCTTGATCCAAACTAGTAAGTGTTCCCGGTTAGATGAACTCCTTTTATTCTGTAAATGTTTCTCTAATTAAGCCTGATTGGTGGAACCGGAACAACCGGCACTGATTAGATATTTAATGCGTCGCTTGTTCTGATTGGTCCGACTGGATGGACGTGAGTTGAGCGTGGGTGGGCGCTTTTCTCCTCAGATTGTAGGTCACGTCTTTCTTCTGCTTCTGTGCGCGTTTTTCCACAATGGAGTAAAAAAAAGCGCTCTGCGCGCCTCAGCTTCGTATATCACTACGGATCCCGATTAGGGTCAACACGTGGCACGGATCCGTTCCCTGTTAAAGTTACACACGTCATCAAGAGTTTTTAAGCCCACACCTCGTCCTCCTCTGAGCCAACATCATCATTTAGACCGGAAGTTGTCTCCTCCAGATGTTCCACTCTGCAGGTGGAACAGTAAAAACTAGAATCTGGTGCATGTCCGTGATCCGGCTCAGACTGAGAGACCACCTAAAGGCTCAGGAACCCTCTGCAGGTGCTCTGGACTCATCAGCTGATCGAGTGTGACGCTGAGTCTAGACCATTGAACCTTTTCACATAATTCTGATGATCTGAGATTCTGAATGTGCGGTTCTCATTAGCTGTAATCATCTCAGTTATTACAGAAACATGCTGACACATCTGGATTTGCCTGGAATGAGTCTGCCTCATAGGTTGGTTTCACTTTTTGGTTGGATTAGTGACACTCTAATTCCCCTCTGGGATTAATAAAGTATTTTTGAATCTGAATTTGAATGAATGAACTTTTGCACCAGATTCTAGTTTTTAGTTTCTCCTCTACAGCCTGCTGGGTCTCTAGGGAGCGTCTGTAAAGGGCAGGACCCTTCAGATTACGTCACTTTGGGCATGTATCACGATGATGATGATGATGATGATGATGATGATGATGATGAGTTATGGTTAACATTTCTGGTTGATGTGTAAATAGAATAAAATACTTCAAATGTGAACTTCTACGAACGTGTCGCCATAACTACCAGAGACTGTGCACATCAGACTACAGGACTTTACTTTTCTTAGAAAAATGTTGATAAATATTAAAAATTATTTTAAAACTTGTTAGTCAACTATACCAAAGTCAGAAGGAGGCAAATTATATTTCCTGTAAATTTAATCTAATGAAAGTTGTTTGCAGCGGGGTGTTGATGATTATGGCCGCTCGCTGGACACTCGGCAGGCTGCACATTGAAACCTGTGATTTATTCCTGTCAGATTATGGTCATAATTCTCCTGTGGAGTGTTGATTAGCCCACCGAGGTCAAAGGAAGACCATGTGTTTGGATTTCACAATACTTTGTAAGAAGTGCGCACCCATGAACATCCAACCTGCAGCCCGTCGTCCAAATCCGTGTGCACGGCTGAGTCAAACAGATTCGGACCACCTCAGATTACATGTATTCTCGTCTACTGCTTTTAATTTAGAGTTTCCTCTCTGTTTATTTCCAGTTTTTAGAAAAGCTCTGGTTGTTTTGGTGGCCGGCATCCGGTAGCCAATGAGGATCTGGCGCTCAGAAGAAACGAACCACTCAGAGATAACTGTGACAAATTTGGATATTATTACTTGTGAAAATCGGTCTTTGCAGCTTTCCGTTTGGAATGCCGTCGCCTGATTTTCCTTCATAAATGATTTACAGAAGGCTGAAGAGGCCCGTAGCAACGGATGTCAGAACAAACCCAGCATTCCTCTGGTTCTGGTCGTAAACTCCGACACTCCTAAAGTTACCGTCAGACCAGTTCCCCGTCTACTGGTGTTGGGAAACGCTGTGTGGTGAAACATGCTGGAACTGGTTATCGTTCTGTTCACCAGTCACACTTACACGTCGGTTAAAACGTTGTGTTTCCGGTAAGAGACACCTGAGACGGGACACCACTAACCTGCCCTCTTAGCTGCAAACATGTGTTACTTTCCCAGAACTGATTCGCCCTCAGTCAAGAACATTTGGACCAGTTTGTCTTTCATCAACTGAACTTTAAGCCCATTAAGTAAACAACCAGTTTGAAACTGGGTTTGGTAACGTGTCACCAGTTTCAGGGAAAATAACGTGGAATAATGTCACTGATTTTCTGCATTGATTTACAAATGTTTTACTCGCTGTCCTCCATGCCACATTGAAATAACAACATAAATAAATGAACCAGATTCCAGTTTTTAACCTCATAAAACCATTTAATCAACCATCGGAAGCTCAAATTAAGTATTCAACCCTCAGGCTTCATTAGGGACATTTTTGTCCATTTGGGCAGTTTTTTGTTTTTGTTGCCATTTCACCACCGTTTGTGGATCTGGTACAAAATGTTGTTGCAAAACTTCTCTCTGGACAAAGTTTGAAATTAAATTTGGATTTTTTTAAATGGACCAAGGGAACTCCATGAAAGAAAAACACTATACACTTGAGACCGCTTGTAAAAAAAAAGGCTATAAAAATGTTTACATTAATTTGTTTTTGTTGCTTTTTTTCGTTGATCTGTTGAACAACTTCAGCCCTGTTGAAACATGTAAAAATTTCAATCATTTTGAGGATTTTAACCCTTGAAATGCCAGTTTGAATACTCAGTCATTGCTGTAATTTATGAAAAAAACAAAAACTGAGTTATTTTCTAAAAAACATACCTTTTTTTTGCCTGGGGTATTTATTACAAATCAATCTTGATTGTGTAAAATTTAGAATTTTTTGCATTTATAGTTTTTACATAGCAACAGATTTAAAATTTACTATACACTCGAGCCATTAGAGGACAAAAACGTCCCATTGACTTCAATGCAAACCACAGTTTTTGATGCTGTGTCATCTGCAACAAACAGTCATGCATTATGTGATGTTATGGTTTCATTTTGGACAAAAGCAGTCCAATTTATGATTTTTACTGTACACCACCAAATTCTGTCATTTCTCCATATGTTGCTCAGGGGAGAAAGTTTACACGTTTCCTAACTCTAAACCCAACCGTCGCCGTAAAGCGTCTTTAGGTTCTGGCATGTAGAATAGATTCATAATTCCTCAAATAGTTTTTATTATTACGATACAATTTTTAAAATTTAAGCAAAAATATTCTACTTTTACACGTTTAAAGCACAAATTTCTTTATGCAACTGTTACGGGTTAACACGCCCTTTAGTCTGGCAGAAACAGGTGAGCTTCCTGGGCTTTGGAGTCGTCAGGCCACCTACCTTGATTTTGAAGTCCTACCTTTTCAGAATAAAAGTTCTTATTCTTCAGTTTTTCAGTTTAATGATTCTTGTAGTTGAATATTTGGAATGACTGTGTATTTTGTAGTGCCTTTTTTTCCCTCCACGTGAACCAATCCTCATATAAACCCCTCTGATCTCTATTAAGGTAGCACGACTCAGGGAGGCGAATGACCACAGTCACCAATTCTTGTCATGTGTCTTGCCCATGTGTGTACTGAAACTCTAATTTCCCTCTGGGATTAATAAAGTATCTTTGAATTGAATTGAATTGTATTTCGAGCCCAAGAGGGTTTGTCTTGAAATCACAAAATTAAAAATGAAAGTATCCAGTTCCCCATTCACATCGGCGTTTGGCAAAACTGAGCTGTGTAGGAATGAAAAACACGGAAAAAGTAACAGAACAGAGAAAAGTTGCTATGAAAACAAAGTCCAAACAGAGAATGATATGGAAATATAACCATATGGAGTAATGTCACTGGACACTGCACTTTGTATGAATGAGAAAGAAGGAGGCAGGCATATCCATGCTCAGGAAATAGTTGTTTGGGATTCACATCCTGTTGACCCTTAACTGGTCCAAAGCAAAGGCACATCATCTGTTTACACCTCTCTGCCACAGGTGCATTAGCAACATGTGGGTCCAGCCATTTCCAGTGTGGGAACGGTAAATGTATCCCGCATCGGTGGGTGTGTGATGGTACGGATGACTGTGGAGACGGTACGGACGAACTTCCTGCTACCTGCTGTGAGTATAGTTTACATGCCAACAGGGTTTATTATGGCTTTAAAGGACCTGTGTAATGCTATCTTACACCTTCCAGAGCAACGCTAGGCACAATGTGTGATCAAATATTACCTTTGGCACTACTGAGGTGTCATTTTTAACAAAATTTCATTCATGTTTGTGAGCCATTATTTCAACACGGAAACAAGGTGCTTGGATTGGATGAAACCCCGCCTCCCTTCCGTGTAAATTCCCCAATAGTACACAGCTGCAGACCCGGAGACCACAGATTCACGCTTGCTGCAGATTAGGGCCGCACAATATATCGTAAATATATCGTTATCGCGATATGAGCATGCACAATATGCATATCGCAAAGAACAGATAAATATCGCAATGAATGGTCAGCTCAAATGTTTGCTACACATAATTCATTCTGTCAGTCAAACGGAAGCATGTTTTTTTAAACAAATCAAGTAGAGCTCTTCACCCATTTGGCCAAATGGGTTAGTTCTCATAGCTTAGATGCTCGCCCCTGCAGCGGATGGAACTTAATTTTGATGGTTAGCAAACACCTGAGTTCAAGGGCGGAGATCCCATTTCAATTTTGGGGGGGACAATAAACAGTAAAACTTCAGAGAGTAATTTTTTGGGGGGACATGAAAAAATACTCTCTACATACAACACTGTATGTCCTTATAAGAGACTGACCTGAGACTCTGTGCCTGTGTCTGACAGGCTCTGGCTGCCTGAGCTCAAGTGACTGGACTTTGCTTAATGAAATCATTTAGAAACAATTTCATAGGCATTTTGTTTCCTTCTTATAGATGTCTTTATCAAAATGCAAGTTTCTACTTACTTGACGTTCTGGAGCATTAAAAAACGACCTGATGTCTGCCGTTTTTCATTTCTCTGCCATTTCAACTGACCTGGTCTGCTGACAGTTGGACAGCAACACACACACAGATGGGATATTGTCATTAGAACGGAGCTGGAGGATACTGATCAACAATAATATCTTGCCAATTTTGTACATCTCCATAAGTATCCTTTCTTTTTGTTTTCATTTCAATAACAAGACTGCGGCCTAAAACGGAATAAGCAATTCAGAATAAAGATTTAAAAGTAGATCGTTAATAGTTGAAGCAACATGTCCTGAAATGACACGGCTATTAGCTGACCAGCAGCTACACGTGTGGACGGATGCAAAGCATTAATTTTAAGTACTAAAACATATCAAACTTTTTCACAACAAAGAGAGAGAACATAAATGTCAAATTAAAATTTTATTAAATCACATAACATGAAAGCTACTAAAATCCAAATAGTTCCATATTGATTTTAATATATTTGAAATTTTCCTTCTAAATATGTCTAGAAAAAATAACAAACTTCAAATCAGCCCAAATAATTTTTTTGGGGGGGGACAACTTTGTGTAAGGGGGGGACGCGTCCCCCCCGTCCCCCCTGGGATCTCCGCCTATGCCTGAGTTAGCTTTGTTCTGCTCTTTTTGCTAATTCTGCTTTTCCCGGGATCCACTGATTGCATTTTCTTGTTCATTTTCTTTTTACCTTTCCTCACTACTTTTTGCTTCACTCATTTTTATGATTTTTTTGTTTTTGATTATTTTTGTTCCTGAGCTAAGTTTTTATTTATCGCAAGTAATATCGTCATCGCAATATTAATCATTATTATTGAATATCACAGGTTTTCCTAATATCGTGCAGCCCTACTGCAGAATCACTGTCATGTCTCATTCAGCAATTGCTGAGTCTGTCCCTGGCGCTCACCACCAAATTTTATATCCAAAATCAATATTTGAGTCTAGGCATCATTTAAAGTGCAGACTAGATAAGAAAGAAATAATTTCTTTAGATCTTTAGAACCTCCTGCTAGCTACATGCGGAGACTGGGCGTTAGTGTTTACAGTCCAGGGGAGGAGGCATCCAGATTCGAGACTGCCTAGATGGCGAGGAGCAGGGCAATAACAGTGCCTCATCCAGGCTTTAGCAGAGTTTAGAAGGGCTGAAGGGAAGAAGCAGCGGAGACGGCAAAATGCGTGCTTGAATCCAGAAACCGCTTTGGGTGTTTTTCTTGTGGAAATAACAATGTAACAAGGTCAAAAGCTCCAAAAAGTGGATTTTGCATGACATGGGACCTTTAATGTGGTAAAATGATGTATTGTAGAATAATTGAAGGTGAAAATAATTATTTTTCTTTGTGTTCTGTGCCATTTAAATTCCAGTGGCAAAAACATGCAAACCAACAGAGTTCAGCTGTGCAAACCGCCTTAACCAGTGTGTTCCGAGCTTCTGGCGCTGCGATGGCAGGGCTGACTGTGAGAATGGAGCTGATGAGGAGGGATGTGGTAAGAGTGCATCTTGTCTTGTTTGAGTTAAATTTGCAGCTCCGCCTTAGCCCTCATCCAGCTTCTCTCATAGCCGCCAAGCAGTGCGCAAGCTCAGAGTTCCGCTGCAGGAATGGCCAGTGCATTTCGTCCCATTTCGTCTGTGACGATGAGGCGGACTGTGAAGATGCCAGCGACGAGGTGTCCTGCCCAGCCACCACCTGCCTCTCATCGTCCTTCCAGTGCAACAACACAGTTTGCATTCCTCGCCTGTGGCTCTGCGACGGTGATGCCGACTGCTCCGACAGGTCGGATGAGTGGCCCGAGAACTGCCACACACAGACAGTGACTCCTCCTGCTGCTCATCAGTGCTCCTTCCCAGAGTTCTCCTGTGGGAGTGGAGAGTGCATCCATAGCAACTGGAGGTGTGATGGAGATTTTGACTGTGTTGATCACTCAGATGAAGCAGACTGTGGTAAGAACACCTTCTGACTTCTTCTGAGCTACCCTGTAGTCTACGGTTGTACCTTCAAACTAGGGATGAGCCGGATGCTCGTTTCAGACGAGTATCCGGTACGGATAAAGCATTTTTGACGAGTACGAGCATGACACGAGTAAAACTCGTAAATATCTGTAATCGTGCTGAACGAAAATCCTCATTGGGTAACTGACTGTCTTCACGCTCTGTGATTGGCCAGTCACATAGAGCGCCCGCCCCTCCCTACACCCAAAACTCTCTAGCCAGCCGGGAGCGCAGTCCGTCCGGCTCATCCACGCACACAGACAGTAACGGATCTCGCTGTGATTGCTTCACTGTTGCTCACGTTTCTTCAGTTTTCCCTAGGTTTTCTTCAGCTCGCCTCTTTTTCGGTTGAATATTTAAACTTACTTTTTCGTAACTTATTGACAAGACAGAGCTGACATGCTGCATCAGTCACTCACTACCTCTGCTCCGGTCGGGTTTTATTTTTATTTTTTTTACTCCCTCTCTCTCCCTCTCACCCTCTCTATCTCTCTCAGACACACACACCTCAATCCACATTGTTTTGTTTAACTTTGTGTGAGAAAATGCCAAGAACGTTAAGAAAAAAATCAGTTTAATCAAATTAAAATTAAAAAATTTATATAAAGTTGTGTCTGGTTCTAGCATTTCATATTTCCTAGTTCCTACTGCATGAGTTCAGATGTATTAATCCATGCATTTAAATATTAATGTTCTGGTTTTATTGAAACACTTGTTCTGAAATAGTTCCTTTACTATTGTGATCAAAAATATTTAATCTCAATTCTGAGGCTGCTCTGTAAATAGTTTTCAAATAAACAATACACATAGCAACTTCTGATCATTCCATATCAATTTCAGGCTTAAAATAATATATTGATGTAAACCACACCCACTTCTGGGTTATGCCACGCCCATTCCGAGTACAGATACAGATACAGATAGTGGTGTATTCGCTCATCCCTACTTCAAACCCTCTGCCTCCTCGTCCCTTAGGTCACTCCACCTGCTCTCTAGATGAGTTTACATGTGGCGATGGCACATGCATCCATGGCAGCCTCCAGTGTAACCAACAATATGACTGCAGAGACATGAGTGATGAAATCGACTGTGCCAATGGTACACATCTCTTCTTCCATCCTTACAGGATTCTGTAGCTGAATCCCATATCTGTTCATGTTGTTTAACTCTGTATCCTGCAGTTAGCCCCTGTGAGGGTCCAACCATGTTTAAGTGCACCAGTGGGGAGTGTGTAAGCATAGATAGAGTGTGTGACAAAAAGCGTGACTGCAAGGACTGGACAGATGAGCCTCTAAGGTACTGTGGTGAGTACAGAGCCTCCTCATTCCTAGCCATCTTTTTGATGACTAGTTTATGCATCTAATTAAAGTTTCCACAACCTAAACATTGTAATTATATCTTCATTTCTTTAAAGGCACCAATGAGTGTCGGTACAACAATGGCGGCTGCTCCCACGTTTGCAAAGACCTGAAGATTGGCTATGAGTGCTTGTGTCCAACTGGATTCAGCCTAGTTGATGCAAAAAGATGTGAAGGTAAGCTCTTTCACTGTTAGTGCCCTTGACCTGAGCTCAGATGAAGGATCGATGCCAAAAATATAATTTGCTGTGACGTAAACCCTGCAGACATCACTGCTTTTATATAAAAAGGGAAAAGGTCATTCTCATGTACTCAGGAACATTCTGTTAAACCTTTTCTCTAATCAGATATTGACGAGTGCACCAACCCAGAAACCTGTAGTCAAATCTGCGTCAACCAGGTCGGCAGCTACAAATGCGAATGCGAAGAGGGTTATCAAGTTGACCCAGCAACCAAAGCATGCAAGGCCATTGGTAAGTATTCTCCTGGGTAGTGTTGATCTGCCTTGTACAGTGGGTGGGGCAAAGCTAACCAATGTTAGCTTACGCAGCTTTAGCCAGGATCTTACTGGATGCAACCGTCTGGAACAAGAGACAGACAGAAATGTACAATTTGTTTGGTTAGTTTTTCACTAAATTGGTACAAGTGTGACAGGATGAGCGTCCTGTCACTGTGTCCCAGTTGATCATGCTCTCTGGCTGCTTGGCCACAGGGATGCTCCTTTGGCTGACTGGTTAGCGCGCGTGACTCTCGCCCGGGAGTCTGGGGATCGAATCTCACCCGGGCCCTCGCTTCTCCACCTTGCCACACATGTAGTAATTACACATGTGAACATGTGAGGCATTTGATGCAATAGGCATTATTCACAGCAGACATTTTGATTTGAAAGAGAAGGGAAGATATGGGTGTTTTAATGTGGGTCCCATTCCATTTAGGAAAAGTTCTGGTTGTAAGCATCTGGCAGAACAGTTGGCATGCACCGCTGCAGAAGTGGAATGCAGCATTTGTCAATGTACCTGTACGACTTTTACACTTTGACTGCCTCCATTTCTTTAACCCTCCAACTGTCCTAATGGGTGTGACCCCGCGAGGAAAGTTGACCATTGAGCAGGGTGGATGGTTTATCCCTTGAGGTCCATGTGGCAGGGGTGAGGTGGTGCTCACTCCTCACCCCTGCCACGTGGACTTCAAGGGATAAACCATCCACCCTGCTCAATGGTCAACTTTCCTCGCGGGGTCACACCCATTAGGACAGTTGGAGGGTTAATCACAATGTCTCAGTTATTTCACTGTTCATCTTTACTTTAATTGCATTTTGGGTGCCAGCCCCTCTGAAAAAGTCTCACTAAGACAGGTTCCAGATGCCCGTGATGCCACTGGGACTTATTTGAGAGGAACTTTGTTTCTAGGCCCTGCGTCTCATGGAGGAAGTTCGGAGTACTTGCAATCATTTTGAGATATTTTGGATGCTCCGTTGCAAATCAAGTTCACAATATGGTCAGATCCCAGTTTAATGCTGGTGTGACGTACCAGTACGTAGCATGATTGAACTTTGACGCTACACTGGCTTTTCTCACACATTTTCCTTTGTTTGTGTGTTTGGGTATAGCTGTCTGTATTAGCAATTTTGTTGAAGTACACATAAAAAGTGAGCCGTATCCAGTTTTTCTGATGTCTCATGGTATTATTTTCCAGTTTTAGGATTGAAATTCCCCAGAAAAAGGATGTGAATTCATCTTTAAAGAGGCATTATGGAAGTTTGACAGCCAAAACATGTATAGAAATAATAAATGTCTTCTTCATACATTCTCCTGCAATGCCCTGGTCCTGTAGAATGAGCCCTGGCATTTTTACTGTGATTGCCTGTTTTTCTGTAAAATCACAGAAAAAGAGAGATGCTCGGGTCGAGCAGGCTGCTTCATGCGCGTTCACGCTCAGGCATAGCCCGTAGCATTTGCTATCAGTAGCTTTAGCAGCAGAGAGAGAGGCAGTGCCACTTTGTCGCTGTTCCTAACGCCTAGTGACAAAGCTAGCTACATTTCTGAGGACCCTTAGCTACTTTCTGTAGAACTTTCTTCTAGATATTTTCTGCAAATTAGCAACAAAATAGCCATTTTCGCTCCGAACCGTTCTTTGAACGTTGTTTCAGCTGTCATCAAGGATATAAATGTTACAGATACGAAAGACATTGCTGGCCCTTTAGCTCACCTAGTTAGACGTTGGACTCCCGTACAGAAGATCCGGGTTTGATTTTAGATGTGAACTTAATTTATTTAGAGTTTATTTTTTACATTAATGGTATATTTTTTTACAGTAAGATGCCCAAAATTTTATTTGAGACTCGCCGAATGGCATTGAATTCACAGATAAAAAAGATGTGGGTTCAACTTTCATTTTGAAACAATTTTTCAAGCAAGGGAAGGGAATGATCTGAGCATGCAGGAGGACTGACCCATCATCAACCTTTGTCGGCTGTGCTGAAGAGAAAGGTACAGAACCACATTATTTAATTAATTAGCTGCGTGTTCTCCTGCCCTCTGTCCTCCAGGCCACACACACACACACACACAAGGGACTGTCTCAGCTGTTATTTTCATTAAGGGGTGTGCACGTACAGCATGCGCGCCTAGTGCACGAGCCTACTATTGAAGCTGCCGTTACGCTTTTGGCCTGAGGGGGCAGTCGCGAGCATAAAAATTCAAAACTCCGTAAAGTCCCTTTAAGCAATCATTGATTAACCCAGATAAAAGGATCTTTAATGTTCTTATTTCATAGGTACGATAGCTTACCTTTTCTTCACCAACCGCCATGAAGTCAGAAAGATGACTTTGGACAAAAGGGAGTACACAAGAGTAATACCCCGTCTAAAGAACGCTGTGGCTCTCGACATGAATATGGCTACAAAGGAGATCTACTGGTCAGACCTTTCCCAGAAGAAAATCTACAGGTGAGCAAACCTGGATAGGTGATATTTTATTCCATGTTGCTTGTTAAACAAAGATCTTAACTTTCTATCCAGAACTCCAATGGGCTTGGCTGAAAATTCTTCCCATCACCACGTAGTGATAGGGAATGACATTGAAGCTCCTGAAGGAATTGCCTTAGATTGGATCCATGGGAACCTGTACTGGACCGACAGCATTCGTAGGACAATCTCCGTGGTAACAGCTGATGGCAGCCACCGCAAAACTCTCTTCCACCAAAACCTATCGAAGCCTCGTGCCATTGTGGTTGACCCCCACAGGAAGTAAGCTAATGGCTTAAGTTTTCTTCCTGTTTGTGCGATCCAAGAGTCGGTATGTTCCGGTTGTTTCATCTCCAGTGTGTCCATCCCACAGCTTCATTTTCTGGACTGATTGGGGAAGTCCAGCGAAGATTGAGAAGGGAGGTCTTAATGGAGTAGACCGCGTTTCTCTGGTCACCGAAAGCATCGAATGGCCTAATGGAATCACAATAGGTAAATCCAAGCATTCGTGTCTCTCTGGTTCCAACATGTATCTGCATGCTATTGGGAACCCTGGTCTGACTCTTTCAACCTCCATCCCAACCATCCTGCTTCCTCCCCAGACCTGCTAAACCAGCGGCTCTACTGGGTGGACTCAAAGCTGCACACCCTCTCCAGCATCGATGCTCAGGGTGGAGGTCGCCGCACCCTCATCATTGATGAGCACAAGTTGGCTCACCCTTTGGGACTCACTGTTTTTGAGGTAGACGAGTTAACACATCGAATAGAATAGAATAGAATAGAATAATCCTTTAATAGTCCCACAAGGGGAAATTTGGTTGTGTCAGCAGCAACATCACACATATACAAACAATGCAGGACACAGAACAGAAGCACAGTTATTACCTATTTACATCATGGACAATAGTTACCAGAGCAGAGTACAATACAAATTGTGATACGCTAAACCTCTCAGAGAACATGAAATAAATTGCATTTTTTTGTTTCAGTTTCTCAAATGTGTGTTTTTTGCATTTTCTTAGGAAAGCGTGTTCTGGACAGACGTTAGCAACAACGCCATCATCAGCGCAAACAGACTGACTGGTGATGACATCACACCAGTGGCAGAGCACCTGTCATCACCAGAGGACATCATTCTTTACCACAACCTCAAACAACCTGCTGGTAAACCATTACAGCATCAGGAAATGTTTCATACACTCAACAAAAATATAAACGCAACACCTTTGTTTCTGCTCCGATTTTTCATGAGATGGACTTAAAGATCTAAAATTCATTCCAAATACACAATATTACCATTTATCTCAAACATTGTTCACAAATCAGTCTAAATGTGTGATAGTGAGCACTTCTGCTTTGCTGAGATAATCCATCCCACCTCACAGGTGTGCCACGTCAAGATGCTGATCCGACATCATGAGTAGTGCACAGGTGTACCTTATACTGCCCACAATAAAAGGCCACCCTGGAATGTGCAGTTTTGTCTCACAGCAAAATGCCACAGATGCCACAAGCATTGAGGAAGCGTGCAATTGGCATGCTGACAGCAGGAATGCCAACCAGATCTGTTACTCGTGCACTGAATGTTCATTTCTCCACCATAAGCCATCTCCAAAGGCGTTTCAGAGAATATGGCATTACATCCAACCGGCTTCACAACCACAGACAACGTGTAACCACACCAGCCCAGGACCTCTACATCCAGCAGGTTCACCTCCAAGATCGTCTGAGACTAGCCACTCAGACAGCTGCTGAAACAATTGGTTTGCATAACCAAACAATTTTTGCACAAACTGTCAGAAACAGTCTCAGGGAAGCTCAACTGCATGCTCGTCGTCCTCATCGGGGGCTTGACCTGACTCCAGCTCGTCACCGTAACAGACTTGAGTGGGCAAATGCTCACATTTGATGGCGTCTGGCACGTTGGAGATGTGTTCTCTTCACGGATGAATCTCGTTTTACATTATTCAGGGCAGATGGCAGACAGCGTGTGTGGTGTCGTGTGGGTGAGCGCTTTGCCGATGTCGATGTTGTGGATCGAGTGGCCCATGGTGGTGGTGGGGTTATGGTATGGGCAGGCATCTGTTATAGACAAAGAACACAGGTGCATTTTATTGATGGCATTTTGAATGCACAGAGATACCGTGATGAGATCCTGAGGCCCATTGTTGTGCCGTACATCCATGAACATCACCTCATGTTTCAGCAAGATAATGCACGGCTCCATGTTGCAAGGATCTGTACACAATTCTTGGAAGCTGAAAATGTCCCAGTTCTTGCATGGCCAGCATACTCACCGGACATGTCACCCATTGAGCATGTTTGGGATGTGCTTGACCGGCGTATACGACAGCGTGTACCAGTTCCCACTAATTTCCAACAACTTCGCACAGCCATCGAAGAGGAGTGGACCAACATTCCACAGGCCACAAGAAGATGTGTTGCACTGCATGAGGCAAATGGTGGTCACACCAGATACTGACCGGTTCTGAGTCCCCAGACCCCCAATAAAGCAAAAAACTGCACATTCCAGGGTGGCCTTTTATTGTGGGCAGTATAAGGCACACCTGTGCACTACTCATGATGTCAGATCAGCATATTGATGTGGCACACCTGTGAGGTGGGATGGATTGTCTCAGCAAAGCACAGGTGCTCACTATCACACATTTAGACTGATTTGTGAACAATGTCTGAGACAAATGGTGATAGTGTATCTGGAATGAATTTTAGATCTTTAAGTCCATCTCATGAAAAATCGGAGCAGAAACAAAAGTGTTGCGTTCATATTTTTGTTGAGTGTATAACTGGCTCAAACCGGCTCCACAGGATTTGGGGATTTTACCATTGATATATGAAAAGACTATAGAAAAGATTGTAAATGGGAATAAAATGTTTAAAAGCTTATTTTTTCACGATTTTAGATTACTTAAAAATATTTTGTTTTCACTGAATAGAGCCAAGCTTGTGATTTTTAAGAGCTCTTTAGATAACTTGTATTTTCTACACTGATGGTAACAATTCCACATATCAGTTTGTCAAAAGTGACGTGTCTTTAGATTAAACAGAATGTGTCTAAAACCCTCCAATCGCTGAGCGAGCAGTTTTCTCCTCTCTGCTGCAGGAAGGAACTGGTGTCATGTGACCAACAGCAGCTGTGAATTCATGTGCCTTCCTGCCCCTCAAGTTAGCAGACACTCTCCAAAATATACCTGTGTCTGTCCAGATGGCGCGATGCTAGCCAGAGACACGAGGACGTGTGTGCCCGGTGGGTGGATAAATTGCGACATTTCGGCAGTTTTAATACTGCTGAAGTGAAGGAGTATTCTGAAGTGTGTTTGTGCGTGTACGTTGTTGCCGTCTTAAATCAGATGTCCTTTTAATAGGAATCATTACAATTAATAAATGATTTACGAAACTTTCTTTATTTTATAAACAACGTACCGGTTTGTAAAAATAACACTTGGATCAACGTTTAGAGGAAATTTAGGAGACTAGCTACGTTTTAGGACCTGGTAAAAAACAGAAATCCCATTCAAAGAGATTTTTAGATAATAACGTTACAGAACCAGTTTTGGAGATTTAAGCTTTTTTTAACCCTCCCACTGTCCTAATGGGTGTGACCCGGCGAGGAAAGTTGGCCATTGAGCAGGATTAACGGTTTATTCCTTGAAGTCCACGTGGCAGGGGTGAGGTGGTGCTCACTCCTCACCCCTGCCACGTGGAGCCAAGAGATAAACCATCAACCCTGCTCAATGGTCAACTTTCCTCGCGGGGTCACCCATAAAGACAGTGGGGGGGGGGGGGGGGGGGTTTAAGATGGCAGCAACTTGTTTTGGTTCTTAGCTGCAGCAGGACTTGTCCAGGGGTGTCCAAACTTTTCAAGTGCAAATTTGTGGCCCCTCATTTGACTTTTGATATTGTACTGCTCAAAAGTATCCTGGTGTTAGTTAAAATAAACATAGAAATGTTTTAAAATGTTGATTGACACCAGCAGCCTGCTGGAGAGACAAAACTCTATTATTTTAGAAATGCAACTGGAAACCACACAGAATCACTCGGGGGCCCCAGGGCCACAGATTGGACATGCCTGGACCGACCAAACCAAACATCTGTTGAACATGAAAGCCACGTATCAGTAACAGAGGTGGACTCGAGTCACATGACTTGGACTCGAGTCAGACTCGAGTCATTATTTTAATGACTTCTGACTTGACTTTATAAAATCTATTAAGACTTACGACTTGACTTGGACTTGAACGCCAATGACTTGCGACTTGAATCGACTTGCAAAGTGACACGACATGGACAAAAATCATAAGTCACTCTTGGTTCTGGGTTGGATCTTGTTCTGCAGCAACTCTTTGTTTATAACCAGTTTCAGTTTCTGCTGTTTGAGCGAATAAATGAAGTTTTAAGAAGCTTTAACTCTGGGATTTATTTATGATCATCGTCATTAAATTGAAGTCGGACAGATGACTTGATTATAACTTGAAAATTCAAAGTTATGGACTTGGACTTGACTTGGACTTCCCGATCATTGACTTTGGACTCAACTTGGACTTAATTGTATTTGACTTTGACTTGACTCTAGACTTGACTGGAAAGACTTGTGACTTACTTGTGACTTGCAAAGCAGTGACTTGGTCACACCTCTGGTCAGCAAACACATGTTTACCAACATGGAGGTCATTCGGGAAGCGATGCACAATAGATTAGAACAGTTATTAACAGAGAAACATAGCTAACATGCTAACATGCTAATTCTGATGAATCTTTCTGTTTTCTGAACATTCCCAGCTGTGCCAACATCTGCAGCTCCCGTTGAGCCTCTAACCCCGCCCACCCGCCGCCCTCATCTGCCACCAGTTCCACCCAGTACCACACTAAAGACCCAAGTCCACGCCACCACTACACTACTCCCAGTGAACACGAGCACCACCACCAAGCCACTGAGGAGCACCACCAGGCCTCCTGTTAGGACCACCACACATTCACCAACCAAGACATTACCTGGACCAGAGAAGCCAAAACTCCTGAGAAGCACCACAGTGGCTCCAGTCACCTCTACAGGCAAGTTGGTAGTAAACATTCATGTTTAGCTAACATCATTCCTCTCGAGTCCGTAACTTATGTGTTGCCCTTTTTCTCCTCAGTTGTTCATCCTAAAGTTGCAGCTGCTGTTCCCACAGCCACCTCCATCACCCCGGTAGCTCTTTATCTGATCTTACCTCTGGGTGCGTGGCTTAACATCTTCTCATACTCCATCTACTTCTAGCAGCAGACACCAACCTTGACTTAACTCTCTCTGGATCTGTCTCCATCTAACAGCGGTGGTTTGTATGGTGGTTGGTGGGGGGGTGTTGCTGTGGAGGAACTTCAAGTTGCGGAACAGCAACACGATTCACTTCCACAACCCCGTTTACCAGAAAACCACCGAAGACCAGGTGCACATCTGGAAGAGACAAAGCTTCGATGGCTATGCCTACCCTAAAGTAAGTCCATAAGCTCTTGTTATTCGCTCACCTTTATGTAAAGTAGAACATGTTGTTCGTTTTTGGTAAACATGGCGTTATATGTTTTTCTCCTATCAGAGACAAATTGTGAGCGCAGATGAAGAGGCGGATAATCCTGCGTTCTCGGAAAACTGAAAAGTCAGGTGCAGTGGAGTGTCCAGATCTTTTAAAATGGGGTGGCCCAGGCGAGGCACAACTTTGTGCATGGGTGGCACCAATGGTTATGCTTTTTTTGTTTTACCCCCGGCCTTTTGTGGACAATGAAAAGCCTATTTAAAGGTAAATTAGTGTGTTGGCACCTGGGGTGGCCAATCAGATTCCAAGGGTGGCATGTGCTACCCAGGCCACTCCCTGGAAACGCCCCTGCTCAGGTGGAGCAGAAGAAGGCACCCCAGAATCCTTTTTACCTCACACAACACGGGAAAACTCGAAACCACTGAATCCTCACCAACCGAACGCTGCAGAGACAGGCTGAAGATGGAGTTTTGTTCCCCATCAGAACCTACCAGGTCATCAGAAGATGGACGCCACAGCTCCCGTTCACTTCAAGCTCTGAAGCTAACTCTCAAAACCGAGGAAGGCGTCACCGTTTGAGTCGTGTCGTGCTCTTCGCATCCTGTGTTTTTGTAGCTTAGTTCAGTGCAGTTCAGTGCCACTCCCTGAAAGTCCTGCCAGCAGATGTTCTGTAAATATTGGTCCAGTAGAAAATAATTGATGGGAGTCCGGTTGGATCTTGCACTATTTATGATTTACAGCAGATGTGTAGTGATAAACCACCAGAGCAACGTGTTAAACTCTTATTTTAATAATAATAATAATAATACATTTTATTTCAAGCGCCTTTCAAAGCTCTCAAGGTCACTGTACAAAACAAAATATAACAAGCAAGCAATACAAACAACAAGAAATAAATGCTAGGAGTAATTCCCAAGGGTAGAGTCGGAGCAGTGCAATGGATAATAGACTAAAAAGAGTAGATGGAAGGAGGACAATTACAGTGAGTAAGCCAGGCAGAACATGTGAGTTTTGAGTTGAGACTTGAAGGTTGAGAAGGAGTTTATATTGCGGAGGTCAGGCGGTAGAGTGTTCCAGAGTTTTGGAGCTGAGTGGCTGAAAGCTCTGGCTCCCATAGTACTGAGACGAGTGCGAGGAACAGACAGGGAAGGTGAAGATGATGATCGGAGAGAGCGAGTGGGAGTGACAATGTGGAGGAGATTAGAAAGATAAGGGGGAGCGAGATTATGGATGGCTTTAAAGGCATGAAGAAGTATCTTATAGTCAATTCTGTATTTGACAGGGAGCCAGTGAAGTTGTTGCAGGACAGGGGTAATGTGATCAAAAGTGGAGGTCTTGGTGATTATCCGGGCAGCTGAATTTTGGACTAACTGTCACTTGTTACCTGTAAACAGATATTTTGACCGTTTTAAAGCGTTTCTGTCCAAAGAGTTGTGTATTTCCATCTTGAGTCTCGTATTTATTCCCTGAACAGATTTCCTGGTGTGTGATTGCATCATCACCACCTGCTGATCAAATCATCCATGTGGATGTTGTTGCTTCCAGAATCCGACTTTTCTAATTAATTGGAGTTAAAAAAACATTTTAAACAATTAGCTGAGTCTGAATCAGCAGGTCAGAGCTGTACCAAAATGTCAGAAATGTCCCGTTGAACTGATCTCAGACTTCGGTTCGACCCTTGTGACCTTGTGGCGGCCCTCGTGTCACGCTGAAATGAAAAAGTCAACCTCAGAGAAAAAGCACATGACGTGTCTTGATTACACGTTCCTCAGACTTCAGATCCCACCACGTGGACCCACAAGCAGCTTTGTTCCTGAACACCGTCCCCAGATGCCTTCTGCTGGTTTGTGATGCCGACGGCGATCTTTAAAATCCCTTAGGGCTGAAGAGCGTTGATGCAGCGGCGTGCCGCATCCCACCACACGCCGTCCCTCTGACCACTTTTCCAGCATTCCCAGGCTAATGCCCGGTTTACACGCCAGGATAAATGAGTCGATTCTCGACACGATTCTCCCCCCTGACAATCTTAACGGCGCCTGAATACCCAAAGATAATCCTATCAGATATTCCTGCCGTGTGTGGTGGGTGCTGGTGCTCAGAAGCACGTTGTACATTCAGGAATGTTCAGCTTGTTGGATTGTCTTGTCTCGATATTAACGTGTGCGGTAGCCCCAAAGATAAATGAGCCAATCAGAACGCGAAGTGACAGAAGCACGCTGCCCTGAGCTTCCTCCTCCATTTTTGTTTACGCTGAAATCACGTTTGAGATCTCGAGACTTTCTGTGAGATTTCCCGTCTGGCCGATGGATGTTGGTTTGTGTGTGGTGTGTAGTTTTAGCTGCGTGGCCACACACCGTTATATCTGTCATTTTTTATCAGTGTGTGTGTGTGTGTGTGTGTGTGTGTGTGTGTGTGTGTGTGTGTGTGTGTGTGTGTGTGTGTGTGTGTGATTCTAATACATCAGGAGCTGATAATGATCATTTCTTTCTGGATAAATGCGTGCCTTATCCTAGAAAAAACGTTGAAATGTTCCTCTTGGTGCTTTGAAGGCAGCAGATGGACCGAGCACGACTTCAGAGCTGGTTTTTCTTGACCGGGAGGATAAATGGGACATAAAACTGCTGCTGAAGCCTTTTTTATGGGTTACTGACAAACTGCAGTGTGTACATATAATGCTCATGAGTGTACATATTAGTTCTCAACTGCTAGGGTGTTCTTTCTTTAAAATGTGCTGTAAATAAATAAAAAGCTTATATTTATTACTAGGTTTGTTGTCTCTGGAGTCTGTTTCATGCATTTAGGGCTGAACTGCAGGAGGATTTCAGCCTCTGACGCGCTAACTTACCTCAACAGCTTGTTTTGTTTCAGCGCAGCTCTTCCAGGACTCTGCTGGACTTACACTACGTTCTGTTTTATCTTCGACTTCCCAGAAACTTTCTCCTCCTTCCTTTCCTCCCACATCACGCCGAGCCATGTGGCTCACGTTTCTCCAGCTGCTATCGAGGCCACATGGCTCGGTCGCAGTCGGGGTAATGTGAGACTGAAGGGCTTTCTGTTTTTTCTGTCCTGCTGTTCTTCGTTAGGAAGCGAGCCTTTTCCTGGGGTAAGCGTTTGTTTTCGTTCAGTGAGATCGGCCGGGTGGTAACCAGAGTTTTACTGCCTTAACTGTCAATTAACACCTTAAAAAATTAGCTAACTGGTTTTTCTTATTAATTTGGGTCCAAAAAGTGTTTAAAAACGAATAAAGTTTTAGAATAATAAAAAAATTTCCATGCACAATGTCATTCACTGTTTTGTTTGAATTTAAAGCAGAAAGGTGGGGGACCCTGTGATGTTAGTTCCTTAACAGGCCCAAAACAACCCTCGCACTACAGAATAAATAATAATAATTCCCATCAAATGAACCAGCAAACCCAGCACTACAAGGATATCTAAACAATTTTTATCATTTTTCGAGGAATAGGCTTCAAAATAGGCCTAGGGCTCAAGGGGTTAACTGTTCAGAGTGTAAGATCTCGTCCAACAAGCTGCTGTTTGGGAAGGAAAACGGGGTTTGCTGATGTTTGATTGGCAGAATGAATGGTGTGAGTCTGGCCACGTGTGGTCAGACCCACCAACCCGCTGGTGGATGTTTAGCAGTCCAAACCAACCCACCAGAGGTCAAAGTTCAAGGCTAAAGAGGACCAGAAGTGTTTCACAGATATCCTGAGTGGCGGTTTTACCATTAGGCATAGGTCGGCGGCTGCCTGGGGCCCTCTTGTGTTGGGTGTCTCAAGACAATGACAACGTGGACAGCTGACTTCACCTAAGCCCCGCCTCCTGACAACAGGAAGTCTATTGTTTTATGGTGAAATGCCCATATTTGTCCCCTGTAATTTAGTCAACATGACAGTAAGATCATGCACTTCTTCATGATGCTGTAATGACCATTCATTTCTGATAGTTTTTCAGAAAGGGAGGGGCTTTGATGCCATGGTGAATTCTGGCGTGACGCAGTAACTTTACGTTTGACTGTAACTTCCACAAACAGCCTCCGATCTGCACGAGAGTGAACATGGCAATCAACAATCATGCCCTTTAGCCAACGAGGCACAAACGGTTGGTGAACTTTTATAATATCACCACAGCGCCCCCTACATACCTTTAAAATTGTAATAACTCCTACAAACGAGGTCACAACTGCACCAAACTTGCTATGTGTCATCATATCGTCATGGTTGATATCTCTTTAGCTCCGCCCCTGACAGATTTTAGGCCCTGAATAACACACGCATAATGCATTTCACATCGAACTGCACGCAAATGACTGTTATCAACCTACAAACTGCTTCATGGAATGTTTCCTAAATTTGGGACAGCGCCCCCTAGATCCAATAAAACCTTTGTAACTTCTGCAAAAAAGCTCTAGACTATATCACACATGGTGGGAGTCATCACACAACTGCAATCAACAAATGTATGTGCTCACTTGTTCAAATCACTTTAACTCCGCCCACTTACAGCCTTTTGTCTCTAGATGACCTGTGCAACGTTTGATTGATGCCAAATTAACAGAAAACCATCTTTGATGACCAAAGATGACCTCTATGGGATTTAGTTGTAAATGGTCACAGCGCCCCCTAGATGGGTTCAAACTTTATTAACTTCTAAAGACAAGGTCAGAATGGCATGGCTTGTGACGTCACGTGACTGCACCAAACACATTGATGTGGTTGTTGGTTCAAACCCCTGTAGCTCCGCCCCTTTCAGCTCTCTGGCTCTAGATTACACACACATCGTCTGATTGATGCCAAAATAACAGAAAACCATCTTTGTCAACCAAAGCTGACCTAAATGGATTTTTTCTGTAGTTGGTCACAGCGCCCCCTACATTACTTTAACCTTCCATAACTTCAAAAAACATGGTCAGAATAGCATTAAACTTGGTTTGTGTCATCACACCACCAGTGTGGTAAAGATAGAGTATCCCCTAGTGGTGAGATGTGTAATTTAATGGTGGGCTCAGAGGAGATGCTGAGTCAGGGTGAGGTGCAGACGAGGAGACTGTTCGCGGTGTCTGAGGTCACGGGGGGTCGACGTTTACATTCCGCGGACGTACCCGGCTCCCCTGGGCTGCCGGCCGGGACGGAGCGGAGGTGCGAGGGCCGAATGACGCTGCTTGCAACTTTTATTTATTTTCTGTTTTTTTTTGTCACTTCTTAACCCAACATCACGACTCTGTTGCAGCCCATCGTGTTGTTGCACCACGCTGACCTGTAGGTTTTACCTGAAGTGTTACCTCACGATGGGGGGCGTGTGACATCACAGCAGCTGTCAGCTGGACGACTTTCTGACCTTTGCTCTCTGGATGTGTTTTAGTCAGAGTCAAAACACTCCCTCTGTTCCCCTGATATTTATATATTAATGGCAGCATCAGAAAACCGAGATTTAGAATAAAAAACGGTTTGTTTCAAACGAAGTTACTGTTTTTAATACTGTCTTCAGCTACTCTTTTCCAAGAGTCTGGATCCGACTTTAGAGACTTTTCCCAAGATTTATGGTGAAAAAGATGATGACATATTTGTTTCTAACATAACAAACAGAAAAATCAGCAGGGAAAAAATATAATAAAATAAAGCCATTAAAAAAACTAAAGAACCCAAAACAATGTCTCAAGCCCTGCAGGACTCACTTGGGAGAAGTGAATGAATCCCCAATAAGACAGAGACTGAGACAGGACAAGGGTCTCCATGGGAGAGAACGTTAATGCTCAATAAAAAAATAATTAATGTTAAAAAAGGGACCCTTGTTGTAAAATGTTACCTTAACACTAGAACATGGTGGTGGTAGTGTGACGGTCTAGGGTTGCTCTGCTGCTTCAGGATCTGGACCATTTGCGGTAGTTGATGGAACCATAAATTCTGCTCTCCAGCAGAACATCTGGAAGGAGAAAGTCTGGCCTTTGACCTTAAACGGGCAGTTGATATTGAAACACCCTCCCAGAGACTTATGAGAAGTTATCGCTAACGGCTGGCTGCAACTGTTGCTGCTGAAGGAGTTACATCATGTTAAGTTTAGATGTTAATTACTTCTTCACAAAGGCTGGTCTGAACTGATTTGTTCCATTAATAACTGAATCCAATTATTAGAAACTATTTACTCCAGTTATCGTTGTCAAATGGCGCCCTCTGCTGGCTAACATTTCACATGACGTGGAAATTTGGAACGCTTTTGTGAAAAAAAAGGCTTTTAAAATCTACAAAAATAATTCAATTATATTAAATTCAACAAGTTTATTTGTAAAGCACCAAATCAGGACAAGAGTCGTCTCAAGGACTTTCACACAGGAAACATCCCAACACAGGTCAGTTCATTAAGCAAATCAGAAAAAAAGTTTCTTATATAAGGAACCCAGCAGGTTGCATCGAGTCACTGACTCTTTACAGCAATCCTCATACTAAGCAAGCATGCAGCGACAGTGGAGAGGAAAACTCCCTTTTAACAGGAAGAAACCTCCAGAGGATCCTGGCTCAGTATAAGCAGCCATCCTCCACGACTCACTAGGGATCGAGAAGACAGAGCAGACAGAGCAGACACACACACACACACACACACGCACACGCGCACGCACGCACACACACGCACACACACACACACATTTCTATGGTAACATTGAAAGAAAAGCGTCTGGACTTCTTTAAGTTGCTTGAAGACGTTTCACCTCTCATCCGAGAGGCTTCTTCAGTTCTAAGGTCAAATGGTGGAGAGTCCCATATTCAAACCCAGTGGGAGTTTCCCCCCGAAGAGGGAACAAAAGACCCCCTGATGATCTTCTACATAAACACATGAGCCCAGGTGTGAGGGTGGGTGTGGGTCCTATTCAGCCAGAGTTTTGGGTGAGTTCATTGTGAAACCTGGCCCCACCCTATCATGTGAATTCCTGAGGTCAGATGGCCCAGGATATGCGTGGGCGTTGAGGCATCTGGGAAGGGATCTCAAAACTGGATTATAGATGGCAGACAGTTGGTGTCGTAAACCACCGCCTCTGTTCAAAGATGGTTCCTCACAGTGGACATAAATGGCTTCTTTTACTCCTCTTTCAAACCATCTGTCCTCTCTGTCCAAAATGTGAACGTTGGCATCCTCGAAAGATTGACCTTTGTCCTTTAGATGCAAATGAACTGCTGAGTCCTGTCCCGTGGAGGTGGCTCTTCTATGTTGTGCCATGCGCTTGTGAAGTGGCTGTTTGGTTTCTCCGATGTAGAGGTCTGGGCATTCCTCGCTGCACTGTACAGCATACACCACATTGTTCAGTTTGTGTTTAGGAGTTTTGTCTTTCGGGTGAACCAGTTTCTGTCTGAGTGTGTTGCTGGGTCTGAAGTACACTGGTATGTTGTGTTTGGAGAAAACCCTCCTGAGTTTCTCTGATACACCGGCTACATCAGAATCAGAAAACTTTATTGGTCCCCATGGGGCAATTAATTTGTAGCTTACCACACAGAATAACTCGCTCATAATATCAACCAAGCAAACAATCCATTTATACAATCACACAATCACACAATGTGTGTCACTACCAACATGCCGAACACATCCTAAATGAAGGGTAGAGGATGAGCAGCAGCCCTCCAAAAATGGCACATGCTTAAAGCCGATGATACTTCGCTGTTATTGCGCCATAGGGGATGACAAGGTTGTCATCGGGGGGTCTTTTGTTCCCTCTTCGGGGGAAACTCCCACTGGGTTTAAATCTGGGACTCTCCACCATTTGACCTTAGAACTGAAGAAGCCTCTCGGATGAGAGGTGAAACGTCTTCAAGCAACTCAAAGAAGTCCAGACGCTTTTCTTTCAAAGCTCCTTAGACTACAATGACCTGGATGACTGAGAACCTTCACAGACATATGGTAACATTGTTTTTTCTTAGTAAATATTCTATTTGGTGAGAGATAAACTTTATGGTATTTATCCTAGTGAATCTATAATTAAACGGGTAAACTAGTAGTAGCACATAACATAACGCATCCTGTTTTTTTTAATCACACTCCTTGGCTTTGATTATAGATGAAAAACACTTCCAGGCAGACTGACCTGTGTTCAGTTGGACAATAAGAACCCACATTTGTCAAATACACACAAGCTGAACAATGACTTTATTAAGTACCTATTTTATACTTCTACACGTACACGTGTACCCATCAGTACGTGTGTGTACCTGTTAGCAGCGGAGGGGGAACACACCTAACGGCTAGAGTTGACGGGGAACTTATTTCTCTGTAACACCGGAAACCGTGTTTCGCTAACATGCGTCTGTAGCAGCAGTGACTTGTTTTCTTCGGTGTACACCTAGTTTTTAACTTTATCCGTGTTTTCACGACAATGTCCGGCAGGTCGGAGCTAAAGATTAACTCCCGGTTCGCGCAGAGGTATGAGAAGTACCGGCAGAAGGAGGAGCTGCAGAAGCGTACGTGTCCCTGCTAGCTAGCACGTGCTAACGCGGGCTTTAACCCGTTCTAAAGGTGTGTGTGGTGTTTGAGGAAGTGCTGTCATCTGCTCATTTGTGCAGTGAAGGACCGGTTCGGAGACCGAGCCGATGAGAGCGACTCCGACTCGTCCGAGTCCAGCTCTGACGGCAGCGACGTGGTTAGCATCATCGCTGTCCTGTTCATTCCTCTGGTGGCTTTGTGGATGTTGTAGTGAGGTGTTCTCCTCCTGCAGGAGCTGGACCCTGATGCGGAGAGGGACTTCTACAGAACTCTGTCGCTGCTGAAGAAGAAGGACCCAAAGATTTATGAGAAAGATGTCAAGTTTTACTCAGAAGGTGATGAAACGTTTATGAGCTCCACTCTTCCTGCTGTCGGTTGGCAGACGCCTGATCTGAGTGTTGATTCTTGCAGAGTCGCCCCACAGTGAAGCCAAGCCGTCAACGTCGAAGAGAGACAAAGTGAAGCCGATGTATCTGAAGGACTATGAGCGTAAAGTCATCCTGGAGAAGGAAGGGTGAGTGCAGGTCTGCAGCAGGAGGAGGCTCCACGCTGCTTCATCAGGGCTGAAATTTAAAAAAGTCCAAACTCGGTCACATTTTTCTGGGAAAGGAAGACAAAGTTCCTGCTTTTCTACATTTCATATCAGGTGAAAACGTTTTGTTTTATGTTGCAGCAAATATGAAGATGATGATGGCGACGAAAGCGATGACGAGGAGGCTGCTACGAGAAGAGAGGCAGGGAAACTCCTAAATGGGCAGAAAGATTTTCTTTTATTCACAGTAAAGGCAAAATAATTGATCGCAGCTTCCGTTTGCAGAGGGCCGCCTCCCCGAGCTACATCCAGGAGCAGAGGGAGCTGAGGGAGAGGTAAGACCAGACGTACTGCCGTCACGGTCGGCGGATTGTTCGCAGAAACTTAATCTAAACGTCGCCGCAGCCTTCGGAAGTTTGTCGAGGACAGCGATGAGGACGCCGGGGATGAAGGAGCGTCGTACCTTCTCACCAGGAGAATCAAAACACAGGAAGAGAAGGTGAGGCTCGTGTTTAGACAGTCTGGTGTTGGAGGCCCCCCAGGGCTGGGACGAACTCAGAGCCTGAATGTGTTTCAGGATAAAGAAGAGGCGGAATATCTGGACTGGCTGAAAGGCCAAGCTGAGCTGGATGGTCCAGAGGAGGTGAAGGACATGGTGAGTGGGTTAGAGTGGCGAGGAGGAGACTTCCCGCAGGGCCGAGAGTAACGAGTTCATCTTGGCAGAAATACTTGAGAGACTACTGGAATGACCCGGAGCTGGATGAGAAGGAGCAGTTCCTCCGGGATTACATGCTGAACAAGGGCTACCTGGAGGACGAGGACCCAGACGAACGGTCAGATTCTTTCATTTACGACGCAGCGGGACAGACGCCAGCGCCGCTGCGATGTAGAAAAATACGTACATTCAACAGTGAGGGGGGATTATTGGTGACCAGGGCTGAACGGTTTTAGGAAAAGATAGAATTGCAATTTTTCTAGCAGAAACTGCGATTTTGGTTAAATTCACGATTTTCTGCAAACAAAGGTCCGACACTAGCCCGCCGAGCCATCCTGTAGATTAAAAAGACGGTCTAGACTCTAATCTAGTACAACTAATCATTCACATTAATATTTACTATTTAATTATACAATGAAAACAGTTAAAGCTATTAATATTTTCTCCCATTATTATCTTTTTTTATGTGTTTGTGAAGCAGCTTGTGATTTTTATCTAGAGAGGAGCTTTATAAAAACACGTTCTACTCCAGAAATGCACGGAGGAGATCTGTAGGTAGAAACAGCTTTTACATGTATTAAATGAACACCGTTTCCCTGCGTTACCGCGGCAGGCTGAAGCCGTCTGATAGTTAGTCCTCACTAACGTCGGCTCCGTGAGAGAGACGCACGCATTCTGACGCCTTAGCTTGTCTGAGCTAACGTGTGCCGTCAGAAACATTCAAACCATTTTTAAGAGAAGTTCAGCTTTGAAGTCAACTAAAGTGCGCGACTCCACGCTCGCGCTGATGAAGCATAATCCAAGCTTTAGAAATCAGCCTGAACCTGCTGATGTGGGAGGAGTCTCTCTCTCCCTTACTCAACTACGTTCTCTCTCTCTCTCTGTCCGGGGCCCACCTACGGTGCATTATTATCGGCTCTAGCAGCGCTGTGTGTGGGAACATGAAACAGGGAAATAACCTGAACATGCAGCTCTGGCAACTGTGGAGTTGGGCTCGGCTCTGGGCGGTACACCCCACCCCCCTCCCCCGCGCTGGCTTTTGCCGCTGCCATAACACGGGGAAAACCCCAGATGTAAAAAAAAAAAGTTACACAACTGATCCTGGATCAGTCAAAACCGCTAAAACCGCAGCTTTGACGTTCACGCGATGGTGCTGTTTGAAATCGCAATTTCGGTCCAAAACCGATAGATCGTTCAGCCCTAGTGGTGCCTGTCGTCAGGTTGGGAAACAGTCCATTTCTTCTCTCCAGACAAAATCTCACCTGGAACGTGGCCCTTCAAAATAAGAGCCTCCGGTGTTGCCTGAAACACAGAAAGCACTAGCCTGTTTATTATGATTCAGTTTTTCAAAATTTCACATGTTTTACGGTCCCCATCAAAAACCCCTATTTTACACGTTTGGATCTTAACAAGGATCCAAGTCGAGCTTCAGCGTGAAACGAGGAGAAATGGGAGTGAGACAAAACCCTCCGTTTCAGAGCAAGCAGCTTTGTTCTCGCTCAACGACGGAGTATAAACCAAATGCATATTCTCACCCAGGCCATTGACTGGCCCTTTTATAGAAACGAGTGTAAAACACGTTTATTCGTCTGCTTGATCACAGGGGCGTGTCCAGGGAGTGGCCTGGGTAGCACATGCCACCCTTGGAACCTGATTGGCCACCCCAGGTGCCACCACACTAATTTACTTTTAAAGAGGCTTTCCTTGCCCACAAAAGGCTTGGGGGTAAAACAAAAGAAGCATAACCGTTGGTGCCACCCATTCACAAAGTTGTGCCTCACCTGGGCCACCCCATTTTAAAAAATCTGGACACGCCACTGCTTGATCAGTCACATAAAGAAAACAAACATCGCTGCAGAGCCGATGCAGTACGGAGGCCCTGACGCCCAAATGGTGTTGGAAAACATAACATGCTGTTCTGGAGTGTTTCACATTTATAAGTGGAACCACATGGGAAGAGGAACTCTCTGGTTGTTGCACCACCAAGCGTCTGATGCGGTCTGTGTGTTTTGCCCTCATTCTGCCATCTTTGCTTGAGCGCTGACTTTTTAAAAGCGCGCCACTAAAAGCTCTCGAGTTTGTTTCACATCATTTGGAGGAAGAAACAAACTCGGAGCTGAATGTCCAAGTCGTTTGTTTACTGGTAACGTTGAGATGTTCGTGGCCTTTACTGTCAACTCTCCGGATGCGTTCAGGATCCCGACTTACGACGAGGTGGTCCAGGATGACTCGGAGGAGGAGGGAGAGGCGTTCCTGGAGCGTCAGGAGGATTTTGAGAGAAGCTACAACTTCCGCTTCGAAGAGCCCGACGCCCAACAGGTGAAGACCTACCCCCGAACCATCGCCACGTCCGTTCGCTCCAAAGACGACCGCCGGAAACGCAAACGGGAGGAAGTGAAGGAACGGAAGCAGAAGGTTTGCCGTGCGGCCTAAATGGCTCAGATGCTCTGGAACGTTTTGGTTTTTCTGGCTAAAAACGTGTTTGATGACAACGATTCCAGGAGAAGGAGCAGAAGCAGGAGCAGCTGAAGCAGCTGAAGAACCTGAAGAGGAACGAGATCATGGAGAAGCTGAAGCAGCTGCAGGAGCTGACGGGAAACGAGCAGCTGGCTTTCAGCCAGGACGACCTGGAGGGAGACTTTGACCCCAAACAGCACGATCGCCTCATGCAGGTCAGCGGAGAACTGCTCGCTGACGTGTTTGTCTGACGGATCCTCGGGAGTCACCTGAGGTGTTTGTTTGCAGAAATTCTTTGGAGATGAATATTATGGAGGAGAGGAAGAGGAGAAGCCTCAGTTTGAGGATGACGATGAGCTGGAGGGTGAGCTGATGCGTTGCTGCTGTCTGAGCTGTGGAGGTCCTCAGTCATGTGACTTTGTTGTTTTCTGTCCACACCAGAGCACTGGAACTGGGACACCTGGACAGGAGAGGGACAGGAGGAAGACTACGGTGAAGAGGAGTGTGATGGAGAAGACGCCGCTGGACCCCACTGTGAGGATGAAGGGTTCATCGTGAGTCGGCTCAGACGTGAGTCAGCCCCGAGCGACGGGCGAGGCGTGGTTACCGAATGTCCCGGTTTTACAGATGGACGCCGACTACGACCCCAGCCAGCACACCGCCTCCAAGAAGAAGAAGAAGGAGAGGAAGAAGATGAGGAAGGAGGACCTGCCGCAGACGGGCAAAAAGAAAAAGAAGTCCCACTTTGCAGAGGTCGTCACCAGAAGCAAGCCCGTGTTTGATCCCGGTAGGTGCCGATCGCGTCCCGCAGACCGAGCCTGCGTGAGCCGGTCCTGACCGAAGGCTGCTGGTGTTTCAGAGGAGAAGACCTTTGAGCAGTACCTGGACGAGTTCTACAAGTTGGACTACGAAGACATCATCGACGACCTCCCCTGCAGGTTTCGCTACAGGCAGGTTCTGCCCAACGACTTCGGCCTGACCACGAACGAGGTAACCCCCGGACCCGACGGTCTGCCCCCCCTCCCCCCCCCGCCCTGCTGCAGCTACAGGCGTCAGAGAAACGGCCAGCCGAGCTCAGAGCCCTGGTGCTGGTTACCACACGGAGGAGGAGAGCCGTGTAGATCTTCAGACGCGTCTCACGCGTTTCTACAGGAAGTATTAGAAAGAAATGCAGCAGAGAGTGTGTCGAGCGGTCCTTCGCCGTTTGAGTTTGACATCAAACCGAGTTTCACCGGTGATGGCGTCAATTCTCTTTGTCTGACATATAGAAGTCTAAATGATTTGAAATGAAAAGAAATATAAATATTATTAGGGATGTCCCGTTCCGGTGTTGGTATCGGATATCGGCCCAAATCGGATTATATCGGACTGCATCAGAAATCTCCGATGTCAGCAGTCCGTTCTGCTTTAAAGGGGCATTATGGAAGTTTGACAGTCAGAACATGTATAGAAATAATAAATGTCTTCTTCATACATTCTCCTGCAATGCCCTGGTCCTGTAGAATGAGCCCTGGCATTTTTACTGTGATTGCCTGTTTTTCTGTAAAATCACAGAAAAAGAGAGATGCTCGGGTCGAGCAGGCTGCTTCATGCGCGTTCACGCTCAGGCATCGCCCGTAGCATTTGCTATCAGTAGCTTTAGCAGCAGAGAGAGAGGCAGTGCCAACTCATTAGGAACAGCGACTTATCAGAAGTGGAAAAAGTTGCATCGGGACATCCCTAAATATTATTTCACAAACCTTTTCTCATGGATGGCCTTACCTACGGCTCCTGAGGCTTCAGGTTTCACCTGACCAGGAAGAGGCGAGGTTTCGGCCGTTTTCTCGACCAGGCGGGCTTCAGCAGCAGAATGACGCAGTAGCTGTGCTGCTTTTAACAAATAAACGCATCACGCCTGTAGCTAAACGAGCTAGGTGAGGCTCGAATCTAGGTTCGCTTCATTTTTCATACAACCGACTGATTTCTCTCAAATCACCAGAAAAGCGTCAGAGCCCACCTGAAGTTTCAATGCGATGATGCCGTAGTCGAAAAGGTTAACGGACTAACAGAAGAAGGGTTCTTTAAAGAGCAAGTCACCCCCAAATCAACTTTTTATTTCCCTGATAAACTATATAAATGTGTGTCTAATCGTGCTGCAGACACGTGTAGTCAATAGTTTTGCACTTAAGTGCATTTTAGTTAAAATTTAAATGTTCTGCCTAAAGCTGTCAGTGTTGTGCCGTTGTCGGGTAAAAACTCTGCACTGCATTTGAATTTAAATCTGCCATCGCTATTGGCTAAGAGGTACCCTAGAATGTTAGCTGGTACCATATGATGTCACAATGTCTTTGTGGGCCTGAGTGTGTGTGTATTTGTTAGCGGCTCCGCCCTCTCGGTCTCCTAGACAACAGCATTTGTTGCATTTTTCAAACAGGAAGTGGGAATGAAGTTTTTACTCTGGTAGGGGGTGACTTGCTCTTTAAAGGCGACGCCTTTATTTCCGCTGCAGGTTTAACTTTAGGGATGAAAAACAAAACGTAGGTTTGGTCCTTTAATTTGAAGGTTCATGTAGATTTGTACCTCTAAAGCTTTTATTTTGTAGGAGAAATGTTTGAAAAGGCTCCTTCTGCTGATCTGACCTCTGACCTGTAGGTGTGGCTGTTTGCTGCTGCACTGATGAGCGTTTGTAGGATCTGATCTGGTATTGCTTCCCTCCGGGGAGAGCTCTGACCAGGAAATGATCCCGGTTCAATCTTCTCTCTGAGCGGACGGCGCTGCCGCCGTTCCCGGCGGTCCCGCTCTTGCCCGCGCATGATCGGATCTGTCGTGTCTTTCAGATTTTAAGTGCCGACGACAAGGAGCTGAACCGCTGGTGCTCTCTGAAGAAGACGTGCATGTTCAGGTAGGAGCTCGGCTGCAGAGCTACAGCCGCCCACCTCGGACCACGGGGCTCAGGATTTTCTGCTCTTTCAGGTCCGAGAAGGAGGAGTTCAGTGATCTGAAGAACTATCAAATCAAAGCACGGAACGTGAAGAAGAAGAAGGAAATCCTGAGCTCGGTGTTTTCTGAGTGAGTATAAATCTGGACACGTGCACAAACTAGATGAGTCTGCAGTTTGGTTACGTGGCTGGTCTGACTTTGGTCTTCAGGGAGGATAAAGAAGGTCCAGAGGCGAACGCCAAGCTGGGAAAGAAACGTCGGGATCGACTGAAGAAGGCGGAGAAGCAAGGAGCAGATGTCAGCGCAGCGTCTAACGAGGAGTCTTCAGAGGAGGCGCTTAGCCGTGTCCTCAAAGACACAGCGGACAACTCGGAAGAAGAGGAGGAGGTCTTAATACCAAAGAAGAAGAAGCGAGAAGAGGAGGCTGTTGCAACCGAGAAACACGTTAAAGTGAACGACGGGAGAGAAAAACCGAAAGGGTTCAAGAAGAAGCCCAGACCTCCAGGTGGTCGTCCCAAACCTGGAGCTAAAGGGGTGAAGATCGGCGGGCGAGAGTTCACCGGTCAGAGACTGAAGGCCTACGGCCTGAACCCCAAGAGACTGTTCTTCAGACAGCTGGGCAGGCAGAGGCGGAAGGCCGAGGAGAAGCAGCTCAGGCAGAAAAACAAGGAGGGATAGCGCCAGCAGCGTTTTCAGTGTCCTGCTTTTAATTAGAGCTGTCTGAAAGACAGGCGAGTCTGCAAAACTGCATTAAAATCACGTAAAACCTGCTGTTTCTCCTTTTATGTTGTTTTTCCTCCATGACTGAATGCTCAGCTCCACCTGGCTGAGCAGTAAACTCAGAAGTACCTTTACTCAGCTCATCTGTGGACCCAGAGCCGGTCCAGAACCAGATCTGACGTGGTCTGCTGCAAAAGGCCTGTTACACAGGTTATTTTTGTGCTTTACATGAGCTGAATGGATCGAATGATTTAACTGTTCAGGTGCACAGAAAGTAAGAATAGAGGAGATGTGTTTTTTTTTCTCGTTCGATTATCTAAAGAATAAAATAGGCACAAAAACTCAAATATGTTAATAAAGAGTCACTAGTTTTAGTGCAAAATCCCAATTTTCATTGGGGATTAAATTACACAAATCTGAGTTGATATGAAGTAAAAAATAACATTAAAGTTTTCATTTTAATGTCTAAACTGCTAAAAAATAAAACTTAAGGCCTCCAGAGAATCTGAACATGAAACTCATATTTTTAATGCAAACGTTCAGCTTTTCTACCAACTTTCAACAAATATATTTAGTTGCCTTTGAACTTTTACATCTTTGACTACTTGCGTTTTTCAGGTTATTTATTTCATGAATTAATATTGATTTCTTATTATTTATAAGAAAATTGATTTAATTGGAATATGAACACCTAAAGTTCTAACTTGTGATTTCTTGGACAACAATCGGGTCCTGAAAAGTTCTCGTGGTTTTATTTACTGTGAATTTGTTTTTATTAAATCGTGTTTTATAAGCATTGATGAGTTTGAGGCTAAAAAGGGCAGCAGTAGTGGGGACTGCCCAGCAGGGGGCGGTAGAGATCACATCAGCCACGTAGGGCCCGCCAACTACCACAGAAGAAGAAATCAGCAACGGCGGGAGCTGAAAGTTTGAATCACGAGAGGAAAAACAAAAACGGTGCGTTGTTTTATGTTTTAATTCAACCAAATATCTCCCACAGACATTATTTTCACCTAGAGGATATTTACGGTGTGTTTTTGTGTCGTGTTTACATGTTTACTGCTACGTTTATTCGTTGTAAACAAAGAACAGGAAAGCTGAGAGGCTTTATGAGGTTCAGCAGCGGAAGAAACGCTGAAACGTGCACCCGTAGAGTTGTGAGACATCTTGTTAACCTCTTCAAGGCTTTTCTGCACTAGTGTCCCCTTTCTGAACACGATTATAACAGCAGTTGTGCCACGCTGCTGTTTTATTTACAGGCGAAACCGTAAAAACTAGAATCTGGTGCAAAAGTTCATCTATGTCGATAATCCTGCTCAGACTGAGAGACCATCTAAAGCAGGGGTGCCCAATCCTAGTTCTGGAGGGCCGGCAACCAGCAGGTTTTGTGGTTTTTCTGCTCCAACACACTTCATAAGCTGGTTGAATCACCTGTGCAGCAGCTCATCAGGCTCTGCAGAAGACTGTTAATCACCCGCTGATGTGCTGAGGCAGAATTAAACCTAAAAAACATGCTGGATACCGGCCCTCCGGGAGCAGGATTGGGCACCCCCGATCTAAAGCCTCAGGTACCCTCTGCAGGTGTTCTGGATTCCTCAGCTGAGTATGACACGTTGAGTCTAGAATATTGAACCTTTTCACAACATTCTGATTGTCTGAGGGTTTAAATGTGGCTGTCAGCCATACTCCTCACATTTATACCAAATAAAGGCTGAAACATCTGGATTTGTACGGATCGAGTCTGTCTCATGGATAAGTGCCATAAATGAATTTTTGCACCAGATTCTAGTTTGTCCAGCTGAGTTTGATCCGTGTTTAGAAAGTCGTGTGGGTGGTTGTCCCAGAGGAGAGCATCTGAGTTCATCCTGCTTGATGTCGGATTCTGTGTTTTCTGGTTAGCCACGATGGCGCAGTGTGCCAAATTTCCAGACTTGGAGGAGACCGGAGAGGATCTGATTGTCTTAATCAACAGCACTGAGGTTGAGAAGCTGAAGCAGGTGAAGCTGGAACATCAGGCCTTCTTTGATAAACACGTTGAAACGAAGAATCTCGTTGCACAGATTTTTCAAGGTAAGAAATCCCCTTTGCCTCGTGTCCGGCCACGCCACATAAACGTTTTTGAGTGAGTTTTTGTCTCATTTAAGTGGTTTAGATGCATTTAAATTTCAGACAAAGTGATTTTGTACGAGATGTCTTCAAATGGTGATTGTTTCAGTTATAAACAGGGCTGGGCAATACGGCCTAAAAGTAAAATTTATCCGATTTATGATTTTTTCCCCCGATTCTCTCTCCCCCTCAGTTATTAAGAATAGCAAGAAGTACAAATGGAAGGCACCTTAAAGCCAATTTTGTTTTTATTTAATCACAAGCGAGACAAAAGTAACCCTCCTTTCTGAGATGAATAATGAATAAATGAACACCCTCTTGGAATAAAAGCGCTCCACGTCCGCCGCAGTAAACCCAAACCAGTTCCTAGCAACGGAGGATTTCATTCCTTGGGAACCTACGTCCTGCTCTCACCGGTGGCCGTGGTGTCGCTAGCTGTTGCCGTTTCGTGTGCGTGCTGTGACGTTGTTGCGGTTATGTGAAACTAATGGTACGGAAGCTCCGGGGGGCCAAAAAGGCGCTATTACATAAAAATGCTATGTACTTTTTTTTTTAATCGCCCGCAACAAAAAAATCTAATTAATTAATTATATCGATTCATCGCCCAGGCCTAATTATGAAAGGTAAAAAAACAACCTCTGTCAGTACGCTCCAGACCAGCTGAGGCTCTGCCAAAGCTCCTCACCACCAGCGTGTGAATGTAGTGTAAAGTGCTTCGGAGTCCTCTGACTCTGAAAGGCGCTATACGTGTGTGGGCTTTTATCATTTTATCGTTTAAATGGAAAAAGTAAACGATCGTGTGATTTTAATCACTGGTAACACCGTTGGTGGCAACAACAGCTTTCGTCACACATTACTGATAACTGGTAACGAGTCTCGCTAGGAGTGGGCAATATAAACGTTATGAGGTAGAAACGATATAAAATTGGGTAATGATAGAGTTTTTGGCTATATCGCAATACCGCGATAGTGCGACAACACATGACGTCACTAAAGGTGCTTTCATAGAACACGCCATGCCGGCATATCGGCGTAATATTACCGCAATGGTATGTCTATAAACGCGCCATGCCGGCATGGCGTTGCGTGAATATTGCAGCATTCGTTCCGCCTCACTTGGTAGTAATATTGACGCATCAGCCCCTCGCCTCTGACGGCTAAACGCGTGTCAGCCCCGCTAATCCCTTTGGAGCGACTGTGGGAGGCCCCCTCCCTGCAAAAGAGGGTGGTCGCGTTAGTCGCGTGTACTGCGCACCGGATACCGGCTTGACGGACGTGAAGACCATGGAGCGTTTGGCCGTGCGAGCGGACGAACGGATCAGTCGCCTTTTTACGGGGACGGTGAGAGACAGCCAGCTGTTCGACAGAGTGGTGAAAACGCCGGCTGAGCGGGGAGTCAAGCGGGACAAATAGCAGGTCACATCAACGCTAAAGGTCCTGAAAAAGAAATTTCATCAGTCTGACGCTGAATGCGCGACCCTGTACGTCACATGCTGGGGGGGGGGGGGGGGGGGGCAGCGACCTTCCTATATCCCGTCTTGGTTGGAGGTGCCTGATGGCAGTTTATTGTAACTTGAGCTTTGCTACTAAAAATGCCAAAACCCTCCCCAGGGCAAATCCCGTTTTTTAAACGCTCTGGTCCTGTAAAAATTAACTTCTTCACATGCCAACGCGTCAATTCTCTAATCTAAAATTTTATTTGACGTGTTTTAATGTCCAGACATGGTGCAGACTGAGGAGAGCGTCAGTCAGAGGCTGCTGGACACGGAGGAGGAGGTGAAGATCAGGGTGAAGGATCTGGAGAACCTGGAGGAGCAGCTGAGTCAGTGCACGGCCAAGAGTCAGATCGCTGACTCGGAAATCCAGTAATCTTTCCCATCTGCATCTTAAAATTCAAACCAACAGCAAGTCAGCGTGTCCGAGGTTTTACAGAACCGTATCAATGTGCAGTTGCACCCTCTCACAGCTTCTGCGTTTTAACGCATTTGTTGCTATTTGCTCTCCTTTTATACGGTTTTATCCTTGATGTCATTTGTGCTCATGGTTTTGTGTTGCTTTCATTCTTTTGCTTTTTACCGTGTGTTCAGTACCTTAGGACAGCCGGGAGTTTGTAAATGAATCGAACTGACCGTCAGTTCTTCTGCTGCGTTCTTATTGGTTATAAAGTACATGCTCCTCCCCTTTAGGTTTCTAAGAAAAGAGCTGGACAACCTGAAAAGCACAGAGCACGAACTTGAGACTCTTCAGCACGAGGTGGATGAAGATACCACAGAGGTCATCCCGTCAGCAGTGTGAGTAGAAAACGGTCAGAATCAAATGAACCCGTAACCTTATGATGTCATCACTCAAGATCCCACGAATGACTCCTGGTTTCTACCAAGTCTGAGGGTGTTTCTCAATGCCAAGGAACCTTGCCTTGATGTCTTGGCCCCGCCCCAGTTGCCTAGGAGATACGTCATCAGATGTGTTCCAATGTTCATGTGAGGTAGATGAAAAGTAAAATATATGAATAGAAATCATCACAAAACTAAAATATGAGGTCAACAGAAATGACAAGTTATAGTGAAGCCATTTTCAAGTATCTGCATCGGTATCGGTTAACAGATATCGGTATCGGTTAACAGATACCGATACGATACTAGTATCGGTATCAGTGCATCCCTAGTTTGCATCAATAAGACTTGTTTTGTATTATGAGTGGGTGTGGGCGGGGCTAAAATAGTCTCTGAGGTGTCCGTGTGCGTTCACTTCACATACATCCATTTGAATCGTGTGTGTGTGTGTGTGTGTGTGTGTGTGTGTTAACTACTCCCTTCGTCAGGCTGAGGTTAGGGTCTCTGGGAGGTCAGACAGACTCTCTGCAGCTCTTCTGGATGTACTTCTCTTGTTAAAACAAACATATCATGTTTATTATATATTGGTGTTTATAGTACACACCTGTGGTTCTCAGCTGACATCAGTGGCCCCCTGCTGTGAAAACTCGGGGACACCCAGATATGATTCTGACTACGGTGATTAAAATAAATGAATGAGTGAGAAATGACATCAAGACGAGGTATGTGGGGAAAGTCTTGCGCTCTGCCTTGTGACTGATAACGGGGCATGTTCAGTGTTTCCCCGAGGGATTTTTCCAGCTGGCTAGGAGGGGCTGCTGGTGGACACAAACACAGTGCAGCAAAGTTATATTTACTAAATACAAACAACAAAAATGCTCAAACTTACTCGTTTAGAGTAATCCCTCGAGCTCTGATCTCAACAGTCCACCGACTGGAGCGGGAATAATCCACACAGAGCTCAGGCATCCTGCCGGAAGCTCCGCCCACCTAAGATGGTGACTGCGTTTCCTGCGCGGCCAATAGGGTGTCGTCTATCAATATACATGTCTGTGGGAAGAACAACATCTTCCTGGGCTGGATGAAAGTGTTCATTACCAATACCAAGGGCCTTCAGTCTTGCATTTATCCATAAATTAAAGAAGATGATCGATCAGTCTTTCAGCAATCGTCTTCCTGCCATAGACCGTGCTGTTGCCACACCAGGAAGTGATGCAGCCTGTGGGGATGCTCATTCTGGTTCTTTTCAACTTCTGCCCTCTCTTGGCCAGTCGTGTGGTAAGAGCGACCATCGGGAACATCCAAAAACGTGAGCGGCCAGCCCTGTTTGCAGGGGAGCCGCTCAAGTGTGATATCCTTCTGAAGTTCACGTCCACTCCACACCAGCTCACCAAACCGTAATGTGTCTCATCAGCACTAAAAACCTCTCTGTTCACAGATATGTGGCTCAGCTGTATCACCTAATTACCAAGATCAAGTGGGAGTACGAAACACAGCCCAGCATTTTAAAAGGAGGTAAACAACTCTATTTCTGGTGTTTTCTAACTCTTTATCCTGCAGGAGGGTCCCTGTACTTCAGTGTTGTTAGCGCTCATGAAAGGCATTCGGTTCAGATCCCTGAGAAGCTACCGCGCCGCGGGAGTTTGTTTTGTTTTAAGCCGGGCGGACACTGCGACTTTTTCACTCATAGCATTCAGCTTCAGCTCAAACTGTACGACTTCCTCGCAGAGCAGATCTCAGAGTCAGGCGCTCACACTGCACGACCCAGTTCTCGGATGCGATCTGACTGCTCACACTGTACGTCTGGTAGCAACACGTCGGACCTAAAAATATGCTAAAAATAGCAGTTTTTACTCAACACGTCAGACTTTTTGGTCTTGTTTTGCCTGTTGTCCTTCGGGAGTGCTGCAGGAGGACACACAGGGATTTATGGGGGTTGGATGAGGAAAATGAAATAAAGAAAGTAAATCTGTGTTTTGTGATCAGTTTAATTTGACACGAACACGACAAACACGCTTTCTTGACAATCTTTGTGAGTAAAAAAAACGTGTAGAAAGAAAAACGAACAGCGTGTGTTATTAGGGAAATAGCGAGCGAGCAGCGTTGATGCAGGATTGCGCATGCGCCATGAGCGGTTCTGATACATTTTGGGTCGCAGCGCCACTTCAACAGTGCGATACCCTCACGAGGGACGAGCGAAATATTAAACACGCCAGAAGTCCGTGCGACCTCACGACTGCTGATCGGCAGCTGGTCACGTGGTGTTAATCGCCTCTCGTAACCCCCTGTACACTACACGACCGCTCGGCGCAAAACTCGCCCCGATGTCGTGGATTCTCGCACGACTGGAAAATCGGCTCAAAAAAGTGAAAAAGTCGCACAGTGTACGCCCGGCTTTAGAGTCGAGTCTTCAGGGTCAGGTTAGACGAGCCGCCTTCAGCACAAAACGGCAGATTGGCTTTTTCAGCCCTAAAACTAAAAGATGTCCTGGAGGACATCTTGGCCGGTGGTAGGTTTGTTTGACCAGTGAGAGACGGAAGAATTAAAAATGCATTTGAGTTAAAGTTGTAAATCGGTTTGCTTTTTCATGGAGAAAACAATAACTGGTCCCATCAGTCAGAAAGAGCTCCGGCTCCCAGGTGGTTTTTCTACAGGTAACAGGCCGACATTGGTTCCCTAATAAAAGACCCCTGTCCATGGAAGAAATCCGTCTATCCAAATTCCACGCTCACCATCCTGACCAAGGTCAAAGAGCCTTCCAAGGATGTCCTGGACAAGAGTGTGGACCTGCAGAAGGCATGGAAAACCTTACTGGAGATTACTGCCAATCTCCCTCGGTCTGAGGATCTCACTGTGGAGTTTCGTTAATAATTGGAGTGTGGACCACTCCCAGAGCTACTCGGGAGGAACTTGTCAGCGGTCCTAAGGTAGTCGGGACCGTCGTCACACACTGCGGCGTAAAGGACAGCCTGAAGGGCCTGCTGCTCGAGAAGGCACGAGTCCAGGCCTGTTGGAAGTTCTCCACCGAACATCTAAACGAGTCAGGGGAGGACTGGGTGAAAGTGGCCGTGAGCGGTGTTGCTTTTGCAGACTCCGACTCTGATATCGCACCCTGCTCTGCTGTCTGTCCTCCTGCGGGTCAGCTCAAGTCTCAGCAGCGCTGTGTGTGTGTGTATGTGTGTGTGTGTGTGTGTGTGTGCGTGCGTGTGTGTGTGTGTGTGCGTGCGTGCACATGCTCCTAACATGGCTTCAGTCAGAGGAGATGTTTAAACTCAGAATCCAGAACGATGGTGAATCGTGCGTGCGGGAAACCACTCCTAGCTTATACCCAGCCATCGGAGGCTCTCCCGAGTGGTAGGCGTGGATTTGATCCAGCCCGGCAGTCTGCTGTGGGTGTGTTGGGTCGGTTCAGCCCGAAGCAGATCACCCTGGGAAGAGGGCTGAAAAAATGACCGATTGAGCACAGAACAAAACCAGGCTACCCAGATGTGAGCGCACTCTACCACACCTGGGTGAGGTAGAGCCGGCGCTGATGCCGACTCTGGAGTTGTTTGAATGCCTGTAGCTCCAACAATGCTGTCAAACATGGAGGTGGAGATTTTATTTTTGGGGCTGTTTTTCTGTCAGTGGGACAGGACTGCTGCACCTATGGGAGGATGGATGGGACCATCAGATCCTGGGCGAGGACCTCCTTCCCTCAGCCCAAGTGGGTGGTAGGCAGGTGGGCAAACCAGCATGACCGTGATCTTAAAGGTTAGCGTGGCGCGACGAGTCTCCAGACCTGAGCTGAAGGTTCGTGAACCACCAAACGTCAATGACCTGAAGAGGATCTGCAGAGCTGAGTGAGACACAGTCCAGCGAGATGTTGTCTGACCTTGTGTCCAACTACCAATCACGCCTGAGCTCCGTGATCCCATGCAAAAGTTTTCCCACCAAGTCCCAATAAAGCAAATTCTGCTGAACGGATTTAAAATATTCTCAAATGCACTGATTGAGTTTTTTAATAAACCTGACGTCTAAATGAGTTAGTGGGCAAACGTAGAAGGTCAGCAGAGCTCGACTGCGTTAGGGTTATCCTAACCCTAGGGAAGTGTGTACATACCTGCTGATGTCATCCCAGACTCATTTGGTCTGTTTTTAGATGGAATAAAGCCGTTGAGTTCATTAGATTTGTTGTGTTAAATAAATGTTTTTATGGTGATTGTGTAACAAACATGTTTGACGGTGTGAGAAGGACAAACTCACGTCTGGACGTTGACGGACTTCTCGTGTCTGTTTGGTTTTTGCAGTGCATTATGGTCCCGACCTAGCAACTCCCATCAACATCGACACGTCTGCTCGCTCTCGGAGCGACGTCAGCGACCAGCTGTGGAGCTTCGTCAGCACCGACTGGTAGCTGGACGCCCGGTTATCGCTGCTGTGTGTAACACAAGGTCTTAAAGCCTCTACAGCCTCTGATGTAGTTAGTCTGCAGCAGCACGGATTCACAAGGAAGGCCTGTAATACAGCGAGTTGGCCACTAGGTGTCAGTAAAGAGACATTTGCTGTTATTGTAGCAGCAGTTTTTCTCCTGTTGGTTGAAATTAGTAATAAAATGTTATATTTAATGTGTTTTGGCCACACGGAGCTGGTTCTTTTAGCTGATTCTAAACCGAGGGACCGCTGATCCGTTTTTGGTTTTATTATCATCTGTTTAATGTTTTCAGGCCTTAGAACAGCAGACAACATAACCTTATATGAGCACAAGTATTTAAAAATTCACTTCCTGTTTCACCACAATTAGGTCAATATTTAAATCTGATGCTGACACACACACACACACACACACACTATTGTGGCTTCTGATGTGCAACAGCAGGACGATTCTCCGAGAACATGGTCATGCCTTTTACTTGAAAAACGACGTGTGTGTGTGTGTGTGTGGTTTTGCAGTGGGCAGGATGTCGAGCACAGCTGAGGGGGTGCACATTCACACGTGGTTTTCTGACGGTAAACTAAGCTCTGGGCACCACTCCACCTCTTCATCGGTGGCTTTAACAGGTGGTTTGAGTCCCGGTTTACAGGAGATAAGCCCGACTTTGATCAGTCAGTTTCTACTTTCCTCTGCTTAAAACGATTAAATTTAGCCTCTAAACTTATTTAAACACGATTTAAAAATCCTCCTTTGAATTTCCTGGACAGCAAATAAAGATTTACATAAATCTTGAATGTTTATATTTAAAATTATTCCGACTCCTATGTTTTATTTGTATTTGAATAATTTTTTCTTAAGGAAGAATTTAGCGTATCACCAACAAACGCATATCTTCTAGTGGGGAGGAGCGATAAATCGGTATCGGCTGATGTTTGTCATTCTTGAACAAATCCATCCGATGAGTAAAACTGGGCCGATATTAACTACCGTTATTTTTTCATCTTGTTTCCGTTTGTGTATCTGTTTCAGGGGGGGGGGGGGGGTTGATGGAGTCCTGTGACGGTGATGTGTGTGTGTGTGTGTGTGTGAGACATATTGTAAATTCCACTTTATAGAAATAAAGCGAAACAAAAAAATTCGGCTTGAATAATTTCAGTCTATACAAAATTGGCAGGTTTCAGAGGCATGAGTTGGTATCGGTTCTCGGCCATAACAGCGATGTGAATATCGGTATCGGCCCAAAACACAACATGCCCTATGGGTTATAAATTGTAAGTCGCTTTGGATAAAAGCGTCTGCCAAATAAATCTACATAAACATTGATGTCTGTGCATTCCTGTTCTCCAGGAAGAGTGAGGATGAGAGGGAGCGGTGTCGATGCTTCAGAAACGAGACGCGTGTAAAAATCATTCACATGTTTATTCAGTGCAGATAAAAAACTGACATAATTTAAACATTTCACAAACACAGCGTTGTCATATATTCACAAAAAGCGCTAAATATAGCTAAATAAAATCTTCCTTTTTACATTTTCTTACAGTTTAACTTGAGGGGAAGCTTTAATTTTACGCGCTCGGCCTTCCTTTCTGCTAAGGCGCTCATTATGTGTTGCTGCGTGTGGACGACGGGACCTCCGAGGCTGAAGCCACCCAGCCTGACGTCTTTAGTGCGTCTCGGGGCCGGCGAGCCTCTGATGTCCCGGCATCACCGCTGGCCAAAACTCACATGGCAGAAATTACTCGGTTTTTTAGCAGCCAGTGATTATTTCTTCTGGGTGTGGATGCTGTGTGCTGTAACGTGTCATTAAACACTACAACGGCAGCAGCACGTCAGATAAATCTCCTGCTCGGGCTCCCCCCTCTTCAGGCTGAAACTTCTCCTCTTCACACAAACATCGGCAGGATTTTCTTGGTTTACGTCCCAGGAAACTCCTTCTGGTTAATACTGACCTCTAAAACACTGTTTTAATGCTGATTTCTCAGAGCAGACGCAATAAGGCGGGAACGTCGGGACAGATGCGGAATGATTCGTTCTCCCAGATCGTGTCGCGTTGAGAAGTTCATAAGAACACAACCTGGAGTCATTTCAAAGTGCAACATGGTTTGTTGTGCTCTCGGCGAATGGCGATCCATGGCATCATATCCTAGAAATCTTGGGGTAAATGGCTTTAATGGCTGAGGGTGTGCAGTTACTGGAGGACACGGTTGTCTCCAGGCCCTCCAGTCTGTGAGAGGCTGCGTCTGTTTTCGTGGTGCTGAAATCTAAGAAGGCCACCCCGAACTTCTTCATTTTCCCGTCTTTGTTCAGGAGACAGGGACGGCAGAGGAGCCGCAGGATGGCCTTCCTCATGTCCCTGCTGGTCAGCGTGTAGATGATGGGGTTAAGAAGAGAGTTGATGATCGCGGTGGCCAGGAAGTACTCCGACATCTTGAGCACTTTGCATTCTCTGGCTTGGCAGAAGTAGTCGATCAAGAAGAGGATGAAGAGAGGCAGCCAGCACACGATGAAGACCCCCAGGACGACGGTGACGGTCTTCAGCAGAGCTATGTACTTCTGGGATTTGCGGTAGAGGCCCCTCCGCTGCGGCACTGTGGCGAGGCGCTGCGTGTTGGCCTTGACGATGCGGAAGATGCGGACGTACAGCACCACGATGGACATGAGGATGGCGCTGAAGATGGTGATGCTGAAGAGGATGTAGCTTTTGGCATAGAGCGGAAGGACGGTGGAGCACTTCTCCAGGTGGCAGATGCAGTTCCAGCCCAGGACGGGCAGCACGCCCAGGAACACGGACAGCACCCAGCTGCCTCCAATCAGGGAGAACATCCGACCCTGTTTGTCCCCCTGGTAGGGCTTCATCCGCACCATGGTCACGTGGCGCTCGATGGCGATGGCCAGCAGGCTGATGATGGAAGCCGCCAGCGTGATGAACACGCACCCTTCCCTCAGGAAGTACAGCACAGGGGTCATTTTGAAAGTCGTGGCACCAGAAGTCACAATGTTTATCATGTAGGTGAGACCCGCGAGCAGGTCGGAGAGGGTTAAATTCCCCAGTAAGTAGTACATGGGCACATGGAACTTCTTGTTCTTCCAGATGGCGATGAGCACCACGGCGTTTTCTGCAACGATCAGCAGGCAGAGGAGCAGCACGGCTATGTCCACCGCCTGGAGTTCGTTCTTGTCCTTTCTGTTCTCCAGCTTGTCCGTGTGGTTGTAGTGCCCCACAATCACGTCCTTCGTCAGGTACTGGCTGAACATCCCGGGTGCCCCCTCCGTGCACTCCATCGGGACAGAGGGTTGGACAGAAGGAGCCGGCGCTTGTTTTCAACTTCTTCTGATTTTTAAAGTCAGATCCACGAAAGCAGATGTCAGAGAATCCTGTGGCGGTTCATTTTTCCATCCGTCGCTTGGTCGGGTCTGTCCGCCGGGGAAAAATGTTCCTTTTGATGCTACCAGAAAAGCTTTCTTGTGGTTTCAGATGTTTCCTTCTTAAAGGCTCCCCTTTTCTCCTCTCAGTACCCGAGATGCACACTGGTAGGCAACAGCAGCAAGCCTGCGACACAGGAGACGAGGGCGGTTAATGTGGAGAACCGGAGAAGCCTTCAAAACATCTAACAACATAAATCACACGACAAGGTTCGAAAGTGGAAAAATCACTATTTCCTCTCAATTAGATAAATAATCAGACAAATAGATTAGAGTGGAACTTATTTATTCCCATAAAAACAACTAAAAGTTTGTAATTTGCATTAATCTGAAGCCACGTGTGTTTTTATTCAAACATTCCCAAATGACGTTGGATTTTCTTGCTCTTCACTGAAGTCCTAATTCACCTTTGATCGTGGTATTGTTCCTTTCCTCTAATTGTTATTTAGCAGCGTGGTAATAAAATATTTCAGGCGTATCTTGTGCGCAAGGGTCACCTCAAACCTGCCAAGTCGAATAAACAACAGATCGTGTCTGCTGCTTATTTGCTTTACTCATCACTGGTTCTGTCTAAAATGGGTAACATACAGTAGAGACCACCGGCCCAAACAGGCAGCAGGATGAGGTCAGAAAGAGGCGCTGATTCATAGAGAAACACGAGACGAAGAAGACAAAATTCCCCTTTTCTACTTAAAAACCTCAACCACACCAGACACCGAAGCTCTGAAGAAAAACACAACTGTTGGAAACTTTTCACCCACCTGAGCAAACGTGTCCTGGAGCAAGCAGGAGGTCCGAGGAGAGGAGAGGAGATGTGAGGAGCTGAGCGAGCAGCACGGCTGTGGAGTGATGTGGGAACTCAGGAGGGCAGGACTCGACACGCAGTGGGTTGGTCCTCACTAACGACTTCTTCTGTTGTTGTTGGAGCTTTTCTACAATCTTCCTCCTCCTCTTGACCCCTGCTATTTCTGATCCTCATCTCCAGATAAGTAGGCGCTGGTTGGCTGATGGGTTTCTCTTTCTCCTCACAAACAGCTGCAGGCTTCTGCACAACCCACCCCCCCTCTGGGTTTTCTTGTGCTGCTGGGGAGGAGCAGTTATGAATCCATGCTGCTCTGCATGTTTGACACCTCAGAAGTAATCCTCTTCTCGTTCGGAGGGACTTCACACGAAAAAGAATCTCATATTTGTCGCTGGGGGGAGAAAAAAAAAAGAGTTTTACATCTGGGTCTGTTTTGGAGTAAAAAAGCCACATTTCAGAAAATAACTTGGGCTTCATCTGTAATTATGCTTTTGCTCACACATCAAAACTGACTTTTTTTGCTTGCCATTCATGGGGTTTGTTTTTAAAAGATCCCCTCCGGATTTATTTCAAGACATGACCACGATTCTGCTGCAACGTATGTCTGGCACGGTTTAACCCCGTCAGGCTCAAAAAATAAGTTTGGATAAAAGGACGAACAACTAAGTCCTTCAGGGGTACTTCTGAGTTAAAAAGCTCATGAAATACTCATGTGGAGTAACCAGGTAGGTAGGTTTTAACGTTGCACATCTGCAACGCCTGCCTCCAGAGGGTTAATGCAGTGTAGCAGAAAAGTGCAGAACTCTAACAGAATGTTAGTTTTTGTTTCATTTGTGCATCTAACGTCACGTAAAAAAAAGCTTAATAAAACGTGCTAACATCACAGCAAACAAAGTTTCTCTGTGTAAAAGTTAAACATAATTAAAGAGCTACTCGTTTTATAGCTTCCTGAACCGTTTTAGTTTCCATTCTGAAGGACTGATGAGCTAACAGCTAGTCTGAGGATAGCGTCATAGCAGTTTATGCTAATGTTATGTAATTAACCTTCAAACTACCTAATTGTGATGTAAAAGTTGGAGCAAAAGCCAAAATATACACATCTAATCACAGGTTGTGGCTCATGTTGAAAAAGTTCCTATATACTAGCATGGCTGTGCAAGTTTCACATGCAGGTTGAACATGAAACTAGTCTCCTACACCTATCTCCTGTGTTAGTTTCTGATAGAAAAGCCTGACAGATCTACGTCATACTAAAAATCATAACTCATGGACTTGCCCATATTGGCTTGTGATGGGGAAGGCTGCTGTTGATTTTTGCATCCAGGAGAGAGCAGAGCACACCTCGGGTTGTAGAAGCTAACTATTAGCATTAGCAAATCCACAACGTGCAGGCTTGAGGTGGAAACACCAACGTTTGCAAAAGCAAAATGATAAAGAGTAACCCCCCCATTCATTTTCTCTGACTCATTTTCCGCTCCTCTCTCCGGCTAATTTCTTGTTCCTGAAACCCGACACCAGAGAATGAGAGCTTTACGGTCCAAGTGGTGAAAATATAGACATAAAAGTTTTTTATACCTAGTTTCTGATGTTAATAGCTTTGTTTTTATAATTTTATAATGCATGACTAGCGGCTAATTAGCTTGAAGCTAGTGGTGTAAGAGCTGAGTTGGACTGAACAAACTCAAACTCTTAAAGAGATTTAGCGATTATTCAATTCAATTCAAAAATACTTTATTAATCTCAGAGGGACATTGATTTGAGTAGCTGAAGGATAAACAGTTAAAATAGAATTACATGAAAATACCAGAGCGATGGTCAAAGTGAAGGTGTGTATTTACTCTGGCAATTGACTGTAACGGAATGAAATGACTGTTTTCCCCCTAAAGTCATTTCCCCCTCTCCTCTGACACAGAACTAGTCTGCATGAGATATGGTCTCAAGGTCTCATGCATTTGCTCTAAAGTGCTTCCTTTCCAGCCCAAGAGAAGAATGAAGAATGGACTCTCTCCTTTTAATAAATCAAAGAACTCTATTTTAATAAAGCTAATCAAACAAAGTGTTAGTCAATAATAAGATGTGACCAATCTGTGAAATCTAAGTATTAATTACTTTATTATAATCCTATAGAATATAATAAGTAATATGACTTTAAGTGTTTCCACTAGGACTGATCTCACGTAGCGTTAAGACATGACACATTGCTGTACTGATCCAATCAGAATCTGCCAGATCTGACGGAGGCGTGGTTTTGGTGGTGTTTGGTAAATCTGTCATCTTTTCATTCGACCATAAACCAAAACATCCGAAGAAAAAACTATGTCCATGCCATCTTTAACGCCAGTTCAAAGCATTCTGGAGAAGTTGACGGAGTGGCCAATCTGTTGCGTTTTACCAACCAAGCAACGGTTCCTTTCAGAATAAAAGCTGAACTCATTGACCCTCCGGGTCCATCTGACACTGTCAACCAACTGTCGCTTTTTACCTGGAGACAATCCAAAGACTAGTCTGTCGTACATCTGACGCTGTTTCATCGGCTCCGGTACTGAAAGAGGGGTTAGAGGACCTGGCATTCTGGATCTGTACGGAGGTCTCATTCTAAGGGTATGTGTGGAGCGACAACATGGCGTCGAATGTGTTTATGAATCTCCTAACCAATGCAGACATCACCCTCACTCCCACCAGAACTAATCGTTTCTTCGGATTTGCTGGTTCTGAACAACATTCCACATTCCACCATTCTCCGTTTCATTCACCTTAGTTACACCATACATATAGTGTTAAAGTTAGTCTAGTTTTAATTTGTTTAGTAATAAATCTTTAAACTTTTAAAATCTGACTCTCTCTTCTGTTGTCTCTGAGTGAATATGAAGCTGTTACATAATCCCTGCAATAAAAAGTTCCAATATTCTGGTTAAAAAGTACCCACAGATCCATAAGATTGATTTCATATTTCCTATGGAATCTTACGCTCATTAAATAACATGTAAATTAACTCATTACATGACCCTTTGCACGTGACATCATGCCACTCATGTGACCGCCCCCTTCGCCATGATGGACGGCAAAAAGACCGTTTACACCTGTAGAAACTCCAGCGAAGTTAGTCAAAATGAGCCAGTTTGCAGCCTTTTATCGCTTTTATTTAGTTGATTTGACAGTAAAATGGTTTTAGATTGCTGCGTGGTCGGCTGCAGTGCACTAACAGACAAGGACGTAAACTCTACTCGTTTTTTCTTTTTAATAACTTTGGTGGAGACTGAGGACGGAGATGAACTGCAGCGATCAATCAAGCGGACTAGCAGCCCTCGGATTTGCAGCGAACATGTTTTTACCGGGTAAGATTAACGTTCATTTATTTCACAAGGAAGACAGGGACAGGGATAAATGTGATGTGTTTATACTAGTTATTGATAATCCTGATGGATGGGTATTTCACCACGGAGGCTGCGCTCCGTCCACTGTAGTGTAAAGCAAGACAATTATTAACAATATTAAAGCTCCGACGTATGATTACGTGTGTTAAAATGACGTTATTTATTTATATGAGCGTCGGCGTTCAGAGATCTTCTCATTCCGGTGTGAGAGCAGCAGCTGAACCCGGTAACACCACCAGCAACAGAAGCTGGTAGGGATCCGGACTTTTTAAAAATCAGCCATGAAGTTATAAATCCAGCAGGGTGAATTTAGGCAAAGTCAGCAACATGTTTACATCGGTGAACAGCTGCAGAGGGAACGTAAGCTAACGTTGGTAAGCTAGTTAGCATACCGCTGGATGCGTTACTTCTTCTGATAACTGAACTGGGCATGAACTAGTTGAAGGAATCCTGGAGGAGTTTTGTTTCTGTTTTGATCTCAAAAACAATTTCAGGCTCTACTTTTCTCTTTGTTTAGAACTCGTGTCGCTCACTGTTTACATGCTTTTGCCGTCCACCATGGTGGACCGACGTGATTAGGTGACGTCGGTGCAAAGGGTCAATAGGGGGCAGTACATACCTAAATCATTGAAAGCAAGCTGTATTTTTGTGTTTGAGTAAGACCTTACCAACGGATGGCCACTGGGATCAAAAATCCCTGGGAGCACAATTTTAGAACGAGTTCTTCATCAGATCGTTCAACCTCCAGTAAAATGACATCAGACTCCCTTTCATCACAGCTACGAGTGAAGGGGTAAACGCATAAAACAACTTTTTATTAATGGAGACCTTTTGTAATCGCTTGTAAATGTGTTTTGTCCTCACGGCTCACGTGGAAGAAAACATGGCGTCCAATATGGCGTCGCCCAGAGACTTAGACCCGCCCCTATGTATTTTAAGCCCTTTTTACAAGACCCACGCCAGCAAATCAGCGTAATATTCCAGCAACGGTGTGTCTTATAAACGCGCCACCGCAGCATGGCGTTTGTTCCGCCTCGCTTGGTAGAAACAATGCGATAATTGTCCATCTCTTAAATGTCTATTGGCGCCTTGGCCAACAGAGGGAAGTGTCATGATGACGTAGGGAGCTGATGCAGAGCTCCGGCCGGCCACTGCATTGAAAATGAAAGTAGACACGGGTGTAAGTTTCTCTTTTGAACAAAATCAGCTTAGAAGGCAAACTGGAGTGCTGCAGAGCTCCACGAGCGTCTCCATTAGAGCTGAAGCTCGGATCACCAGAGACGGCACGGGGACAGACGCCTTCAGGAGCGGCTTGTTAAAAAAAACGCAACGATCGCAGCTTCAAACGGAAGTCCGCGACAGCTCAGTGACGGCCCCGTTACATCGCCTTCACCTCATTTTTTCTAAAAAGGACACGATTGCACCACATTACCGCCGCGGTCTGACCACTTATAAATGACCTAAGGCTCCCGCATGCTGCCGCGGCGTTGCGGCATGTTGACGGTATCGTTTCGTAAAAACGCCTTTAGACCCGATTTTTATGGTTATATGTTACAAAGCCGCCAATGTTTTTCAACAACTGGGCATTATTTGATAATTTTCATGAATAATTGATATTTCCAGTGATTAATGATAAAAACTACACATCGTCTCTTTAAGGTCTATTGAAAAATTTGTGTGGAGAGAGAATGAACTAAGAATACAAACACGGGTATGAATTACGGCGGATCGACGGGCTAATGGCGGGTCTGATGATAAAGTAATCGACCTGAGTCTTTGTAGGCACCAGCCATCTCCTTATGTTGTGATTTTTAGTGCAAACGTATCACCAGCAGGACAACATAGGAGTCCAGGAGTCAAGTCCGTCAGGAGTTTATTGATACACCTGCCAGATTAAGACGATTCAAGACGATTGCTTACAGAACTTATGTCTAAAACAAAGATTAGCGTTGCCTCCTCAGTTTTCTCACACCCTGAAAGTGAAACTTTCTCACTATCGCTCTCTCTTGCCTCCTGACTCAATGAAAGTTTCCATTTGAACAAGAAAATAAATGCTTAATCACACTTTTCCCTCCACAGAAACATTTCCAGGCTCTCTTCGGGCTGCAGGACCGGCAGCAGAACAACGGGGAAATTACGTAAGCGGAGGGTGGATGAGCGATGGGTTGAACTGGACCTTCTTTAAACAGGAAACTGGCTCATTGTGCCTAGAAAAAAGAGGGATATCCTTGAGAAATACCACAGATGAGGTCATCAGTTTGGATCTGACACAACAGCCCGTGACTGCAGACTGACGCGTGCTCACCTCCACCCGGCGGTATTAATTAGGAACTCTTTAATCAGGATGCTGCTTGTGGTTTGGTGGTTGCAGCTTTTGTGAGTCATAGAATGTTTGAGGATTCATATCTTCATTATATTTGCTCAGGGTTCTGATTTAATCGTCGTTCCTGTTGGTGTGTAAATGGAAAATGCGTCTATACAAAGACAATGAAAGCCATTCTGTTCTATTCCTCAGATCCGGTGATAACCAGGTCCCTTCCCATTGTCAGGTTAGGGTCAGGGCCCCCACCCCCCCACCATGGCCCTGTGATACACTCCCAGCGTGCTCCATCTGACTAGTTAACACTCAAACATCAAACAGCAGGACTCCCGGCTCTGCTCCTGGTTTTTCCCACGTTATGGAGCTGCTCTGATACTTCTCTTTCCCCCAGGCCACAAGCCTTCAGCCCGGAGTGGCCGGTCTGCCAGAACCTTTTCAGAATGCTCTGTCCGACATACCAGAGCCAGGGCGGACCTCTTCTGTCCTGCCTGTGACGTTTGTGCCATAGCAGGAAGGAAGTCAGTCAGCCAGTCCCGCTTTTGCCGCAACGGAAAGCTTTGGTTTCACTGCTGTTGGTAAATAATCCATCGCTGCCTCTTTTATTCTGCTGCTCGTTCAACAGGCACCCTTTTGTTTTTCACACTTTTTTTCTGACACATTTCAGAAGCAGCTTTTCTCGCTGAAGGGAGTTGTTCTTCTCAGCTTTGGTAGGTTATCTGTGGCTGAGGCTGAATCACACCTCAAGATAAGATTTGCACCAGCAACTCTCACGGCCGTCCTGCACACTGTCACCCTGCAAACGCAACACAGAAAATTCACACTGCTTGTGTTCTAATATCCTTTAAAACGGGCTGCTGTGATGTAGCAGCCTCTGCAGAATGCGCTGGGTCCAAATCCCATCTCAGGGCTCTAATTTACATTTCTTGGCTTATGCTAGATGTTTGCATTTCTCTAAACCATTGGCAGTTCTAGGGGTGGGGCCACAGGGGAAGTGGCCCCAGTTGAAATATAATTGGCCCCCTGAAGTGCCCCTGTCCTTTGCGCAACGATCAAATTATAGGTTGATGCAATTCCATGTCCAAACACTAGTGGTGCTAATGAGCTAAACAGGCATTTCCAGTGTGAAATCTTGTGCACTACGTGGCCCCACTATCAAGGTTGTGGCCCCGCACTCAGAAAAATCCTAGATCCGCCACTGCTCCAAGCTGAGGCCATTCAAAAAGCTGAACTAATGTCTTATAGCTTATAAATAATGACCCCAAAATCCCCCAAAAGAGCGTTTAGCTGTGAAGCCATGAGTTGTGATTTTTTTCTTGTTTCCAGTAAAAAGAGATCCACAGTGAGTAAAGTACAGGAACCATATAAATGTAGCGACCAGTTTCGTCCTGCTGCCAGAAATTTATGGGAATCCTAGAAATAGCCTGTTTTTGTCAGAGTCCAGCTCCGGTGTCGTACAGCTGTGGAGGGCGGCGACCTCTCTGAGCTCCCAGTGAGGGGAAACGGGAAGAGCACACGTTATGTTGGACTTGTTTCTTTTCCACTACTTGTGTGTTTGAGGAAAACCACCTCAGGGCCTGCAGGCTGTGACTGCTCCGTCTGCGTCTCGGCTGGTCCTGCGTCAGTGAAAGTATTTGACTCTGAGCAGATTGGATCTAGATCCTTAAACACATCGTGCCATTTGACCTCTTTATAATTTCATTTAACTTGCTACATCGTGCAAACAGATGCAGATCCTAAAACCTGGCCTCTGATTGCTGCAAAAATGTGCAATTTACACTCCGTCTGTTTTGTGGAATGGGTAAATTTTCCAGCAGAGCGTCTAATTATGTTTCTGATGGAGGCCGCAAAGGGAATTACGGTTTTCTTTTGTGTTGTAGCCAGCTAAACACATATTTAAAAAAAAAATCTCTTTCCCAAGCTGAACTTTTCCTTCGACGTGAAAAAGCTTCGTTGGCAAAAACTGGGACCATCCTCAAAGTTTTTGTGACACAAATAAACACAGGAAGAGACG